AATCTCACAGGTGATAGGAAGAGGAGACTTGAATGGATTCTTCACAAAAGGTAAAAAAAATCTGTCTTTTGTTAATGTTATTGTGTGTATCTGTTGAACATCTGTTGTTGTTAGACAGCTGTTCAAAACCTGTAACTTATTCAATAAAAGCAAAAGAATATTTGTAAATTAAAAAAGGTCAAGCACAATGCATATCTTATTCACATTCTTCATAAACTGCATTTAAATTACATTTAAAGGTGCAGCAAGTATTTCTTTTGTTGCAATTACATAACAGCAGAATGTTTTGCTCATAAATATGTGTATAATTTTCATCTTCCAACAAACTGATGCGTTCTCATAAACGTAGAATTGGGCACTGGTTTGTGGAAGCTACTATATTATCTTCCCTCTGTACTCTATATGTGACAATTAAATATTTTTTGATATTTTAAATTTTATTTTACTCAGTCACCCCAGAGTAACTTCAAATGTTCTGCCTTGCGTTTATTTAGTGGGCGCATGCTATCAGATCACCGTTTACTTGATAATGCCAGTGGAACATCCACTATTTACTGTGGATGAGGCAAAACTTTGAATGGATTTTATTTAGAGGGAGTCAGTGAGGCTCACTCCTGTGACCGCTATGCTGAGGTGAGGGTCAGATGCATAATCTGAGCTTGCAAAGAAACGGACAGAATATTCTCAACAACTCGACTCCCTATTGCTGTCACATGTCAGAGGTGAGCTTCACTGACTATCAGACTCCTTTTACAAAGATTTACATCCTCCTCCAGAGTAAATACAGACAGACACCAGGTGATGTAAACGTCAGACTGACATGACAGCCTACACTCGCTACAGATAGAGATGTTTGTCCTACAGCAGCCGTGATAGGTAGCACTATGAACTTAAAGTAGGAGGGATAAGAAGACAGAATTTAGTTGACTGCAGTCTGCTGCTGACATGTAGCAGTGAGATTTTAAACTCTGTACTTTAAGTGACATTTTCATCAAACTTAAGATTAAATTATGTTTTTTAAATGAACCTTTTGACACAGGTAACCCACAGTGACTATTCCAAAAGTAAAGTGGGAGAAATTGAAATCGATAAACCTAATAAATATTTATTATTTGTGTCTGAGGGTGGCCGGTGGTGGTTAGCACAATCGCCTAACATCAAAAAGATCCTTGGGTTCAAATCCACTGGAATGAAGTCTTCATGTTTAGGGCTGGGTATCGTCACTGATTTCTAGAATCGATTCAATTCCGATTCACAAGGTCCCGAATCGATTCGATCCACGATTCGATTTAATTCGATTCGATTCGATTTAAATCTGGGAAATTTTGACAGTCAGAGATATAATTCAGATCAGGACATTTACATATTTTTGTATCTATAAAAAGGAAGCTGACACTCTCAAGACTTTATCCAAGGTGTGAGCATCACAGCAGATGCCTTTGTGTCAAAGTAGCTGAAGATAAAACACAGAAAAACATGTAGGTGATTTTCCTGGCCTGGGATTTTATAAAAATATTCTGCAGTACATCAAAAACGAAAGAAAACCATTAATTAATCAACATTACCTCTGACGTTACAGCGGTTTTATTAGAGACATGGCTAAGCATTTTGCATTTTGAATAATTTTAAAAAGTTTCAATTTGTTCAGTATTGAACAGCAGAAATGAGGTTTTCTTTTCGGAAGAATGTAAAAGGGGAAAAAACAGCGGCCGACAGCGCTGTAAGCAACAGTAGACTTGTGCGTAACAAGCAAGCGAATAATGAAGAAAGCGAAACTGTTCGAGAGAGAGGGGGGGAGGGAGAGAGAGAGAGCTGCGCATCGCAATGGAAGCAAAACAGTAAAAGAGTGAATTCATGACGATGTTTATGTGAAGCGTTTGGATCTTCTTTTGCTGCTGATTCGGTCAATATTGTTTGGAGAGAGATCAAACTAACAGCTTTAGAATCAGCGCATAAAGGGCGTGAACACAAAGCGTGGACCCGGATCAGCAAGCTGTCGGCTTTCAGCCCCGACTGTGAGAAAGGCGACATCTAACTGATTCTGATCCGCGGGTCGCGCTGTGTGTTTAAGTCTATGTGCAGAATCCCTGTACCTGCTCTCATTTACTGTTTGGTGGTTCTTGAAATTTTGTGAGATGTCACCAGAGATTCTGGCATTTCGGACAAAATAAATTTATATTAAAAAATTGATTCAGGATTTTAATGAATCGATTTTACGTTATCCAAGCCAGAATCGATTTTAATCGATGAATCGATTATAAAAACCCACCCCTATTCATGTTCTTCCCTTGTGTATATGGGTTCTCTCCGGGTACTCTGGCCTCCTTAAATGAAAATTGTAAACTGGCTGTAGGTGTGAATGGCTGTTTTTCTCTCTGTGTTCACTCTGCAATTGATTGGTGTACTGGACTGGTGTCCAGTGTGTACCTCCCATCTCAACCAGGGTCACCTGGGATAGGTTTCAACCTAACTGCTACCCTGAATTAGATAAACAAAAGAAAATATATGAATTGATGTACCTGAGCAGAGTCTTATATAGATGCTAGTAACTCTGCACAGTGTAGTTTGATAACTCTGGTATCAAACTGCATTAACTTCATCCACATCATAGGTTACCCTTTTTCCTTTACTGGTAAATAAATGGTAAATGGCCTGCATTTGTATAGCGCTTTTATAGTCCCTAAGGACCCCAAAGCACTTCACACTACATTCAGTCATTCACCCATTCACACACACATTCACACACTTTACTGCATCACATTGGTTTGTTTCTCTGTCACTACAGGAACAAAGAAGCAACAACCGAAAGAGACCTCGGCACTCTTCCGATGATGACAATGCTAACCTCACACAAGCAAAGAGAGAGAAATCATTCACTTGTGGTCTTTGTGCAAAGAGCTTTATCACAAGGAGGCAGCTCGGGAGACACCAATGTTTCCACAATAAGAAAAGATGCTTCTCTTGTGTTGACTGTGGAAAATCTTTTACTACAAAGAGTAACTTGACGAGGCATAAGCTCATCCACACTGGGGTTAAACCATTCAGCTGTGACCAGTGTGGAAAGTCTTTTACTTCGCAAAGTGCCTTAAAATCACACCAACTCATCCATGCAGGAATTAAACCATTCATCTGTGATGAGTGTGGAAAGTGTTTTACTCACCAAAGGAACTTAAAATCACACCAACTTATCCATGCTGGAGTTAAACCATTCATCTGTGATGAGTGTGGAAAGTGTTTTACTCACCAAAGGAACTTAAAATCACACCAACTCATCCATGCTGGAGTTAAACCATTCATGTGTGGTAACTGTGGGAAGTCTTTTACTGTGAAGGGTCACTTGAAACAACATCAGCTCATCCACAGTAAAGCAAAACCTTAAAGTTGTGACTAGAAATGCACCAGTTCTACGTTTGGTTGGTATATCAGTCTGATCCAAATGAGTCAACAAGTTGGATCAGATATCGGTGCAAATCTATTGCTGTTCACTGACTTCAGTTATGTTTTGTGTAACACTTGTTTAGAAGATTTTACTGCGGTCACAGCACCATGAAGTATTGCTACCAACTCAGTTACTATCGTTTCGCTTCAGGTGTTTCAGGTCAACTTGACGAACAAAATATGAGAACAAGGGACAGAGTTCCTGTATGCGTTCGTTAAAACATTTTTGAAGCTTTCAAGCAGATTGAAACGGTACCTCTGTATTTTTACTTTGTTTGTTATTTTGTAAGTAAAAAGCAATACTTGGTAGATTAATAGTGGTTCATGCAAATTTATTGAGCTATTGTTTATTTCTTGTGCTTCTTGGGACTCTGGTTTGGTTGCTGGTCACATAGGTGTGGTGAGCGTTGACTGTTTGTTGCTGGTAGATTTTTCTCTGGTGTTCATTTAACATAAAACTGTTGCATAAACACTGTCTGTTGATGCTACAAACTGCCAAATTAACACTATCATTTTATTGAAAGCATAAGCTGCTAGTTGCTACATTGAGGTCCATGCCCCAGTTTATTGGTGTGTTGTTGCCATAAAATTCAAAATGTTCTTTTTTCTTATAATTGTACATTTTTATCAGTTTTTGTTTTCAACATTTTATCACGTGTAAAACATGTCTTTATAAGCTTTTAAATCATTGCATCCTGTTTGTAACTATCTTCGTGTCCATTTTTGTTTTTACATATTTACTCTTTATTCGGGGCATTGGACAGTGAAAATGGGAGTCTGATTGCCCAAAACCCAAATAAAACATTTTTTGCAGTGTAAAGGTTGTGCAGTCCTGATCAAACTGAATTAATGTTTTAGTCAAATGGGTTTAAAACACAGAATTGAACTTCATCTTTAGCTCATTTTCCAAAGTTCCCTCACTGCTTAGAAAAACAATTTGAATTTTATCATGTACGCTGAAGTTGAACGATTCAGCTGGGACCAGTGTGGAAGGTCTTTTGCTCAACAGTTCACTCCATTCAAAATCATTTATGTACAGCCAGTGTTGGGGAGTAACGGAATACATGTACCGCCGTTACGTATTTAGAATACAAAATATGAGTAACTGTATTCCGTTACAGTTACCGTTTAAAAAGGTGGTATTCAGAATACAGTTACTTTGTTGAAATAAATGGATTACACTGCGGTACTTTCCTGTTTCATATTGTCGCGGGTCCGGACTGTTTGGGTTTTGTTTGACAGCTACGTGCTGTTGTTCCAGGCGGCAGCGTTACGGTTGCCATAGTTACAGGGCGACGCGCTCTCTCTCTTTCTGCGACTGTGTGTTTCCTGGGTGAGAGAGCGCCTTTTCGTTGTTGTGCTAAGCTAACAGGCAGAATGCTACAAGCATAGCTCTAAAGAATGTAGCATCATGGGCAGTATAGTCCGTGCTGCTGGGAGAATGGACTGCCATACACGTTATGTGTCTGTGAGCGCGAGGAGGGAGAAAAAGGCGAGTGGAAAGGTTGGAGTTGTCGTCGAGGAAAAACGGGAGCTGGAAGCATGTAAATATAATAATAACCACTGCAGCCAAGAAGAGTGCCTGACGAGCCCAGTTGTAAGTAAGCTATTAAGACTCGACTGTACACTCTGTTCGTGTTTTCCTCCGAAAACAATAAGTTCCGTTGGAGCAGTCTTTCAACGCCTCTCTCTGTCTCTGCTAGCAAAGTTGACCCACACAACAAAGTAAAGCTATTTTTCGGCTACGAGCCGACAGGGACCCCGCCGTATTAGTCAGAGGTCCCTTTACTACAGTTCGGAGTCGCGGACCTTCAGTAATAGTAATAAATCACACAGCAATAGTACATTCACGTTGTTGTAAAAAGCATGATAATATATTAAGTAATCCAAAGTATTCAGAATACGTTACTCTCATTGAGTAACGTAACACGTTACAGAATACATTTTGGGGCATGTATTCTGTATTCTGTAACGGAATACATTTTAAAAGTAACCTTCCCAACACTGTGTACAGCATAATACTCAGATTTTAGTGCTCTAATGGGACCATGATAATCAGCTCCATTAACACTTGTACTTGACCTGAATTCTGTCAGGTCAAGTACACATGTAAGATGAAACACCATAAAACCAACTACACTGGGGTTAAATGGCACCTCTATGAGCCGCATCAATCAATCAATCAATCAATCTTTATTTATAAAGCACTTTTCATACAGAAAAAATGTAGCACAAAGTGCTTTACATAGTTAAAAGCAACCCACCCCACCCTCCAACTCACTCCCCACACTCTCAATACACATATATCCCCCCACCCCCACCCACACACACATACGCGCACACTTAAAGAGTAAAAATTGGGCTGGGCTCGCATGAGCCAAGTGAGGAAACATAACAGAGAGCCGTCTGCACCGGGAGCCGGTCACAGACCGCAGCCTCCGGGCTGGGCACACAGCCGGAGGGAAGCAAAGGAGACCCCCAACCAGGCTGAGAGGACCCCAGAGACCCAGCAGTCACGGTCAATAACAGCCCCGGTGCAGAGAGCCCCCTCCGAGGAAACACTGGAGATATGCCATAATAGGCTATATACAGGGTAAAATGATAAAATAAATAAGAACGGGTTACAATATAAATATAAATATAAATAGAGTAAGAAGATTAAAAAATGGATAAGAATAAAATCAATAAATATTAGGTAAAACCTGAATTAATAATAAAATAACAGGATAGAATAAATAAGCATAAAATAAATAAACGTTAGGTGAAAGCTAAATTAAAAAGGTGGGTCTTGAGCCTGTTCTTAAAAACATGTACGTTCTCTGCGGCCCTGAGCTCCTCCGGCAGGCTGTTCCACAGACGAGGACCATACCACTGAAAAGCTGCCTCTCCGTGAGTATGTGTCCTGACTTTAGGGACAATCAAAAGGCCAGTACCAGAGGACCTCAGGGTCCGCGAGGGTTCGTATGGTAAAAGCAGATCTGAGAGCTAGGAAGGCCCAAGACCATTAAGACATTTAAAAACCAATAAAAGAACTTTAAAATCGATCCTGAAACACACGGGGAGCCAGTGCAGCGATTCTAAAACCGGTGTAATGTGGGCCCGCCCTCTGGTCTTCGTCAGCACACGAGCTGCCGAGTTTTGCAAGAGTTGTAAAGTTGAAATATTCTTCTTAGGAAGACCAGAGAGCAGGGCATTACAGTAATCAATGCGACTGGTAATAAAAGCATGCATCAGCATCTCCGTGTTGGCCCGAGAGAGAATAGGGCGGACTCTGGCTATATTTTTTAGATGATAAAATCCAATTTTGGTCACATGTTTAACATGTGGGATAAAACCAAGCTCAGAGTCAAGAATAACACCCAGGTTTTTCACTTGTAACGAAGGACATAGTGAAAATGCCTCTAATTTAGACAAGAGTTTCTCTCTCTGAGCCTCAGGACCGACAATTAAAACTTCAGTTTTGTCCTGGTTAAGCTGTAAAAAGTTTTCTGCCATCCAAGATCTTATATCCAAGATACAGTTAAAAAGGGCATCCATTGGTCTGGTGTCATCAGGAGACACGGAGATGTACAGCTGCGTGTCATCAGCGTAACTGTATCAGCATGGTCAATGATGTCACAGAAGTGTCATCACTGACCATATAGTGTATATGCTGGGACTGGAGAGGACCAGCACACCGGTGTGAAAACAGCTGTGTGTGAAAACAGCTGTGTGTAAAGACAGCGACTTAATAAAGTTTTAATCCAAATATTAGTGTCACATGGAGAGCAAAGACCCTTGTTATTGCTTGATTACAGAAGGAGAAACAGGACATCAACACAGAGCCCAGATCACTGGAGATGCTCCATCAGTCCTCCTGTCAGTCACCTGCTTCACTCTTCACTCATTCATGTTGCTTTGAGAGAAAAATTTGGTCCAGCCATTTAATCGTTGTGTATTGTAGGGTCTACCTTACAAAAAAAAAAAAAAAAAAAAAAAAAAAAAAGCACCTTGAGGCGACTGTTTCTTGGCACTGTAAAAATAAAATTGAATCTTGATCTTCAAGGCTTATCCGTATCAGTAGGCCTCAGCTGATGTGGTGTTTATAGAGCTTGTGTGGTGTTTATAGAGCTTGTGTTTATGATCACTATGGACCAAATGTTGGACATAGCTGAAAAGTTAAGCACATATAGAATTGCCTTTGGTAATGACTGAGGTGATGTAGATGGTTACAAAATCTTTGGTACCCGTAGCAGTCTGTTGTCATAATTTTGTAGTCCCATAGAAATCTTTCCAGCATGCAGATAGCAATGCTCTTATCTTAGAAACCCAAACACAGATGTAAATAGATAAATAAACTAAATACAAAAATATTTTAAAAAGTCAAAAACCTGATTGTCCATCACATTTTTATTATGACAATAAAACCTGCAGCTAGTAGTTAAAATCATGCAGTTTGTAGGTGAAAGTGTAAAATATCTCAGTCATAGTGGTAACTGGGATGAGGTCACTTCCAGTTCCATCAATCAAATGTGAAGCCGAATAGCTTCCTTTCACATTATTTTACTGCATAAAACATTCATGTGCCTGGCTGACAGTTGGCTTCCCACTGCAGAAGATCATTTTTTTCCTTCATCTTGCTGTGGTTTACTCTTACATATCAAACCTTTCTTAAAATTCAGTTATTAAGTTATGCAATCTTTAGTTGGATGAATCACAGGGAAGTTTAGTCTATTAACAGCTCACAGGAGACTTTGCTTCTTTAAATCCATGAAGTTCAACTTCTGTTAACTGAAATTGAGGTAAAAGCATTACAACAATTAGAATTCATCTTTATTGTTTGAATTTCCATTTGTCAGACTGAAGGAGTTTTTGAACTCTTATTCTGGAACTTTTTACTGAAATTATTTTGGCTAAGCTGAATTCATCAAAGTAAGATCTCAAGTAGGGAATTCTTATTTGACTAAACTGGCTCTAGGGAATATTTAGATTCATGTGTGAGAAAACTGGTCCTAACTCCATGATAAAAATGTTCTCCAATATGATAACTAATAGCACGGTGTGCATTTTTATTCACAATATTTACTTACATGTTGGGTTCACCACTCTCTGACGCTGTCATGCTGTTTTCTTGCTGACCTGAGACATGTTTTGGATCCATAAGATTGATACAAATATACAAATTATTTCAGTAGTACAGGCAGAATGTACTTTTACCTCTTTTCCTTTTGCAGTACAGCACCAGGCAGACTGACGATAGGATGCATACGAGTACTACCACCCCTGCAGTAATTGCTATAATAGTCATGTGTGTATTTCCTGAAACAGTAAAAGAATCTGATTTTTAAATTTCTCCTGGATGCCTTAATATGTTTATTTTGTTTGTATGTCAAAGAGATTTTAAAAGTTTTGAATGATTCTTGCTTTTGTGGATTAGAAGGATGCAACATAAATTCCTTTACCTTGACTTATTCGAATAATGGTGTAATTAATCAGCATCTCCTCAACATTACTAATCTCACATGTGTATATTCCCTCCTTCTCTGAAGATAAGCCCAGTAATGTGAGGCTTCCCAACTCTGATACAGCCTTCACATGCTGCTTCCACTCCTTTGAGACTGTGTAGTTGGAACCAGACCCAGTCTTTTCCAAAATTGCACGATTAAGGAATCTCCAAATGAGGCTTGTTGGAGAAGTGTTAAAGCTGGGGCAGGGGATTGTGGTTTCAGTGAAGCTGCCAGTAACTGAAGCTGAAACAAGAAGGTTGAGCATATGCCAGGTATAGATGAACAGCCTACACATGAAGTGCTTCTGTGTAAATCTAATGCATGTGTTTCAGTATTCAACAATAAGCAGCTTTCAACCTCATTTCCTAGCTCATATGTGAGGTCATACTCACGTAGCTGCCTCAGACTGGCTCTCCTCCTGTTCCTCTGAGTGCTCACAGTGCAGCTGTAGACTCGATCACTTTCATTGAATGAAGCTATCAAAGAACCGTTGATGTTGTAGAGCTGCTGCTTGGTCTGCTCGACTGTTGTTGTATTCTTGAAGGTCACCTTGGATGGCGGTCTGGTTGACCAGGTGAGCTCAGGTTTAGGGTAGATGCCCTCTGAGCTGCAGGTGATCCTGTTTCCTGCATGCTGAATGCTGACTTTGACTGGGGCTGAAAAATATAGAGTAAACCTGTGGCTTTTCAACGTAACACTACAACTGCTACATATATTAGAGGTTGGTATAAATCTTTTGAAATATCGAGCACTTAAAAGAAAAGGAAAATCCCCCAAAACCTCAGATTTTTCATACTGTGCACTTTAAGGTTGATAAATGAATCCTTTTCTGTATTAATGGTGCTGATGTAGCAGCTGTATCTGCCCTCGTCCTGAACCTGCACCCCTGTCAGTTGGAGTGAGGCGTTTCCTTTGGAGAGCTGGTCCTGGAACAGCGATGTCCTGCTTCTGAATTGTTGGTCCTGGGTTCTGAGCTGGTCTTTGTTGCCATAGTACAAGTATACAAGAGGATGTCCCTCTGACAAGTGCATCCAGTGGATGTATACTCCTCTAGTGTTTCCCTGGAAAGTGCACGGTAAGATGCACGTTGTCATGAAAACACAGGAAACTTCAGTATCTGAAACATCAGATAAAGACTGTTAATGACTGATGAAGTTTTGCACATAAAATATTTTGCAGTAACATGAAGGGAAATATTAAAGTGAGCCATTTCTCAGTCTGACTCAGCTGGTGCTAGTGAATGCTTCACTCACCTCCTCTGGAAATGGTCAGAATCCACAGAAACATGACAATCACCAGACACATGGTACTGCCAATCATGGTAATCCTGATCCTGTAGCATGTCATTTCACATGGAGCACTGGACTGCAGAGAGATTTGTTTGTATTTTAGAAATGTAGCTTTCCCTAAGGGGAACAGGCTTTTATGATTAATGTTACCAAAAGTATCCAATTTACCTGCACAACTTCATGATGGAACCTGCTGAAACAGACATGAGACAAAAGGAAGTCCAAAGGCAGGTAACAGCCCTGTGAACACCTGCACCTGGTATCAATTCAGCCATGTGGGCTTAATTAGAGAGAAGATGGAAACAGGGCAACATGAGGGAGAGAGAGAGAGAGAGAGGTAGAGGTAGAACTTGGAGCATGAGAATAAATTCTAACCAGTGCACACAGTTAATCCACATAATCCACACACATAATCCAAATTTAATATTCACTGTGTTGTGGTGATTACAGCTGGTTAGAGTTACTTTTTAAGTACCTTCATGGCTAGTATCAGTTTAGCTGTACAAATGTACAGCTGTACAAATGTACAGCTAAACTGATACTAAAATGAAGGACAGTAGGTAAACTCAGATTTTAAAAAACAAATAAACTGCAAATCCAGTGTTGACTGTTTTTGTCACAATCAATCTAACAAAGAAAAACTCACAACTCTAGGTCCAAGGGACCATGCCAACTCAGTTCTGACCTCCTGATTAGATCTCTCACTCTTTAAGGACAACGTGGTATATTTCAACAAACCCCAGTGGAGCTGGCCTGTGGTCCACACTCTTGACAAACAAGAAAGTCTGAGAAAAATGTTCTCAGTTTTCTCAGTTTCTGATATTTAATTAAAATTGACCAATTATTGAAACCTCCATAAAAACTGGCTAACCAGTTCATATATGGTACTGGCTTTATACTTTGCTAGCTTCAAAATGTTACAACAACAAAGGTTATTTTAAATACACTCTTAACACTGTTTAAGGGGCGATCGTGGCTCAAGAGTTGGGAGTTCGCCTTGTAATCGGAAGGTTGCCGGTTCGAGCCCCAGCTTGGACAGTCTCGGTCGTTGTGTCCTTGGGCAAGACACTTCACCCGTTGCCTACTGGTGGTGGTCAGAGGGCCCGGTGGCGCCAGTGTCCGGCAGCCTCGCCTCTGTCAGTGCGCCCCAGGGCAGCTGTGGCTACAATGTAGCTTGCCATCACCAGTGTGTGAATGGGTGGATGACTGGATATGTAAAGCGCTTTGGGGTCCTTAGGGACTAGTAAAGCGCTATATAAATACAGGCCATTTAAGATGAATTAATTTTCTGCAACCCGCAACTGCAACCCCCCCTGGCTGCTGAGTGAGCCCTCATCTTGGACTCTCCTCAGCTCTTTCTGGGACAGTGGTGCGGCTGCCCCTCTGTGGGTCTTCCTTGGTCTCTTGTGTTCTGGGGGCCTCTGGATGTCTGGAGTCTTGATCTCCTTCATACCTGCTTCATGCCCTGGAGGACGGGGCTGTGGCCCCCCCACACCCTCTAGCAGATCATTACATGAAGGAACCTTGCATCCATGCTCACAGGTGTACACACGGGTGCTCACACACACAAACTACACCCTTTTTGGCTCCTACCTCAAAGCACACTGTGTTCTGTTGATCTTATGTGCTGCACAATAATGTTTAAAATTTAGTATTTACTGTTATATTCCCATAGATCATCGTGATGTTGTTTATTATGGTCCTCTTTTTTTCTTCTTCTGGTTGTTTTCTCTTTTTTCTTTCTCAACAGGTGATCCAGGTGATTGATATATGTATTTTTGTCTGCTTATTTAGTTGGTTTTTGTTTTTTTTGCCCTTTATCCCCGTCCCTCTTTCCCACTGTTTTTCTTTCCCTCTTTCTTTCTCCCCTTTCTTTTCCCCAGTCAAGTCTGTCCCGTATTTAGCAAGTGAAAATAAAAAAACAAAACAATAAAAGGTTAATCAAATGGACCATTACGGCAAGGCTGGGATGGTCCATTTGATAAAGTAAATCCGTTGGGCATCTTTCTTTGCCTTTAGACAATAATTCTGATGGCAAAAGAACCAAACGGGCAGGCAAAAAAAAAAAAAAAAGCTGAATTCATTTTTTAAATAAATTAATGAAGGATATGATAGAAAAATAGTGACTGTAAAATGCATTTTATATATTATTAAGTAGATTCTGAAAAAAGTATAAGTCTCTTGCTAAAGGGAGTGCCTGAGGAAATATTTGTTTTTGTGTTGTTGGACGTCAGAAGAGGATACAGGCGTGGTTTAATGTTCACTCACAGCAAACACACCCCCACAGAGAGAGAAAGAGAAAGGATAAACTGACGCAGGTAAGCAACCACAGTAGGATCCTGACTATTGTTACTATTATTAATAGTAGTATAGGAGTACTGCTACTACTACTAGTAATTAGTGGTACTAGTATTGATTTTTCTCCCAAATGTGTTTTTAATTTTGCTTGTTGGACTATCTACCCACTCAGTAAAGGTGCACTTTCACTTTATGTTGTCAGCGCGTCTCATCAGCCTTCATTTGGGTCACACAGCCAGTAATTCATGACAACTCTACTAAAATACAGTAAGTATTTGTACTTCTTTACTTCCCATTATTATGACAACATTTGCTAACATCCCGTCTCTAAATAAGACCTAAATTACAATAATTAAAAAACATAAAAAGTGAACTGCACTAATGTTCAGACTATGTTTAAATGCTTTGCAGTCAGTTTAGCTCTTTGTGGGCTCTTAAAAATAAGATTCAATAAAAGTGCGTACAGAGACAGAGAGACAGAGAGACAGAGACAGAGAGAGAGAGAGAGAGAGAGAGGCCGTCTGATCTGTTGTAAATGGGAAGGGAAAACTGGCAGATATGAGCTCTGCTAAATAACGCTCACTGTATGGACTAATAACATCCAAAGCGGGTGCACAAACTGAGCGAGTGTGTGTTATCTGCTTTATGCTCTGTGCTGTGTGGAACTGGTTCAACAGGTATAAACTATATACACAGTGTGCTGACTGTAAGACAAATTGTTGATTCTTTTCCACACATAGGAAGAACATTTAGGATTGTGGTCGAACTGGTTTTCTCCACTAGATCATTAAAACAATAATCATGCTTGACAAGTGACACAGACCATGCAAATGTTCTTTAACAGTAATATTTTAATTTCAGGCCTGTTGATATGTTTGGACCTACAAACAAAAGACTGTTAAACAAACAGCTCCTTAGAACTACTGTCACGGCCACTTTTATCCTTCAACATACTGTGAACTCGCACGAGCTTTCTAGTAATTTCTTTAAATTATTGCCTGGAATAGTTTTCAACTTCCAAGCTCTTCTTTTCAGTTTGTCTTCCCTTTTCTCCCTTGTCTATCAAAGTGATCTCACTCTGCTTCAGTAATGTTGAGGTCTGGGCTCTGGAAAGGTCAGTCCATGGCATCATGAAGCCTGCAGTGGCTGGTCCGTGACCCTAGATCAGACTCAATTTGAAAAAAGAGTGAAAACAAAAGATCTGATCCTGTCTGACTGTTTGTGTTGGGACCTTGTGGTGACAGGGATTTGCTACAGCATCACTTTCAGATACTCTTCATCTTCTGTAGTTTCCTTTTTTTGTCCTCCATTTGTGCAGTTTCCACGTTTCTTTTCAAGGGTACACTGGACACTATGTTAAGATATGCAAAATTCAGGTTTAAGATTTAGGTTCAGTTAATAAAATTGGAATAATTTAAGTTTTTGTGATAGTGTGGCAGGCTGCCAGTAACAAAGTCCCCCAGATACACTTTAAAAAAGTGGTTCTTTGCTAAGTCTGGTTTATCCTTCTGCTTTTTAACCAATTCAAATTAAATGTCTTAACCTTGTTTTTCAATTAGCAAAAAACTGTCATGCGATGTGAAATTGGACAAAGAAGTTGATGAGAGTGAAAAAATGATTTTTAGGACACTCAGACTAAACATTGCTGGCATAATGTTCGCTTAACCAGCTGTTATTTTTCAGCTGGGTTGTTGTCCGGGTTGTAGTATTTGCAACACCATAAACATACATGTTTATGCACATTTTTGTGTATTAGAGCCCCGACTTCACTTCAGAAGATAAAGATTGAGGTGAGGAGGAAGAGGATGACAATTTGTTGGTCAGTATATCAGTATACTGTCAGTCCTCTCTTTTTTGTCCCATGTTTTCTTGTCTTTGGTAAAGGGAGCCCGTTCTCAGATGATACAACATCGGTATGATTCATATCTTGAGTCTGAAGGTTTTCCTCTATGGTCTGAACACCTACAGGTTTCTTCTTCTCTGACTTTGGCATAGTACCTGCATGGCCGGTCTCTAGGTACATTCATAAAATGTGATTGAAGTAATGATACTGCCCATCTCAGCCAATGTATTCAACACGGCAGGTTAACATAGCAGCATCCACAAACTAGTGCCTGCTCCTGAAAACTGTCTTCAGATTTACCAGATGAATTAAGTTTCTCTCTATTCCCTGTGTATCATGACAATCTGGTTTTAGTTTACATGACAATTCTGAAATTGGCTCAGTGGAGAAATCTGACCGTAACTTAATAACCTCTGCTAATGTGAACTCACTGTTTCTGGTTTACCTCTCAGACTCACTTTCAGAAGTTCACAAGATGAACATTTGTGTTGAGGAAGAAAAGAGTGGAGCAGAGTCTGCAGGATCCAGCTGTCCTTCTATGAGAAGTGACAGCTCCAGAATTGATCCTTTAAACTTCAGGGATGAACCTGGACCCTCAGACACAACGTAAGACTCAGTTTCTACTAAGATTTTCTCATCCTCCCTCAGTGTGTAACCACGAGTCCATTTAAATTTGACCTTTATGTGAACAGTACACCCTATTAGTCCAGTTCTTACTGAGGTCATTTTTATTTTCAAATTAAAACGGTTTTAGCACAAGATTATAATATATTTTATGTTAAATGTAAATGTTTATGTCAGCAACATCACTACATAAACAAGTGTGAGTAAAATAAATGATCCTCACATACAAAATACTGAGTGAAAGACAAAGGAAGCATTAAGAGGACTAATGCTGCTAGTATACAACGAAGCAACTCCCCACAACTTTGTTTCCAAACATATAAAATATTCACAGTCAGCTCAATCAAATGAAATTCAGCTGTTAGTTGAAGTATATCGTCTTCCCTACTGCTCTTTACGCTAGTGAAAGACGATGCAAACTCTGTGTTTGTGTGTGTACGTGCGAGCACGTGATTACCTGTGTATTTATGTGAGTGCACGTGAGTGAGTGTGCGTGTGGGTATGTGAGTGTAACAGTTAAAACACTGTGTGTGTGTGTGTGTGTGTGTGTGTGTGTGTGTGTGTGTGTGTGTGTGTGTGTGTGTGTGTGTGTGTGTGTGTGTGTGTGTGACTTCCTGCCGGTCATAAAAGTAATCTCCCCTCATGGAAGCTAAACCAAATTCCTCTACAAAAAAAGTTAACAGATTACAAGCACTGAGATCCCCACTCTGCATCCACTGGGCCATTGGCCTCTTGTTGTCTTACTTTTACAGATAAGCATGTGGAGAGTCTCCTGCAAACCTACTTCTAAGTTATGACAATTATGAGCTTTTATTAAAGGCACAAGCATCAGCAATCCCCAACTGTAGCTTCCTGTCTCCTTTTATGACAGCAGACCCCCAGTGTCCATAAATTCCTTTCCCTCTACACAGTTACACACTCTCAGGTCTACAATTAAACCAAACTAAAACACACAGACAAATCCTTCCCTATTCCTCTGATCTGCTGGACCCTCTCATCTAAGAAAATTTAACACATTCTATTATAATAATTATTTTCTTGCACTCACAATCACTACACCTGGCTGAGGTTGTAGTTGTTGAAAACTGGACACAGATCAGTGTTAAGTAAGACAGGCTGACAGGGAAAGCACTTTATTACTGTTGATGAAATCAAAAGCAAACATCACATTGATGATTCAAGCTCTAGTTTTCTTCATCTTAAAAAGTATTTCCCTTTTCTCGTTCCTCTTTTGGCCATCACACCGTCTGCACAGTGTTGTCAAATTTTGATCCATTTTTTAAACTGATAAACAACAATTGACTTTAACAATTAAAAAATGTGTTCACAGAGAGAGGAAGGCGATCTCAGAGGATCCAGTGTCTACCAGCCATGGACCAGAAAAATCCAGGACTGAAGCACAACTGCAGATATCCAGTAAGAGCAGCTGTCTATAAAGTAGGATTAAGCATCCGCTTATTCATGGACTCATTTCTGAGAAAAACTGTTACAGTCAGAGTTATGTAATACATCCTCGGTACTTAATATGGCATAGGGGAGGGGCCGAGGGAAGTGAACTGAGTTTTCCAGGTGGAACTGTCAATCTTTAATAAGTGTTATTGTGTAATAAAGACACAGGCTTTTATTGGCAAGTTGATTGAAAATAATTAAAAACAAACTGGAGCTGCAGAAAAAGAGTTAAACCAGTATTCTACTACCAAATATTATAATAATATATCATAATAAAAAGGTAATATTGGCTGATTTTTTAACATGTTTAGATAGTATTACTATATTATAAGGCGTGAATTAATCCTACATTGCTCAGGGATTAGATATTTAAAATAAACAGGACACCAGAATAAAATGTCATCCAACTCCCACTTTCCCAGTTTGTGGTTTGCACAACACCAGGATCCTGCCCCACCCCCGTCACTGACTGACTTCTAACAATCCAAGGAGTGAAAGCACGTGCAGTGAATAGCACCAAGCTGCCCACTTACATACTGAAAAATTAAAAGTTTTGACAGAGTGTGATGTTCTTTGACCATCAGTTTTACAGATACAGACTGCCCTAATAAAAAAAAATGCAGGATTACAATTTGTGTAACAGTTTGGCACACACTGGAATACTTGTGTCTATCTTTAGAAAGAAAGCACTACAAAATTCATTGATGGTGGATAGCTGTATTCTGAGTACGGCACATCTCTAATCCCCTCTCCTAAACTGAAGTGCTTAATTTTTGGATGAATTAGCCACATTATATAAGGATTATCTGAAAGTATAACTAACCATAACCACCAGTTCTCTCTTCATATGTACAATAATAAATCTGAGTTTTACTGAGTTTTTCTCAACAGAGAGGTTCTATTCTGCTTTCTCTGTCAGCTGTCATATGACTTGATGAAAGTGCTTAGATAAGGACTTCATTTCCCATAAACATTTGCAATATTTTTTATCAGCGACATTTCAGTCCACATTGCATAACAGTTGTTGGTGGTAATGCACAATTTCATTGTTTGGCAACTGCCAACAAAGTAACAAGAATAAGACACTTTGCAGGCCAAACATTACAGTTAATAGAAAAGATGATCTGATAAAGGTTCACAGTGAGCTCAGACATGCGAAATAATAAAATGGAGACAAAAGAACATTGTGTATCAGAGACAAACATCATAAATCATCCTAAACAAGAGCCACAGACTTTGACCAACAGCCCACAGTAGGTTTTTCTGTAATTACGCTTCCCTAATTTTCACACGAATTGCTCAGCAGATTCACTTGCTGAACAAAAACAGAAAAAACAAACAAAACAAAAACAAAACAAAAATAAAGACAAAACACACTTCTGCCAAGAAAAGCTGAGCATGTTCTAGAAAGCAGGTTTAGTAAAACTTTAAGTTTGTTCCTGCTTGAAGAAGGAAGCTCTGGTTTTCTGTTCCACATTTCCTCATTCAGACAGTCAATATTAAAGCTTACATCAAAACACAAATTTGAACGAGTTTATGTCTTTACAAACACATACGAACAGTAGAATCCCAGTTAGATTTTAAATATGTTTTATATTTAACAAAACCACTTTTTATATCAACCTGCCATCAATGTAAAGGCAGAGACAAGATCTATAGACTGCATCTCTGTAATTTTGTGACCAACAAGGCAAAAGTTAGATTTATAATTGCTGCATTCAATCATTTACTATACATTACAATTGTGATCCCAGTTTGAATACAACTATGGCATCAGAGCGCCGGTGACGATAGCTTTTTTTCATTATCCATGAAATTCATAGTGAGCATGCTCTGAACATTTCGTTGTCATTTAACATGTTAAAACATGAAACATATACATTACTGGGATTAATTTAGCAGGCCAACATTAGAATAATAACAAATAGAATAACTTAATAATTTCTCTGACAAAACAGCTGATCAGAGTTGGTTCATTGACCTCAGAGTTTATTGTTGGACTCGTTTAGTTAAACATGCTTTTGGGAACAGGTCACTGCACAGCTGACATCAAGCTGCAGCCAGAGTAGTAATCATAATAATCAGCAGTAATTATCATCATTAGCTATAACACACAGACTATTTCAAAATTTGTCATATGGTGTAAAAACTTTGCTAATTACTACTGATGAAAATCAGACTGTTTCTGCTCCTTCACAATAAAGGTTTTCACACATGGAAGCTTTTACTGTCAAATGGAAATGCTGTGTTGTTGTAAGCTGATTAGCAGACGTTGTTATTTCTTATTAAATTGTTCTCCACATAAACACAGGAACACATCTCGAGGGTCTGAGAGGAAAAAAAAACTTATCTAATGTGTTCTTAAAAATGTCTAAAAAAAATCAAAAAATCTCAAAAAATCTTATTGCAAACCATTTAAATAATGTTATGGTTAGATGTAATAAAAGTATAACTGTTTTCTTTTTTGTTATATTTGCTCTTTTTTAACAGCAGATGTTGGTCTGCAGGAGATTTTAAATGAACATAAAATACATCTAAAGAGACAATATGAACGTGTGACTGAAGGATTTGGTGAATCAACAAGTGGAACCCTCCTCAACACGATCTACACTGAGCTTTACATCACAGACAAACAGAGTGAAGAGGTTCATACTCAACATGAAGTGAGGCAGCTGGAGACAACTTCACAAACAGATACCGTCCATGCCCCAACAATCAAGTGTCACAAACTCTTTGAAGTTTTACCTCACCTGATGAGACCCATCAGAGTGGTTCTGATGAACGGAATTGCTGGCATTGGAAAAACCTTCTCAGTGCAGAAATTTATTGTGGACTGGTCAGAGGGCTTGGAAAACCAAGACATCAACATAGTGATTCTGCTTTCATTCAGGGAGTTGAATCTCGTTAAAGATGAGCGGTACAGTCTTCTGGAGCTGCTCCATGTTTTCTATCCAACATTACAGAAAGTCACCACAGAGAAACTGACTCTTTGTAAACTTTTGTTCATCTTTGATGGCCTGGATGAAAGTCGACTTTCACTGGAGTTCACTAACCGGAAGATTGTTTCTGACATTACTCAGACATCATCAGTCAATGAGTTAGTAACAAACCTCATAGAAGGGAATCTGCTTCCCTCGGCTCTCATCTGGATAACTACCCGACCTGCAGCAGCCTATCAGATACCTCCTAAATGTGTTGACAGGGTAACAGAAGTGCGAGGCTTCACTGACGCTCAGAAGGAGGAGTACTTCAGGATGAGGTTTAGTGAGAAAGAGCTGTCCAGAGTTATCTCCCACATTAAGAAATCCAAAAACCTCAATGTCATGTGTAAAATCCCAGTCTTCTGCTGGATCACTGCCACAATCCTTGAGTACATATTGAATACAGACCAAAGAAGAGAGCTACCAAAGACCCTGACTGACATGTACTCGTACTTCCTACTGGTTCAGACAAAAAGAAATAAACACAAGTGCCAAAAAGAACATGAAACGAGTCCACAGGAGCTGACGGATGCTGACAGGGAAGTTCTTCTGAAGCTGGGGAAGCTGGCGTTTGAAAATCTGAAAAAAAGAAACATCATATTCTACCAAGAAGACCTGGAAAAGTGTGGTCTGGATGTCACAGAGGCCTCAGTTAATTCAGGGGTTTTTACTGAAATCTTTAAAAGACAGTGTGGGATTTTCCAAAAACCAGTCTACTCCTTTGTTCATCTGAGCATTCAGGAGTTTCTGGCTGCTGTTTACACGTTTCACTGTTACACCAACAGGAAAACAGAGGTACTAAAAGAAGTCCTGGGGGAAGAATATAACGAGACATCTCTGGACATTTTTCTGAGCAAAGTCATGGAAAAGTCCCTCCAATGTAAAAATGGCACTCTGAACTTGTTTGTTCGCTTCCTGCATGGCCTCACACTAGAGTCCAACCAAAGACTCTTAGTAGGTCTACTGAGTCAGACAGAGAACAACCCAGAAGTTATCCAGAAAATCATCAACAACCTAAAAGAGATGAGACGTTCTCAAATTTCTCCTGACAGAAGCATCAATATCTTTCATTGTCTGATTGAGATGAATGACAGCTCAGTGTTTCAGGAGATCCAAGAATTCGTGAAATCAGAGACAAAACTCTGTGAGATCCACTGCTCAGCTCTGGCCTACATGCTGCAGATGTCGGAGGAGGTTCTGGATGAGTTGGACCTGCAGAAGTTCAACACATCAGATGAAGGACGACACAGACTGATCCCAGCTGTGAGCAACTGCAGAAAGGCTCTGTGAGTCCTGTTGTGATCATTAACACAATTAATCAGATTAGATCAGTAGTTCCCAGGGTGGCTGTGGCTACAATGTAGCTTGCCATCACCAGTGTGTGAATGTGTGTGTGTGAATGGGTGGATGACTGGATGTGTAAAGCGCTATACAAATACAGGCCATTTACCATTTACAGGTGAATCTTTCCATTAAACTGACTTTATTCAAAATCTTCTGGAGCCAAATTAAAAACAGGAAACAGTCCAAATGTTTCTCTTCTTTAGTTTATAATCTAAAACATTGTTATAGAAAAGGTGAATGAGGCAGGTTCTATAAAACACTTTGAGTAGAAAAACTTTTACTCAAGTAGATTAGCAAGGTCCTATATAAGAATGAATCCATTTACCATTGACGAGGATCAGATTTCACTGACAGAATGTGGACATGATCATGGTTTAAATGTAACACAATTTTGTTTTCATCTGTATATTACATATGAAATCCCTTTGTTTTGTCTTCCTATTCACTAAGTCTGTGTTTACAATGCAAAATTCCTGCTTTTATAATAACATATTTGATGTTTTCTCTTGTCACAGACTAAAAGCTTGTCATCTCTCAGAGACTCACTGTGAAGTTGTGGCCTCAGCTCTCAAATCCGACAACTCCAATCTGGTGGAGTTGGACATGACTGGAAACAAGTTGCAGGATTCAGGACTAAATATTTTGTCTGCTGGACTGTCTAGTCCAGACTGTCGACTAGAGACTCTGAGGTGAGTTTGCTGACTGGAGTTGTTGTTGTTTAATCAAAGATCTAAGTTTTACACTCTTGGTTAATAAAGGTTCACAATTTGTATGAACAAAAATATATAGAAGTGTTATTGATTTCAGAAATGTTTGCTTTTCCAAATGGCTGAACGATAATTTTTACTTTTGGCTCCAAACAGACGTGACAGACTTGAGCAAAGTTAAGTTAAAAGCTGACAGAAGTCAGGTTATGGTAGAGAGATATTTTTACAGTTGTTCAGCCTCCACAGGTCAAACTCAGTCAGTCAGAGAAGATGAGGTGATTGGTGATGAGGCGTTAGGGTCTGTGTGGGGTGTCAGTCACTCTGATAAATAGCAGATAAAAACAGGCTACAGAGATTTTGACAACCCACACAGCTGCTTTGGTGATGTATGTGTTAAAGAAAACAGCAGCCTGACACAGTCCGGAACATAACAGCAAAGCAGGATTCTGAATGTATGTGAGGATTTTTTAAAAACAGCTGGAGAAGAGAGAGGCTTCTTAAAAAGACTATAAGAAGAGGGAAGCTGAGAGTTTTTTTTTTAAAGTTTCTGTTCCTCTAAAAATGATCCTGTTTTAACTCATTTTGAGTATTACAGCACCAAATATCGCTTATGTTGTTGTAAAGCAACATAACAACACAAGAAGTCATAAAAAAACAGAATATCTGCATTGACAGCAGACTGAAAGCTGCCTTTACCAGCCCAATATAACCTCACTAACCAGGCAGACAGACTACCATGGTTTGTGAAGTAGTGCCTGCCTAGAGTCTAAGAGTATAGTTCTAAATCATCTGTTCTGTAGATAGAGAATATTTTCAGCACTAAATCTTTAAAGAAAAACTACTGACCAGTTTGAGTGTAAAGAACATTTTATAAAGAGTTGTCAGTCACATTCTTCAGCAGACCATTTCAGGCTCTCATGAACTCAGACGTTGAGCTCAGGTAATGTCACTTCAGTTCACTTCAGGTCGCTTCAGTCTAGTGTAGAGATTAGGACTGAAACCGTAATAGTGTTCATGTAAAAAATACTAATGAAAAAAGATCAACTGACCACTGTTTCTATTTTAAGAATAAAGGAAACACATTCAGATAACTCTGTCATGTTGGTACTTTGACTTCTGCTCAGCAGACAGATAAAGTCACGTGGTCAGATCCAGCTGTTTCAATATTTATTTAGTGTCCACCATTCTTTAACAGTTTTGTACTTTGAAGACTGATATAATAATGCTTTTAGAATGATGTAATAATGATTTTAGAATCCATGATAAAACTTCTGGGCGTTAATCTTGAAGAGAACCTCACTGATGACTGATATCTGCATTTTTCATTCTTTATTCAGGTTGGAGAGCTGTTGGTTGTCAGATATCAGCTCTCTGGCTTCAGCTCTGAATTCCAACCCCTCTCATCTGAAATATCTAAACCTGAGCTACAACAACTTGGAGAATTCAGGAGTGAGGCATCTTTGTGGTTTTCTGAAGAATCCCCACTGTCTATTGGAGACTCTGAGGTTAGACACCAAATTTTAACTGTGCTTAGATCCTAATCCCGGATAGTATAGTATTTATAGTCTAAGTATAGTATAGTGTCGATTAACAAACATCTTGGGAACATAGTTTGTACCAGGAATTTTGGCACATTTGCAAACTGACACTGCTGAACAGTGACAGTAAACTAGATGAAGCAAAGATGACGAGTTATTTGTGTCAGAAAGCACAAAGAGCCACTGCAGAGCTAAAATTGTACTTTACACCTTCACTGGGGTTTGTAGTGCTTTCATTTCAGTGTTGGAGTTTGTGATCAGTGCCTAATTTAATACATTGCTACATATTTAGTTATTTTAATGAAGGTATTTGCCACACACAGTTACAGTGATCTAAGAATGTTTTCACCAGTGAGGAATGACTGACCAGCAGTTTCAGAGGTAGACCTGCATGACATCTAGAAAAAGCAAAGCAAAAAACCCCCAGGAGAGCTAGTGCCAACTGCTCACCAGGACTATCCTAGCTCAGTGCTGACCTTCTTCAGCTCCTGACATATTATGACACTGGATGCTTTCAAGCACAGACTCTTAGTAATAAACACTTTTTAAAAATTCCTTATGCAGATTGCAGCGCTGCAGTTTGTCAGAGATCAGCTGTGATCATCTGCTTCCAGCCCTTCAGTGCAACCCCTCCCATTTGAAACATCTGGACCTGAGCACGAACAACCTTCAGGATTCAGGAGTGGAGCAGCTGTGTGTTTATCTGAAGACTTCAGATTGCAGACTGGAGACTCTCAGGTCAGACACCATGTTTTAGTTGTACTTACATATATATGATGTGAAAGCTGGCATTAACCTACACATACATACTGACATTAACCTAATTAACACTTTAACTGTGGCAGAACAATGGTTCACATTTCAAACATTAAAACTGTGTTACTCATCTTAAGACAAACAGCCCTCATCTGGGCTCCACCCTGATTAATGAAAGAAATCTCCGTCCGTGGATCGGGTTTCCTTCGAGACATGGGCAGCGATAAGCAGAGTTCATCCTTTAACATAAACAAAATTAAAATATTCTCATGCATGATCAATGGTTAATCACGGTACCAGCTGGAGTACCGGGAGCAGTTTGGAAAAACAAGAAGACGCGGAGACTGTTCTAGGTGTCATTCCAAACTGACTCAAAGGTTTATTCTCTGTGCAACAGTTTTATAGGCAGACAAGTTTCAGTTCAGACCCTGCCCACTGGGTGGGGTGGCGTCCTGACAGTTAAATTCCTTTGTTCAGCAAGGGCAATAAAAAAAACACTCACAAAAACAATAAATCTTTACCGAGATCTCCTACATCCTGAGTTCTGACACAAAAACCAGATGGTCTTCACATAAACATTTTCTGCAAGGTAAAGAGTGATTTGTTGGTGTTTTTCCTCCAACCTTAGTATACACCATAAATCTTGAGTTAACAAGGCAAGAGAAAATAACAGTTAGCATAAAGAGCTTTGTTAAGTTACAGAATCTTCAGTCTAATATTATCATACAGGTCCATTAAACACTAGACATTTAGAATCCTTTAGTGATATAAGTTTGCACATGGTAGAATACTGCATGTAGTTATTTGCATCTAGGAAATGTTTAACCATATATACCCAGAGGCACATAATCAATTGTGTGTGTTCTTTAGCAGGCTGCAAGCTTGAGGTACACTGAGGAATGCACTATCCCAGTTTAAGTGCCTTGTTTACATATAGATGAACTGTTGGATTTTCCAGGCCAGCAGGCCAAAGGAAATGCCCGTGGGGTTACAAGAAGAGGAGATGAAGTTTTAAAACAAAGGACATTGCAGAAACAGGGTCCTTTGTATAATATCACTATAAAACAATATCCTGTAAATGCTAACCGTAGTGCTAAAATTCACAACAATTAACATTATTGCTATCAACTCTTGGTATACAACACATTGATTAATCATTTACAGTTAACTCGTTTTCATGGTACAAAGGTCATGACACACAGGAATCTGTGGAACAGAAACAGTTTGTGGCAGGAATCATTGCACAATTACAAATTGTACTGCTGAATGGCATGCTGGGTAATGCTAGCTATACAGGTCTGTCAATAGTGGCCAAAGAGTCCGTTGCTACAAAAGGTTTTTCAATCAGACTTGTTTTTCTCTCATTTCTGGTCATGCTGCTGCTTGTGTGTTGAAAGACAAAGACAAAGTTTAGGTGGGGTTCAGGGAGATTTGAGTTTAAAAAAAGTATTATTAATTGATTTAAATAACAAGGGATAATATACAATATTACTATAAATGTTGCCATTTGATGCATTATATCAGAGTTTATTGGCAGGTTACATCAAAAAAATAACACATAAAAAAATTGCCAGCTTTTAAAATGTGTCTGGTATAAAAGTGTCCTCAAATATATACATTTCTTTCAAACTAAATCTTTAAAACTGAAGCAATGTAAATACTTTTTTCACAATTTTGATCTAAAAATTAGGATTTTTGTCAGAATTTCATACCCCCACTCTCCAAGACCCTATTTTTTTCTTTTTTTCTTCAGTGAACAAACAGCATGTCATCAGTCAGATTATTGAGAGCTCTTTTTTTCACTTGTACCTTTTGTCTGAACCTCCATCCTGTTGGCTCAAACTGTTTGGATTTTACATTTTTTAAACTTGAACATTTCAAATCTTCTGAACAAATTATCAAACCTTAAATGATTTTACCACAGATTTTGCCTCATAAACTTACATCTTCTATCTCCATTCAGGTTATGGGGCTGCAAGTTGTCAGAGACCAGCTGTGATTATCTGTTCAAAGCTCTTCAGTCCAACACCCATTTGAGAGAGCTGGACCTGACCTTGAACAACCTGCAGGAATCACATGTGAAACAGCTGTCTGAGCTTGTGGACAGCCCACATCACACACTGGAGGTTCTCAAGTGAGTAGAGGCTTGGACTCAGTCCAGGCTGCTTTCCCAGTATAACACAGTGTGAAATCAGTGATCCAGTGTTTCTTGTACATCTGCAGTCTTCTTAACTCAGTGAGGCTGTAAGAAGAGAACAGTGGCAGGCTTCAATATTCGACAGAAAGACAACAGACATCCAATCAAATGACACAGAAGTTTGTGATCATGTGTTTGAGTTGATGTGACGATAACTAATGTTCACATCTACAGAGAATAAATGGATTTGTAAGGGTGTCAGCTGGAAACAAGCTTTATTTCCTGTAGACATGAACACAGAAACATCAAATCACACAGGTGTATTAAATATTTTACAGAATATTTTATTTATTTTTAGAGGAAGAAATTGTCAAGAAACAAAACATTCTACAAAGAAAACAACCAACTCGCCTATCATGGAAATCCAAAATGATGCAGGAAAATTAGTCAAGAACACACGCACAGAGATATGTTGGAAGCAGGAAGCAGGCAGGATTTGTCAGTCTTGACAGGTCCCAGTTTATAGCCAGACCCATTTAATCTCGAACCAGTGGTCAGCCTTCACCTGTAAATTACATTAAACTGCTTACTAAATGAACACCACTGCTCCAGGTGTGGAGAAGTAAATGCAGTACACAAAATTATGACCTGGGTCATAACCTCCAGGAATCAAGATTGCATATGTCTTACTGTCAGTGCTTTCATTGACATTTGTTCAGTAGTAGCCTCCATGTATATTAGTAAGCTGATATTTTAGCAACAGGTAAGAAGTTCAACAATACACAGCAACCTTTCGATCTTAGTGAAACAAGAGAAAATCCATTCATTGGCAGGAGGCACATTGCTTCATCAGCTGACTGTATACTGTTAGTCAGTTCTTCAGCACCAAAGGTTTTCATGCACAATAACAAAGCCTCAGCTCCTGCCTGTGAATCTTTTTCATCATTCCAAATCAATGTTTTGATTCAAATTCTGGTCTGTTAATTCTAATTCCGTTGTTTTCATTCAAATTCTATTCATTTCATTCTAATTCCGTTCTTTTCATTGAAATGCTGTTGTTTTCATTCAAATGCTGTTGTTTTCATTCTAATTCTACTCTTTTTTATTAAAATTCTATTGTTTATTTTAGAATTCTGTTGCTTTCATTCAAACTCTGTTCTATACGTTCTAATTCCGTTGTTTTCATTCAAATTCCGTTCTTTGTTTTCAAATTCCGTTGTTTTCGTTCAAATTCTGTTGTTTTCATGCAAATTCTTTTGTTTTTGATCAAATTCTGTTCTTTTCATTCAAATTCTGTCGTTTTAAATCAAATTCCATTATTTTCATTCAAATTCCATTATTTGTTCTAAAATTCTGTTGTTTTCATTCAAATTCTGTCGTTTTCATTTTAATTCAGTTGTTTTCTTTCTAATTCTGTTGTTTTCATACAAATTCTTTGGTTTTGATCAAATTCTGTTGTTTTCATTCAAATTCTGTTTTTTTCATTCAAATTCCATTGTTTTCATTCAAATTCTATTCTTGTCATTCTATTTCCATTGTTTTGATTCAAATTCTGTTCTGTTCATTCTAATTCCATTGTTTTGATTCAAATTCTGGTCTGTTCATTCTAATTCCGTTCATTTCATTGAAATTTCATTGTTTTCATTCAAATGCTGTTGCTTTCATGCAAATTCTTTTGTTTTTGATCAAATTCTGTTCTTTTCATTCAAATTCCATCGTTTTCATTCAAATCCCATTGTTTTCATTCAAATTCCATTGTTTGTTCTCAAATTCCGTCATTTTCATTCAAATTCCGTCGTTTTCATTCAAATTCCGTCGTTTTCATTTTAATTCCATTGTTTTCATTCTAATTCTGTTGTTTGTTTTAAACTTCCATTGTTTTCATTCAAATTCCGTTGTTTTTGATCAAATTCCATTGGTTGTTCTCAAATTCTGTCGTTTTCATTCAAATTCCATTTTTTGTTCTCAAATTCTGTTGTTTTCATTCAAATTCCATTTTTTGTTCTCAAATTCTGTCGTTTTCATTCAAATTCCATTTTTTGTTCTCAAATTCTGTTGTTTTCATTCAAATTCCATTTTTTGTTCTCAAATTCCGTCGTTTTCATTCAAATTCCATTTTTTGTTCTCAAATTCTGTTGTTTTCATTCAAATTCCATTTTTTGTTCTCAAATTCCGTCGTTTTCATTCAAATTCCGTCGTTTTCATTTTAATTCCGTTGTTTTCTTTCTAATTCTGTTGTTTGTTTTAAACTTCCATTGTTTTCATTCAAATTCCATTGTTTTTGATCAAGTTCTGTTGTTTTCATTCAAATTCTGTTGTTTTCATTCATATTCCATTGTTTTCATTCAAATTCCATTGTTTGTTCTCAAACTCTGTTGTTTTAATTCAAATTCCGTCATTTTCATTTTAATTCAGTTGTTTTCATTCAAATTCTGTTCTTTGCATTCTAATTCCATTGTTTTGATTCAAATTCTGGTCTGTTCATTCAAATTCCATTGTTTTGATTCAAATTCTATTCATTTCATTCTAATTCTGTTATTTTCATTGAAATTCTATTCATTTCTTTCTAATTCCATTCTTTTCATTGAAATTCCGTTGTTTTCATTCAAATTCTGTTCTTTTCTTTCTAATTCCATTGTTTTGATTCAAATTCTGTTCTTTTCATTCTAATTCCGTTGTTTTCTTTCAAATTCTATTCATTTCATTCTAATTCCGTTCTTTTCATTGAAATTTCGTTTTTTTTTCATTCAAATGCTGTTGTTTTCATGCAAATTCTTTTGTTTTTGATCAAATTCTGTTCTTTTCATTGAAATTCCATCGTTTTCATTCAAATTCCATTATTTTCATTCAAATTCCATTGTTTGTTCTCAAATTCTGTTGTTTTCATTCAAATTTCGTCGTTTTCATTTTAATTCAGTTGTTTTCTTTCTAATTCTGTTGTTTTCATACAAATTCTTTGGTTTTGATCAAATTCTGTTGTTTTCATTCAAATTCTGTTGTTTTCATTCAAATTCCATTGTTTTCATTCAAATTCTATTCTTGTCATTCTAATTCCATTGTTTTCATTCAAATTCTGGTCTGTTGATTCTAATTCCGTTCATTTCATTGAAATTCCATTGTTTTCATTCAAATGCTGTTGCTTTCATGCAAATTCTTTTGTTTTTGATCAAATTCTGTTCTTTTCATTCAAATTCCATCGTTTTCATTCAGATCCCATTGTTTTCATTCAAATTCCATTGTTTGTTCTCAAATTCTGTTGTTTTCATTCAAATTCCGTCGTTTTCATTCAAATTCCGTCGTTTTCATTCTAATTCTGTTGTTTGTTTTAAACTTCCATTGTTTTCATTCAAATTCCGTTGTTTTTGATCAAATTCCATTGTTTGTTCTCAAATTCTGTCGTTTTCATTCAAATTCTGTCGTTTTCATTCAAATTCCATTTTTTGTTCTCAAATTCCGTCGTTTTCATTCAAATTCCGTCGTTTTCATTTTAATTCCGTTGTTTTCTTTCTAATTCTGTTGTTTGTTTTAAACTTCCATTGTTTTCATTCAAATTCTGTTGTTTTCATTCATATTCCATTGTTTTCATTCAAATTCAATTGTTTGTTCTCAAACTCTGTCGTTTTCATTCAAATTCCGTCGTTTTCATTCAAATTCCATTTTTTGTTCTCAAATTCTGTTGTTTTCATTTTAATTCCGTCGTTTTCATTTTAATACCGTTGTTTTCTTTCTAATTCTGTTGTTTGTTTTAAACTTCCATTGTTTTCATTCAAATTCCATTGTTTTTGATCAAGTTCTGTTGTTTTCATTCAAATTCTGTTGTTTTCATTCATATTCCATTGTTTTCATTCAAATTCAATTGTTTGTTCTCAAACTCTGTTGTTTTAATTCAAATTCCATCGTTTTCATTTTAATTCCGTTGTTTTCATTCAAATTCTGTTCTTTGCATTCTAATTCCATTGTTTTGATTCAAATTCTGGTCTGTTCATTCTAATTCCATTGTTTTGATTCAAATTCTATTCATTTCATTCTAATTCCGTTATTTTCATTGAAATTCTATTCATTTCTTTCTAATTCCATTCTTTTCATTGAAATTCCGTTGTTTTCATTCAAATTCTGTTCTTTTCATTCATATTCCATTGTTTTCATTCAAATTCAATCGTTTGTTCTCAAACTCTGTCGTTTTCATTCAAATTCCGTCGTTTTCATTCAAATTCCATTTTTTGTTCTCAAATTCTGTTGTTTTCATTTTAATTCCGTCGTTTTCATTTTAATACCGTCGTTTTCTTTCTAATTCTGTTGTTTGTTTTAAACTTCCATTGTTTTCATTCAAATTCCATTGTTTTTGATCAAGTTCTGTTGTTTTCATTCAAATTCTGTTGTTTTCATTCATATTCCATTGTTTTCATTCAAATTCAATTGTTTGTTCTCAAACTCTGTTGTTTTAATTCAAATTCCGTAATTTTCATTTTAATTCCGTTGTTTTCATTCAAATTCTGTTCTTTGCATTCTAATTCCATTGTTTTGATTCAAATTCTGGTCTGTTCATTCTAATTCCATTGTTTTGATTCAAATTCTATTCATTTCATTCTAATTCCGTTATTTTCATTGAAATTCTATTCATTTCTTTCTAATTCCATTCTTTTCATTGAAATTCCGTTGTTTTCATTCAAATTCTGTTCTTTTCTTTCTAATTCCATTGTTTTGATCCACATTCTGGTCTGTTCATTCTAATTCCGTTGTTTTCATTCAAATTATATTTATTTCATTATAATTCCGTTTTTTTCATTGAAATTTCGTTTTTTTCATTCAAATGCTGTTGTTTTCATGCAAATTCTTTTGTTTTTGATCAAATTCTGTTCTTTTCATTGAAATTCCATCGTTTTCATTCAAATCCCATTGTTTTCATTCTAATTCTGTTGTTTGTTTTAGTAAAGTGTTTGTGCAGCAAGGAAGAATTCAGGCCTCTCAGCGGTTAAGCTCCACTGTAGACTTGTCTGAACAAGTCAGTGCTGCCCCTAATAATATTAATAACACCCAAAAATTTGATTCTGTTCATCTTCATGTAGCGTTTTTAGTGGGAGAAACATTTCATCACTTGTTCATGTGACTTCTTCAGTCTCAGCTGACTGCAGGTTTCCCCAACCTTATAAACAGGACATTTGCACAATCACTGAAACTAGCACCACTGAACAATGGGCTACGAGGTCAGTTCCTTAATCATTAATGTAAATTCTCTCTCACTGAAAACACCACGTTCAGATGAACAGAATCAACCTTTTGGGATGTACGTACCTGGATGATTGAGCATGCACCAAGAAAGATCAATAATAGTTAATACTGGATGTGCTTTAACACTGAAAAATGATGAAGACAGTCTCTGCAAACACTCATTTATCTACTCTGCCCTTTCTTGTCTTTGCAGACGGAAGGACCCATAAACACAGTTGTTTGTCTTTGTTGTGTGTGTAGTGTGTGTGTGGTGTGTGTGCGTGTCCTGATGGTCCAGAGAGGTTGAAACACCAGCAGCTTGTGTGTAGTGATGCTGTGACAGGGCCAGGCTACAGGGAGGTGGAGTGGACAGCAGAGCTTCATCCAGCAGTGACAGAAATCAGACGTGCAGATGGCTGACAGTGCTGTAAAAATGCTCTGAGAGCTCCTCTGTTAGACACCATGTAGAATCTATCGTCATCCCTTTGTGTTCTTTCATCACAGTGTCTTTTTGCAGACACTAGGTTCAGTTTTATTTTCTTTGAAAAGTTACCTAAATACATTTTAATATCTTTTGTACAATTGATGTAATTTTAAGTTATTTATCATGGTTTTGAAATCTATCGTGTGACAATGACTTCAAGTATCCTTCTTGAAACAGTAAATTTTTTTTTCATCGACATAATCTGTATAGTGCAACTGATCAGGTAAAAAATGTTCAATAATTGAAAAAAGATAGATTTGTTTTATACTTTCTAACATAATAACTGGGATCATGTGATATAAACACTATTGTAGAGAATTGCAAACTGTCCAGAGTTTGGTGTACTATATATCTTCAGTAATTTAGATAATGAAAGTATCCAGTGGTTCAGCAGATGAAGTGCAGAAGGTAGAGGTTTTTTCATGGATGCTAAATCCATCAGTTGTGTTGTTACTGTTAGAGATGTTACACAGTCATGTGACTTCCCTGGGTGAAGACAATTGGCAGCAGTCTGAAGTTTGAAATTCCTGAGCTGATGAATAAGGCTACGTTCACACTGCAGGTCTCAATTCCAATTTTTTGATCAAATCTGATTTTTTTTGTCTGATTGTTCACACTTCAAATACAATGTGACAGCAAACGCGCTCTAGTGTGAACAGTTCACGGCCCTCAAACCGGCCCGCGTGTGCAAAAGAAGATGTCACACACAACACGCTCTGTTTGCAGAAGTAAAAATGGCGGCTACAGAGCCAGTAGGTTGTTCAGCAGTCTATCAATTTCTGCACAGTCTCAACCGACAGAATTTTGATAAATTAATTACAGAAAGGACACTGAGAAAAAAGAGAGCCCATGCTTTAACAATGGCCTTGTTTGCAGCAGTGGCTGCTACCTCCATGCACAGGTATATATTGGCACGGAGTCGGAACCAGGAGTGGTGGGACTGGTTTGTCTTCAGATATGTATCTGATTCAGTACCACATATGAAAGTGACCCAGGTCGGATTTGGAAATATCAGATTTGTGCTGTTCAAACTGTCAGACCATGATCGGATATGGGTCGCATAGGGTCAAAAAGTTGGATTTGATGCGCTTTTGCCTGCAGTGTGAGCATAGCCTTAGTTATCTGTCAATAATGAACCTTAATGTTTTATATGGATAATAAGGATCAATAAATGTGTGGATTTGACTCAAAGGAATGACTCTGACTCATGGAACGACTTCCTTCCTGCTTTTCTGTCATGTCAATCAAATTCAGACCTCTAGCTTAATTAGTCACCCACCACCACAGCTTTCCAATTAAAGCTCAACATTCCTGCTTCAGCCAGTCCACAAATTTTAATGAAGTGTTTTTTGTGTTAAACCTGGCAGTGATATAGATTCCAACAGCATCATACTCCTGTTGCATATGGGATCACCCACATCTGTACTGGGTCACGAGGTGGGGTTAAGGCAGACAAGCCTGCAAATAATTTATAAACTTTTTAAAACAGTTAAAAATGCTTTAATTTATTAGAAGGAGGATATTTCTACGATCTCTCCAGGTTTCAGATTTCACTACACCACAATATAGTGAAAAAGTTTAATACTATACACCACAAAAATATCTTAAGACCATTTATGACCAACATCTTAAAAAAACATTTATGCATGATGATAATGCATGATTTTATTGTAGTAAGATATGAATGGAATAAGCTGCACACAATAAAAAAAAGTGACATCACTTGAAACATCATATGCACAGAGTGAAACAGGTGATACAGTTTAAATGTATGTGAATTAGCTAAAATTATTAAAGTTTAAATTATTAAAAGTTTGATAATCCCAACTGTAACCAAAAGAAGATTAGCAGAAGGAACAGAATGAGAACACATGGCAGCAAATGTTACTGTTTTCATTCATTATGAATGAGAGGCTATTAAAACACAATCACCTGAGTATATAAGAACAGACTTCTACTTCATTATTTCTCGTTATATTTACGTACCAAGAGAATTTAAATTTTACATTTATTTTTACTTTGTGTGCTGAATTTACAAAAACAACAACATAATTTGGATTTTATTGTGTTTTGTGTCCAAGTTAGGTTTGCTTCTCCTACAGAGTAAAAATATTTTTGCTTTCACAAAATATTCAAAAAATCAATAAATAAATCCATACATGCTTACATGCACATGCAAATAAATACATAAATAAATAAATGGGATATTTAAACCACAGAAAAACTCAACGATTCATGAAAGAAAAAGTTGCTTCCACTGTAAAACATCTGACCACACTGCCACCTGCTGGACTGAAGATAAAATACACCTAATGAAACAGGATTAAAGTAGGTAAGAAAAAGAAAACTCGAAAAATAAAACAGCAACAACACATGGCTAGAAAAAAAAGGTTACATAATTTTACAAAACATGATGTACACTTCATTTTCAATCTTTAAAAAATTTCAGTAAAATCTGATCGTGATCTGTTCTGTGTCATACCTCAAAGAACATAAAATATAGATTACTGTAAAAATATTGCACATGACTACCAAATGAATACTGTTAACAGATCAGATTTTAGTCTTTGTTGCATGAATTAATTCAAGCCCGCTATAACCACGGTTTGAAGTCTTCATTTGACTAAAGCTGGTGGGTGTTTAGAGTTCGTCTGTTTGGAGGATTTATTCCCATCTCTCTGTTAAACAGAGAAAAGAAAAAAACCCTCAAAAAACAGATATACACATAATTTATGTTTCATTTCATGCATTCATAATCTGAATTGAATCATTAAAAAAAATTGAGACAGGAGTTAGGTTAATAGAAAACTGGCTGACAAAAGTACTATCCATTTAATTGGGTTTAAACATTTTCATGAACAAAACTTAATTCCATTTTGCTTTAATAGCTCTTTGATCTTCCCATATTTTTCCTTGTTTATCTGAATAAAATATCAATACAAGCAACATACAATTAAAAAGTGAAAGAAGAACATAACTTTAACTTCTTTTCCATTTGCAGTACAGTGCCAGACCAGCTGCTGCCACGACCAAAAAAGCTGCAAAGACTCCTCCTCTGAAGCCTCTAACAGGGACAACATTCCCTAAATTGAAAGATTATTTTTCATTTAAACTGTCGGATGTATATTTATGATAAACATTTTATAAATAACTGACACATTTTTGCGTGTTGATGAATGAGTAATTGTAAAGTAAAGTAAATAACTAGCACTCTGCACACCTATTTGATTTGCTGGTTTCCAGACTCACCTTGTTCACTTAAAGTTGCGTTCCTCCAGTTTCTACGAGTGCTGATGTTACAGCTAAAAACAGAATCTTTATCACTGTCTGAAAGTATCAGAGAACTGCTGATGTTGTAAAGCTGCTGTTCTGTCTGCTGGACTGTGGTTTCATACTGGAGCGACACATTGGATGGAGGGCTGGTGGACCAGATTAACTGGGGTTCAGGGAAGATTCCCTCTGAGCTGCAGTTCATCGTGTTTCCTACTTGCTGAAGATTGACTTCTTGTACTGGAGCTGCAAAAGTGTATTCAAATTTCTCATGTTACAATCAGCTTTATTTCTTGCCTGCTATATATAGACATAATGAATTGCAACTTACAGTTACAATATTGACTCAGAGCTGCAGGCTTTAAGTGTAAGTTCAACGAATTTTCACTAAATATGAAGAGAAACTCATCAATTAAAAAAGTATAACCTGAATGCTCATGATTTTGTCTTATATTCTTCTGTATTTTTATTTCATGTGCTATTATATTCATATTTTACTCCATACCATTTACTTCAAGGTTTATAAACGATTCCTTGTTTCCTGTGATGGTGCTGGTATAGCATTTGTATCTGCCTTCATCATGAACATCTGCCCACATCAGCAGGAGTGAAGCATTTCCTCTGGAGATTTGGTTGTTGAATAGTGAAGTCCTGCCTCTGAAATGCTTGTCCTGAAGTGCGGGCTGGTCTTGGTTGTGGTAGAATGAGTGGACATGAATGTTTCCTGCAGTTTCCTGCAGCCAGTGGATGACTATGTCAGTGTCACTTTGGAAAGTGCACGGTAAGATGCATTTTTCCATAAATACACAGGATACTTCAGTATCTGAAACATCAGATAATTAAAAACATAAAAGCTCAGTTTAGGAAAAGCAGCTCTGCAACCCACATTAGCTCCTGAGGCAACAAAACAAAGACATCAGCAAACCAAAAGTGTTTGTCATCACGGAAGGCTTAACAGCTGCAAACCACTGTTAGCACCTGGTTACAACTCGGCTCAACACAATGCAGCACAAAGTAAACATGTCAATCAACCTCACGATGCTAGATCAGGAAAAATGAGTGGCATCTGAATCACTGGGCGAGAACCAAACAACATTTTTCTTCACACACACACACACACACACCCACACACGCACACACACACACACGCACACATATACTAGACACAATCTAAGTCCTACAGTGGCTTCATTTTTGTAAGATAACAGCAATAGCACTTTTTTAGTTACCTGAAACATACCAGAATATGACAGCTGTTTGTTCTGTTGATTGTTTTTAACTAAAAAACATTATAATTAATCAGTTACATTTCAGTTGTTAGTATTAAAATTTGTCATAGCATCATGGCAACAACAGTTGGAGTGTTAACATCGTATTTACCTCCTTTGGAAACAGTCATCATCCACAAAAACACCACAGTCACAAAAACCATAACAAAGTTGACGCCCATCATGTTTCCTCCAATTCATGGGACCAAAACACCAAAAAAGAAAAGAGATTTGAGAAAAGACGTTTCCTGGTGCCGTAGTTAATCTCAGCTGTATCTAGACAAACAGGTCTGTCCTGACAGGTGTCAGCTATGTATCGCTGTTTCATCAACACAGATGGAGAAACAAAAAAAGGAGGTGGAGAACTAAGAAGGACAATTAAGTATTTTTTAAGATGCTTAGCCACAACCCTTTCTAAAATTCTAGCAACAAATGGTATTTTTCGAGATCTACACTGCTATGACGAGAAGGGTCAAGCGTTGACCTTATTTTACATGGCAGCATATTTAAAATAAAAGGGACTTGACAAATGAAGCATTGATTATAGTGAGCACACAGGAACTGACAGACTGAAAGACATTTTCTTAGAGGCTTCATTTAAAAAAAAACAGCAGGTGGAACAGGAGTACAGAAGCAGGCAGCTCTCACATCTGTGACTCACATCTCCTCGTTTTTACTTTGGGTTTGAATATTTGCTGTATTTTTTCTAAAGACAGATGTCAGAAAGAACTGCAGAGTATGGATGAGCACTCCTGAGGTGACAGGGTCTCAGAGACCCAGGCCCTGCACATTCAAGGAAGGCAGGGAAAGAAGAATCCCCCTCCTTGGAAAAGTTCTAGGCACTGAGACATTTTCCACATAGGCAATCAGAAAAGCTCAGCGTTGCTCACTAGCTACCCCACACTTCTGAAACAGTCTGAGCTTCACCTGGACACCTGCTCTTTCCTTCTCCTCCTCTGTGGCCTGCATGGATCCACAAAGTCCCCATTGAGACCACCAGATGAGGATCTAACCAGCTGCAAATCCAACAATAAGTGTCTCTCAGTAAAAGCACACAAACTCTGCATTGTGTGTATATGTATATATATATATTAGGGGTGCAACGATATTCGTATCGATATTGAACCGTTTGATACAGTGCTTTCGGTTCGGTACGCATATGTATCGAACAATACAACATTTGTAATTTATTTTATCAATTTTCCTTCTGACGATGCTGTCTGTGTTGAGCGCTCAGTGAATCTGTGTTCGACTACTCCGCCTAGGCTGCACTGTCGAGCGCAGATCCACTGAGCGCTCCACACAGACAGCATAGTCAGAAGGAAGAGCGCAGGGCAAGCTAGCGTGACAGAAGTTAAGCTCTCAGCAACATGGACCTCCCCCACCCTCATTCAGATCTGGCGTTTGGAATTATTTTGGTTTTCATGTGACGTATGACCCTGAAGGTAAGCGAGTCATGGACTAAAGTAAAACAGTATGTTGGATGTGCCATGCAATGCTCAATTACATTGGTGTGAACTAGTGTGTTAGCGCAGTTAGCTCGTTAACGTGTTGGCCGTGTAGCCCCATGCACGGAGTGATCAGGGGTAGCTCGTTAACGGAGATTTGCCATGTTGTGGTGTTAAGGTCATTTCAACGAGATTAACCTGAAAGCACTAGTGGGAACACAACGAATATGACTGCACATTTACACCGACATCATCCTAGTGCAAAGACAAGTGGAAGCAGACAAAAAAAAGCAAGCATGCTACTAACTTTAGCCGAGTCATTTAGACAGCTGTTAGCACATGATTCTCCTTATGCTGCTGAGAATATAGCCCAGAAGAAGCGGATAGTATAGCTTTTATTTTGGAAAGAGCCATTTCTCTGTAATAAACTCTCTTTTCCAAAGATGAGTGATTCCTCAATCAGATACAGGGCTCGCAATATCGCTAGCCCGACGTCCTGGAGCTAGCGATTTTTTTCAGTCGGGCTACCAAAATCTATCTCTTCCCTGCCCGTCGGGCTATTGTAGGAAAAATATATGTCAATGCTTTTGCATTTTTTCAGAAATGTAGCTGGGTAATTATGTCATTGGCATCGGTGAGCCACTGTCAATATGTGACATATTGAAGTCGCGTTTGAATTTGCGCTTGTTTTTTTGCTTTCACTTTGCAATCGTGCGAACTGTGTATAGAGAGCGACAGCACTGATCTGTGAGTGATGATAATTTGTGCACCAATTCCTCTGACATCGTCTTATTAATCGTTAGCTTACTATGCAAACATGACAAGTGAAATCTCCCGCAGCTTACACATGTGAGAGGTTGATCGCGCAGAGAATCGCTGAGCTTATGTGAGTGAGTGTGTAAAAGCATTTCAGTTCTGCTGAGCCAAATAAGACAGGTCAGGGTGAAGAAGTGACAGCCAAAGAAAAGCTTACCACAAAACGGAGAAGTTATGACAAATCAGACTATAAGGCAAAAAGAAAGTGCAGCTTTATGGTTTCATGGACAAAAGAATTTCTGTGGCTGCAATATGATGAGCTAAATAACCAGGGCTGCACATAAGTGGTCCGCATGTGCGCATTCGCTGTCAAAATAAAAAACACGCACAAGGGTTAGAGTTAAATTTAAAAACTGTACTTTTGAGTTAAAATATATATTTATAATTTTAATAAATGACAAATTAAAAATGCATGAACATTTTTTGTATCGAAAAAATATCGAACTGTGACACCAAAGTATGGAACCGAACCGAACCGTGAATTTTGTGTATCGTTGCACCCCTAATATATATATATATATATATATATATATATATATATATATATATATATATGTATATATATATATATAAAGACAAAGAAAAAAAGGAACAGCAACAAAACTCCAAACCCAGATTGTAGCTGGTTCCCCCCCCCCCCCCCTCCCTTCCGGCTAACTGTACACTTTTTATGATTATCTAGACAATTATTTCAATTTCTTTTCACTGAGGTATTTCAAATACATTTCCAACATTTGGACATTATTTAAGAAAAATATTTTCGTTTTACTTTCAACATTTAGCTCTTTTAAATTAATAGTATCCTTCTGTTTTTTCCCTTTAATGTGGTCCCAACTGTCCTAAACAGTTGTTGGTTGGTCAGGTTCTGTTTGGGTTTTTTTTTCTAAGATTAGAATCGTCTCCACTGAGTTCTTGCAATTCAGCATCTCTGTTAAACGACAGGAAGAAAAAAAATTGGTTTAGAGGTCAGTCAGACAAACCAGCTGTTTGATTTTCTCACATATTCATATCACGTTTTATGCTTTCATATGATGGATGTTGATGAATTCTACTTCCAGCACATCTGCAGTTCATTTTAATCTTTGACGCAAATAAGCAGAAAATTTAATTTCACTCATTTCATTTTTAAAAATATAACATATCAACTTTAGAAAACGATCAGAGCAAACAGAAGTAGGCTCCTCTGTAGTAATGTTTAGGATACTTACACATTATTAACGGACTTTGACCTTCTGTGGTTTTCTTGTTGACCTGAGAAACATTTTTGCATTCATAAGACATCGTCCATGAAAGAATAAACACAATGCACAATTCAGCAGTGCAGGCATGTCAGTAGTAATATACGTGTTTGTTTTGTGTGCTTGAATGTTAAATACACGGGCATGTGTACTTAACATTATAGTGTTTAACTGCAGACATCCTAGGTAAGATAAGGTAACTTTATGCATACCCAATTTGCTTTACAGAAAAATGATAGCATAGCATTTGGCAGGCCTTCAAAAACAAAAAGTATGTGAAGATTATCTGTCCTTATTTAGTGAGGATGTTTTACTTCCTGTCCTTTATGTCCTCGACTGTGCTTGTGTATGGTGAGACTGTTAAAAAAGGGTTGAGCCATATACAGGGTGAGGGGAGATGACCCAGGAACTCACACAAAAACACCCACATCCACACACACTCAGTGCCTCAGTTTTATGACTGGCTTTTAAGGCTGCAGGGGGTGCTGGTTCTTTGGAGTGGTCTGACACCGAGGGCAGAGGTGCTACCGAGCGGGTTCCCCTTGCTAGCAAGTAAAAACCGGTTAAGCTATTCGTCTTGCTTTCTTCATGCGTGATAAGTCTCTAAACTAGCGGGCCTGTTAAGCGCAGACCCAACACTATTATTTTATTTTGTCAATTTATTTATTTCTTTTTTTTGTATTTCTTGTTAATTAAAATAAAGAAACAAAAATTATTTTTTGTGGATCCAACAATCAGGATTATATCTCGGCTAAGAGATCTCTCTCCAGGGCTCCCTCGGTCTGTCACAAGGCCTCCTCCCGGTGGGACATGCCCTGAACAATGCCCTAGTGAAACTCCACATCCTATCTCTAAGGGAGAGGCAGGCCACCCTTTGGAGGAAGCTGATTTCTGCTGCTTGTGTCCATGATTCTTCTGGTCACTATCTAAAGCTTGTGACCATAGGTGAGGTTAGAGACGCAGATTGACCTGTAAAATCAAGAGCTTCGCTCTTCCACTGAGCTCTCCCTACATCCACATCACTGCAGCCACAGCACCAATCCATCTGTCGATCACCCGCTCCACTCACTCCTGAAAAACACCCTGAGATACTTAAACTCCTCCACTTGTGCAGCAACTCATCCCTGACCAAGAGTAGGCACTGCATCCTTTTATGGCTGAGGACAATATCCCCAGTTGACGTCACCAGCGCTCCTCCTGCACTATACACACTGCAGGTGGAGAACCTGCTTTCCCTTCCTGAATCACTTAGCAGTTTGCAGAGTCACTTCAAGACAGCCTGAAAGTCTTTTTCAGGTGTCAGGATGTGTGGACATCCAACTATGTGAACATGATAACTCAACAACAAGGTGCCAAAGGATTTTCTAATTGATAGCTTAGCTACATTTGACAATCAGACACTTTGGAATTTGGCAGCCTTCATACACTTTATGCATGTTTTATTTCTCAATGGGACAGTACAAAGCAGCACCACCGTTTCAGTCTTTTGACAAAATGACATTCAAATCTTTTTCCTAATTTAAATTCAGTGAATGTTCATATAATACTAAACCCTTCTGCATTTAGATTGCATTCATTTTCAGACCAGGGAACAATTTGACAGCAGAAGTGTTAAAAGATGTCTCACAGCTATTGTTACAGCATTAAGGTGGAACATTTTTTAACCTTCTGTAAGATGACTTGGTGATTATGTGCTCAGGAACTTGGGCAACTGTTAGGAGCGTGACTACAGTGAAGCAAGCTTGCTTATCATGGTCAAGACAGAAACTTCCTGAGTTCACATTTGTGAAATTTCCTGTTGTGAGATATAACACATCAGCCCTAACGTGAATTTGAAAACAGAACTACGTCTGCTCTAGATGTTGGTGAATCAAACTGTGACAAAATAACTTTTTATTTACCACCATGCATTTTCAAATACCAGTGTCCGTAATCTTGTGGCATTTTTTCATAAGAGAATGAGCTGTTTTAACAAATGAGACATAAGCAGTCCACTACAGCGCCATTACAGTAGCCTCTACTGTAAAAATATATGAACATGAGCAGCAGCACAACCGAATTACGGTGCACCTTTGTTGTTTGTGTTTTTTCTGCCTTTTCGTTCCATCTTCCTGCAATGTACTGATCAGTTTCAGTCATCAGGAACTGATAGATGTTTGTTTAAATTGCACTTCATTGTATATATTTCTCCTGTTTTTTTATTTATCCCTGTTGTCTTACTTTTTATATTTTATTCCTGCACAGTTGGCGTGGAGCACCCATAATTTCCACTGATAAGGACCAGTACAGTCGTGGCCAAAGGTTTTGAGAATGACACAAATATTAGTTTTCATAAAGTTTGCTTTTTTGCTGCTAAGCTGCTTTTAGATCTTTCTTTGTTGTTTCTGTGATGTACTGAAATATAATTACAAGCACTTCATACTTGTTAAAGGCTTTTATCCACAAGTACGTGACATTTATCATGATTTTTGATATAAGAAACAACAAAAACAAAACAAAACAGACAGCACAACAGTGAGGGCAAAACACACAAATAAGACAAAAGATTCCACTGCAGCCAAGTTTACACCGATCACATACTGGACTTGAAGAAGGAATTTAGTTTTTCAGTAATGAAGTCTATGAAGCACTTTAAATTGAATTAACTGATGTGTTTCATTTATAGAATAAGAATTGATCCCACACATCATCTCCAATTTGCAAACCAAACTCAAATGCTCTGAAAAAGCGTTCACAAAACTAGAAACCAACTCTTTAGAAGTTGGCGAACTCAGGAGCATAAAAATTGGCCCTTCTTCCGGAAGAGATGGAAAGCTTGGGACACTCTGATGAACATAGTTTCTTATCTGTAAATAATGAGGGTTTATGCTTATTTTTTCTTCATAGAATCATAGACATACTCATAAATACCAAAAAATAAACTTAATTAAATCATCACATTAAAGAAAGAAGGCCATGTGGTCACATGAACAAGAGAAAGTGCTAGGTCAAAGGGGAACAAGCAACTGCACATGCACGCCACAAACAAGTACAGTAATGTCCTTTTACCTCTTTTCTTTTTACAGAACAATACCAAACCAGCGACTGCTGCTCCAACCAGAACCACTGCAAACACCCATCCTATGGCACTTTCAATATTGGTTGAGTTCCCTTAAAGGTGAGAGACTAATTATTTTTCTCTGGATGATTTATTTGTTTTTGCAAGTTACACATGTAATAACAGGTGATAACAGCTTTTTCTCATATAAGTTACAAATTCCTAATTAATCTTACCTTGATTTAGCTTCACAAAGATATTAGTCGTTATTGTCTCCGAAGCATCACTGAGTTCACATGTGTATGTTCCCTCCTGATCTGCAGATAAGTTCTGCAGTGTGAGGCTGCCTGACTCTGACACACCTCTCACATGCTGCTTCCACCTCTCTGACACTGTGTATTTAGCATCAGGCCCAGTCTTTGTCAGGATGATCTGACCGTGGTTGAATCTCCAAAGGAGTTTTCTCAGAGAAGTGTTTGAAGACGAGCAGGGGAGCGTTGTTTCAGTGTAGCTACTGATAACTGAGGCTGAAATAACACAGAAGCAAAAACACATTTTTAAGAAGTAAAACCCACTGAAATAAAATATCTTAAGAAATTCTGTGAATGACTTTGCTTTGAACCACAGATGAATACTGAGCCTGGTGGAGATGTCTGAATCCTAATCCTACCTAAGAAAAACATGTTTGGATAAACATGTAAATAATTTTTCATGTGTGTCATGGTCCTGGATGTGTGACACAGTGTTTATATGTTTTCTGGTTTCATTAATATGCTTTGATTTAGTGCTTTTCATGGTTCAGTTTCCTTGCTCTTAGTTTAGTCATTTGTATTTCTAGTACTGCATTTTCCCCAGCTGGTCATGTCTCTCCCCCTCTCTGTGTCCTCATGTCTGTTTCAGTGTCAAGTTGTTGTCACTTAGTATGCATCTCAGTGTGTTTCTTGTTTTATTTTGACAGTCTCTTGTCCTGGGTTCAGTGTATTCAGTTTTGCTTCCCTCTTGTCTCCTTGTTACTGATTACTTCCAGCTGTGTTCCCACCTGTTTCCCATCCGCTCATTATCCTCTGTGTATTTAAGTCCTCTGTCTTCCTCTGCTTGTTGTTGTGTTGTCCATGCTGATGTCTGCTTTCCCCCCCACACAAGCTCGGTTTTCTCCCTGCTTCTAGTTCCCAGATTTCTTGTTTCTTAATGTATTATTTGTCATTTCCCAGTTTGAAGTGTTAGGTTTGGTTTTCTTGTTTTTCATGTTTGAATTTTGCTTCAGCAAATAAAAGCTGCCTCCTTTAGCTATCTCTTTGTGTTGAAGTCCTGCCTTTGGGTCCAAACTCTGCATGCCACACAACAAACCCAAGACAATGTGTGTCTGACAGAATGATCATATTATTTAATAAATGTAATAAGCACCACAAATACACATTCTAATTTCTTACGGTTAGATTTGGTGCTGGGGTCATCATCACCAATAACCTGAAAGGGTTAATGTATTTAAATTTATAGTTAAGGACTCAAACCGCTGTAATTTTCTAATAAAACAACCATTTCTCACTTCACTGCTTCTTCACATTATAACCAACAATGTGCTGAATGTCAGCATCACTCCATTCTGGAGCATTATATTCTCATGTAGTAGCTGCCAAACAGTGCGTTTGGTCACTAACAGGGCTCAAGAGAAAAGTATATGAAAGCAGAAGTGGTGTCACTTGTGTAAAAAGAAACATTACTCAGACCTTTCACATGACACGATGTTTTGAAGCAGTTATTTGTATATGTATGTGTTGAAATTTTTACCCGTTGTTGTGCCTTGAGCACAAAATTGTTCAAAACTACTACCAATTCATTTTTCCTCTGGATCAGGGAGCATGAAAAATTAATGTTCTCATTTATAAGCAAGTAACTTAAAATGAAACCAACCCCTCTGACCTCTCAAAAGAAAATTCTGTTTTGTTGTTTCTCTTAGGAAGCGATGCTTCTCCATTTTTTAAGTTTCCTTCTTACATGAAATACTCACATGCTCGACTCAAAGTGGCTCGCTTCCTGTTTCTGTGTGTGCTGATAGTGCAGCTGTAGTCCAGATCTTTAACTCTCTCTGACACCATCAGAGAACTATTGATGTTGTAAAGAAGCTGTTGAGTCTCCTGGGCTGTGGTTTTATACTGGAGGGACATGTTGGATGGAGGGCTGGTGGTCCAGGTGAGATTAGGTTTAGGGTAGAGTCCCTCTGAGCTGCAGGTCATCTGGTTTCCTGTTTGCTGAATGTTGACTTTTTGGACTGGAGCTGCAAAAAAATATTTATAATAATACAACAGACATACAAGGAACCAGTTTCAAACATTTAAGCATATATTTACATTAAAATCAAGGTTTTAAATAAAATGTTAACATTATTATCAGCAAATCTGTGTGTCTGTGTTGCATTCACAGTTAGCTAATCGGGTTAGCTAATAGCACAAAACTCCATCCTCTAAAACTTTAAGACTACGAAATTCGTGGCTGTTTATTCTTTCCTTCTAACATGTCTGTATTCTCTGCATATTCTGTGTTTTTCATACCGTTAACATTTAGGTTGATAAATGAGTCTCTGTTTCCCTGAAGGGTGCTGATGTGGCACTTGTATCTGCCCTCATCCTGAACCTTGACCCCTGCCAGTTGCAGTGAGACATTTCCTTTGGAGATCTGGTCCTTGAACAGAGAGGTCCTGTCTCTGAATCTCTGGTCCTGATATCCATGCTGGTTTTTGTTGTTATAGAAGGAGTGGACAAGAATGTCTCCTGACATCTTAAACCAGTGAATGATAATTTGAGTGACATCCTGGGAACTGCATGGCAGCATGCATTTCTGCATTAAAACACAGGAAACCTCAGTATCTGAAACATCAGGTAAAGATTACATTAGTGAGACGTAATCAGAGCTACATATAAAAAGAAGAAATAATATTACTGCTTTCATATTTGAGTTATATCTGTTCAGTTATTAAGCAAAAACTGTCGTGAATCCCTTTTGCCTGCTTTGGTGCAAATTAATGTGACAACAGGTGGAAAGGTAGGACAGATTTTTTTTTTTACTTTTGATTTCAGTGAAATACACAGTCGTAAGAAAAGAAATACTTGCTGACTTAATAGAAGTACAGGGAATAATAACAGTAAAGGATCCAGTTCAATACAACCTTTTTCAAAGCCTCTTTATTAGTTTTAGTGGCCACACATCTAAGGGTTCATTTCACATCTCCTGAATGTGTTGATTCCCAGACTGCCAAAACAATCAGTCATTTAGATGCTTAATTGGCAAAACCAATTTTAATTTAATGGACGTATAACCTATAAATCTATTATTTTTCTCTAGTAATTAAAAAGATTCAACATCTTTCTTGAGCAGAATTCCAGTCTGTACAGATGGTCCCTTCCCAAAGGAAAGAATACAATAACTTACTCAGGTATATACTAGACTTAATATTTACTGAATAAAATAATGGATTTCTATACATTTTCCATCAGATAATGTTAATTATAAACTAGACATTTTTAAGTGAGAATAGGAAAGAAAAGTATTTCTTTGTGCTGCTGTTGTTTAACGCAACATCCGCTGGTTTCCTCTTTCTGGCGCAAAAGCCAATCAGCTGATCATTGATCAGTTTCATGATTGAATTAGCAACTTTCTAGCTGAAGTAGTACTGGACAAATCGTGTACTTTTTCATCTCAACTTTAAAGTTCGACCTCCTCGGCTGGTCCAACCCAGAGTCGATCATGACCAACTGGCCAATCCGACACCATTCATTTATACCGTTAAAAATAAAAAAATAAATAAAAAAAAATAAAACCCCATCGGCCCATAAAAATTAAAGAGAGCAGCCCACTGGGCATATGCCTGGTATGTCCAATGGCCAGTCCAGCCCTGGGCTTGTGGTCATGCATTAAATTAATAAAAGACTATCTTTCTGCACACCGTTTTACTGTTTAAATGAAAGTTGCTCCTAAATGTTCTTATTCCCTTACCTCCTCTGGAAGTCATCAACATCCACACAGAGATTATAATCCACCAAAACACAGTAGAGGAGACCCTGCTCATGTTACCGTTACATTTCACTAAGCACACAATGAAAGAGGAAGAAAAACAAAGAGGCGAGCACTTCCAGCATCACGTGACACCAGCTTTGTGGATTAAAAACAATAACAATATAAATAAGACATGAAATCAAATAATGAAATTTAAAAAACCATTGTAGCAAAATTATTCCAGGAGAAGATTTATCTTGGAATAACCACCATCCAAATTATCTCTAAATTCTAGAGGCAAAGAAAAGGACATGCAGGACAGAGAGAAGCAATAAGTAAAGGCAGACATTTGTCTCTAAAGACCAAGTGTTACACTAACTAAAAGTCTTGTGTTCAAATATAGGCTTCACCCTCATGCTATTTAGAGCTATGACAACTTTAAAGCTATTATTACAACATCTACATAATTTTTTTTACTAAGTAATTTTAACTTAGTTTATTGTGTGAAGGGGATGGGCTGGCAGCAAGAGTCTATTTCCATAACTATACACAAGCTGTAGAGGAAAAAAAAACACTTACACGTGTTAGTAACACAGTACTAGTATTTGAATAAAAGCGCTGGTCATCGGGAACACTGCCGGCAGTACAAACACTGACAGCATTTCATTTTCATTACTCACACTGTATTGCCCAATCAAATATCTTAATGTCACCAGCCCCTCCTCTACCTTCACTGTGCGCTCGTGCACAGCGAGTAGGTGGAGCTTAAAAGCCAAGAAACATAAAGAAAAAGAAACAATAAAAATAGAAAAAGAATAGAAATAGTAATAATAAAAACTGGAAATATACACAGCAAAATGGTCAGATTAACCAACATCTTACGGGAGGGTTTTCCTCTCTTCACTGGCTGGATTACTTCATATAGAAGTAATGTAGTAAACTGTTTGGCTGTGTAGTTTTGTTTATTGTTCCTGGCGCTACTGGAGCTCTGTTTTTTTTTTGTTAATTTAAACACCATTTTCCTCTTCAGTTATTGTATGCCCTTACGGTGTTGAAGATGAGTTATAGGAAGAAAAAAAATACTATTCCGAGTAACAAAAAAAATGTGTATGTGTGTTGGAAACCTTTGCAGAGTGTGCGTTTGTGTAAATCAAACGTAAACCAATTTCATGTGGTTAAATGGCGCATTTACCTGAGATATTTAATTTGAGTAAAAGTTCTCAGTGAGGAAACATAAACTTGTCACTTTGTGATCATTTGTCCGTTTCAGGGGCCTAATCCATCCTGTCATATTAATTCGTTCAATCCTGGATTAAAGTAATTTGGCAATTTCATTTTTCACTGACTATAAGGTGTATTGTGGGACCAAACTTGCAATACTAGTGGAACAGTGATATCATTTCCATCGTCTCTGTCTCTCTCTCTTCTTTAAGTCCCAAAGGAAATAAAAACAGCATACGAACGTGCACATTGAATTTGGTACAGATTTAAGGTTTTACAGGTGAAGTGTCTTGCCCAAGGACACAACATCAGAGTCTGTCCGAGCTGGGGCTCAAACCGGCAACCTTCCGATCACAAGACAACCTGCCGACTCTTGAGCCACGATCGCCCGCAATATAAGAATTATTATAGTCGTTTAGCTCAGTTCACTCCTCCTCCATCAAGATTGTCCTATGAGGTGAAGCCAATACCTGTACAGTGGGATCATCCGGATGGTGTAATTAATACGAAGTAGGCTGCCTCACCATAGATCACTTCTTAGTCTGTTGGCAGAAAAAAGCTTGTCCCATATTCAACATAGTGTGCTTGTGGCCAAATATTTGGCACAAATTTTTTTTTTTGAAAGAACGGCTTCAAAGCTTACTGGTAGTTGGTAAGAAGTCCGTGTGGACAGAACAACAACAACAACAACAAAAAGTCAGCGTCTCACTGGTGTGTAACAGAGACCAGAACATATATAACGTATACAGAAACCAAATTACACGACGTTTTCCTTTTTCAGTTCTTTAATAACAATAAAATACTATTGTACTGTATTGAACCCCAGTTCGATTTTTTTTAAAAATTTAAACCAAACAAACCTCATTCATACACATTATTTGCAGTGCTGTTATTAATCACTCATGCCACTGGTATTACTGAGGATTCAAGCACATGACAAAGTAAAAAGTTCAAAAAATGTAATAAACACAAACTTTATTCAATATTTTACAAAAATATTATTCAAATTTTAAAATGCTTATTCCCTTCTTAAGTGTCTCCCTCATCGTCTAAAATAATTTCAGTTTCACTCTAACCGTGGTTCTGGTGAACAGACGATATTGTGAAGCTTTGCATTTTATTGTCCTTTGTACAGCATGACCCTGAACACCACATGATTTCTACACAAATATATGAAATACATTTCAACTGTGATTTCTCTTTCCTTACACCACAGTTACAAAAAATAAAATAATAATGAATAACTACAAGTTTGCTACTAAACTCGAGTTTTTCATTTACTCTTTGAAAAATAGTGCTGCCTCATTTTTCCTTTTCTTTATTATTCAAGCTTCTCAGTCCAGGAAACAGCAAGGATGGACACTGAATATTTAGGTTACATTTTAAAATTGACAGTAAGTTGTTTTTGTCTGTATCAGGGCAGGAGGAGAACAGAGAAAAAAATGTTGTACGTCATGAGCCGGAGTCTGTTAGTAAAAAAAATTGTTTTTTTGTTGTTGTATGGGAGCCAAAATTATTTTAATTTCCATCTGGTCTGTTTTTGCTTTCCTGAAGTCACAAAGAAACTGGAACCAGTCTGTTGTTAGTTGCTGGAATCCAAACTGGGTTTTATTAAAAGCTTCTGAGAACCATTTATTCACTGAGATCCAGAACAGAGGTTGGGGAAGCCTTTTGCTTCCATTTGTCTTAATTGGAAATGTTACTTGACAAATGTCGTTAGCTGGAAGCTAGTTGGTTGGTGTCAGATGTTGACCTTAAAATGTGTGTCAAAAACATGTTTATTATTGAAAACAATCTGCAGACCAAACTAAGCTATAACATCAATCAGAAATGACTTGATTTTGATTTCCTGTTCTACTGTCACTGAAAATTTCATACCTTTGACCTTCTGGAGCTTCAGCCTGACACTTCATCTGTTAGATGGGACAGCAGTTAATTTGGCTTTTTGTAAAAAAACCAAAAACAAACCCAAAAACAAAATGTTGTAATTTTATGGAAACAATAGTTTGATCTAATGTATTAGTTCATATGCTGTCATTCATACTTTGCAGTAGTTCATTGAAATGCCTTTTCTGTACTCAGGGTTTGGTCTATAAACTGCCTGAATCCATCAGTGCAAACATTAAAAATTAAAAATAAAAAGTTCAACCAGAATTGAATTTTACCGTTTTTTTGTACTTCTACAGTAGCTGTACAGTATCAGGCATAATAATGCTGTAAAGCAAAGACTCGCTGCAGCGATGGCTCCTAGATGGGTTGACTTCTGAGTCCCATCATTCTTCTTTGTTTCTTTTTGATATTTAAAAAAAAAACTTCAGTTTTATGCAGCTTTACATTAAATTGACTAAATTAACTTGCAGACAGTTTTTGAAAATCAAACTTATGGTACCTCACCTCCGTCTGTCGGCATCATCCTTATTTCATTCTCAGACACTTTCGTCTCCTCAGCATCACTGAGTTCACAGGTGTATATCCCCTCATGATCTGCAGTAAGGTCCTGTAATGTGAGGCTGCCCGACTCTGAGACATGCTTCACGTGCTGCTCCCACCCTGCATAGACTGTGTAGGAGATGTCAGCCCCACTCCTGGTCACAATGGACCGACTGTGGTTGAATCTCCAAATGAGGTATGAGAAGGGAGTGTCAGAGGGAGGGCAGAGGATTGTTGTTTCAGTGTTTGACCAAACAGAAGCTGAAAAAATGAAACAGAAACACTGATTATAAGTAAACACTTTGGATAACTTTGTCATCTGGATTATAAGTATTATTAATGTGCAACATCCTCCGCCCCCTTTATTTTTTTACACAGTAGCCACACAGCAAAATTGTAATGAATTTTTTTTTCAATATTTCAATATTTTTTCTATTTTTTTGTGCTAACTCGAGTACATTTTAGTCTCACATATTTTTCCCCGATTTCACCATTTTCTGTATTTATAGTGCGTTAGAAAAAAATACAAGACAGCAAAGTACCAGCTGTTGCTCCTCCTGCCCTGAGCAAACATGAGGCAAATTTGTGTGCTATCACTACTTGTAGTATGTGCGTAGCTTTAGTTTTCTTTTGTTTTTGGTCCCTCTACAACTGTACGTAGTTTTGTTTGTCAGACTTATTTATTCTTACTCCACCAGGGCTGTCCCTTGTCAAATATAGTAATTAATAATTTTATGGAATCTCAAAGTGAAGTAAATGTGTGGACTCAGGATCTTATCTCTGTTTTTTGCTTTTGAGCATTGCTTGGTGTCCTAAGGTAGTGACCTCACATTGGGCTGAGTTGAGTGTGAAGTTTAGTTTCTAACCCAAGTAGAGGAGTTTAACTACCTCAGGGTTATGTTCACAAGTGTGGGAAGTGTCAAGTGGGAGACTGGAGATGTGTCTCTTTTCCATGATTCCCTAATCAACTCAAAGAGGCTTGCGTCAGTTTTGGTTGTTTTCCTTTACAATTGAGTACCACATCAGTGTGGTTGGGGTCATTGTAACAAGATGGCCTGAAGGTCCTGTGATGTTATTTGTTTGCGACACACAGACAACAACATTGGAGGCATCAAAGCCCCGGTATATCTGCTACTCAGTCTTTGGCTTTTTGTCAGACTCAGGCTGATGATAGAGAGCCAGAGAAAGCAACGCATGGCAGTGCTGGTTTTTGTACAGCTTGTTGTGGGATATCAAAAATAGCATGATTGATTCTTGTGAAGGAGTAGGTCTAATAATAACTCATTGAGTAAAACCATTGCCTGGCCAGTCGGTGGTTGACGCCACATTTTCTCATTAACTCAGGTTGTTTGGTACCTCAGCTGAGTAGGTATCAAAAACGCACCAGGTACTGCCACCTAATGGAAAACCCCTCAAAACTGGGTCATGTTGAGTCAATCTAAGTAGCTACTAGTGGTGAAGGGCTAATACTGTAGTGGTGTGTTGTGGTGAAGCGAAAGCTGAGCGTGAAAGGAAAGCTGTTGATTTACAGGCTGATCTGTGAGTAACGACTGACAGACTAAAATTATACATAAATGAGTTTCCTCTGCACATCTGGACTCAGCCTTAGAGATGGGGTGTTGAGCTTGCTAATGTGGGTGGGGCTCAGTTTCGAGCTACTACTCCTTTTCACTGAATGGAATCAAATTAAGGTGATACAGGCACCTTAATAGGATGCCTGCAGGACCCCCTCAAAGTGAGGTTTTTAAGCCATGTAATGTATTTTAGTCCTGGGGACAGAACCAGTACGCATCAGAGAAACTCTGTGTATATTGAGTATGTTTGTGTGAACAACACTGGGATTCAAATGTGAAAGGTGAAAAGTTATCTTCTCGGGTTATTAAAAAAAATGTCCCTTTACATATGAATTTGTTGAAAAGTGAAAGAAAACTACCTATTCACACACCTGAAAGCTCACACAACCTATCGATTAACATCTTCAGCTCTCCTGCTAAGAAGTGGATGTACCAACCAGTGCACAAGAATAATGTCTCATTTAGTAGGAACAATTGGTACTCACTGGGTTCATACAAAAAGGCCCACCATGCAACCCACTACGAGGCATAACTTGAAGAAAAAAACATTACTCATAGATGTACATGAACAGGATAAGCACATTTTAAATCCAATGTAATATTAAAACCACACATGCTTTTACAACAGGACCTCCAATCTTTTACAATCAAGAAATTGGAGGTCCAAACAACCAATCAACCAAATTTAGGTATGAAAGAAAACTAACGTCCAGTTTGCCCAGAATAAAACAAACACAACACCATCACTGGTCCTTTTTGGGATCATCTTTGCAAAGGTTTGAGAAGCTGGATTTGGTGGTTTTCCTATCCTAAAGACCTAGATCCATAGAGTTCAAATTATAAAATTTACTTGACCATATTGTCACGCTCCTTTGGTAAAATGACACTAAATTGAACATTTATAACTGGTTAAACTGATGAACTGATTATTTTTTCTAATATCATTTTAATACTTTTTTTAGGTTAATTTAACATCATCATAGTTTATTGGATAATATGTCTTTAATAAAAAACAAACTCTTTTTTTTTTTTACATCCTTACCTGGTTTAAATAAAGTTGCTCTCTTTCTGTTTCTGTGAGTGCTGATGGTGCAGCTGTAGTCTTGATCGGTCCCACTGTCTGAAACAATCAAAGAACTGCTGATGTTGTAAAGAAGCCGTTCAGTCTGCCGGACTGTGGTGGTGGTGTTAGAAGTACTGTTGGATGAAGAGCTGGTGGACCAGGCGAGTTCAGGCTCAGGGTAGATCCCCTCTGAGCTGCAGGTGATGATGTTTCCTACCTGCTGAATGTTGACTTTGCGGACAGGAGCTCCAAGAGAAAGAAAGGGAGCAGGTGTTATGTTCACATATTTTAGGTCTACTTCATCAATTTTTAAACAAATGGTGTGACACGTGTTTATACAGAAATATGATCAAGTGTTACAACAACAAAGATTTAGATTTAATATTTTTTTAAACCTATTGAAGTTCTGTGAAGCATTTTGAATCAACCTTTCATTGAAAAATCTGTGTACAAAAGTATTACTGTGACACATTTGCAGTAAATGAAAACAGAAAATAGGACACTAACAGAGGAGACAAATTTATTGAATGAATAAATTGTATGTCTCTTACCACGTATCTTAAGGTTAATGAATGATTTCTGACTTTCTCCGTCAGTGCTGGTGTAGCACTTGTATTTGCCTTCGTCTCGAACCTCCACCTTTGTCAGCTGCAGTGAGGCGTTTCCTGCGGAGATCTGGTCGTTGAACAGTGACGTCCTGCCTCTGAAGCGCTCACTCTGGAGTTTGAGCTGGTCTTGGTTATTGTAGAATGAGTGGACATTAAGGTCTCCTGCTGATACCTGATGCCAGTGGATGACTACAGCAGTGCCATCATAGCTGCATGGCAACAAGCATCTCTCCATGAAAATGCAGGACACCTCAGTATCTGCAACAACAGGTAGAGACACATGATCAAAGTCATGAATCAGAGGTTTTGTGTTTGTGTATCTGAGTTTGTTTCTTATTAGGTTTCCTTTATTATGGTGTTGGAAGTTTGGATTGTTTTAATTTAATTTGAATTAATATTTATATTTATATTAATACTTTTATGTTTTATTATTCTAGTGAGGCTGATTATTAGTAATCGAGTTATGGGTTCCATTTTTATATTTTTAACTTTTTAATCCCAGTTTTGCATCATTGTTTTTTTAGTGTTTTATATTATAACATAGTTATCTAGAGTTACACTAAAATGTGTATAAATAAAGGTTTTTCACTGGTGAAGGAAAAATGTATTCAAAACAGGGCCTACCTATAAAGTCCATATATCATTCACATCAAAGAAGTCAGTGTGGATGAATTTTTGCAGTTTTTACAAAATAACTCTAACAGACTTCATTCAGGCTTAAACACCTGAAAACCTGAAGTACAAGGTTATGAAAATAAAGGACACTGAGAGCAGAATTGAACTAATTTACAGCTGATAAACGAGAAACTAAAAATATACACAATAACGATTAATGATGACCACACACCTCAAACATTTGCCAAATATGCATGTTTTGAAGCCTTCAACGTTATGAGAAATAAAATCATGTGTAATATGAGTTATATATAATGTTTGATTCAATATAATTTATCCCAACGAATAAAGCAGTTATTTTGACACTTAACCTGACATGGTAATTTTTGAAACTTTGTAAATAAAGTTAAAGTAATATCTATTATATAGCTACAAAAAACAAACAAACAAACAAACAAAAAAAAAACACTCGACCTGTGGGTAGCCTTTATCCTCCAAGCTCAAGTCCTCTACTGGAGGCCTGGGAGCTTCAGGGTCCCGCAGAGTATGTTTACTTTTCCTAGGATTTCTGCACAGAAATCTCGGATGTTGTTCCTGGGATCTGCTGAAACCAGTTATCTGTCTTGGGGAGGATCACTGCCCAAAATCTAAGCTCTTAGCAGCTTTAGCAGGGACAAGCTCTAAACACAAGATCAAGTGATCTGAGTGATAACAATATCAGGAAGAAAGAAAATTCTGACCATTTTGGTCATTTTCTGGCTTCATGTTATTCATATTATTCTTGGATTATTTATCTCATAGTAAATTTTTGTGCTGCCCCTCAATTCATTGTCAAAGAAAGATAAAAAATAAGATTTTTAGAGAGAGTTTGGCTAAGATGCACACACCATGTCCACATACCAGTCGATGCTACAGAAGAGTTTGGTGAAACACGAAATGAGCACAAAGTTACTTATTTGTAGTGCTGTTCAGAGCAAATCCAAAGTAAATCTGGTAAAATAGAATTTAATGGTGTCATTATTAAATTAGTGTAAATTTGGAACAATTGCTAAATATGATCAATAACAAAGATACCTGATACATGCATGTTTTAAAGGTTTCCACACCGAAACATAAAAACATATTTTAAATAAAGTTATGCAAAGAAACATGAAAATAAAACAAGAAATCTTTGAAATAAGAAAACACAACACAGTAGCAAACTGAAGTATGTTGTCAGACATGTCAAACCTCAAACAGTGACAGCTGGTTGTCCTACAAGCTCTGCTACCAGCTGTCTCCTGACTCATCAACAAGAAGATATTCTAAGATTTCACTTAGGAGGTGTGCAAGAATCCACCCTAACAGGTTCTCTTGCAATCCTCAAAAGTTTAAGGACAGATTTATTTCACAATAACTATGTCAACCACAATTAAGATATTAAGATATTAGGATATTCTCTCCACACTGCAAAAACTAGGGTGATCTCTGAACTGCCGCCACCGCCCTTGCACCTTTATACACAGAGACACATACAAAGAACATTCCACAAACTCTTACATGTTGGCCCCTTCAGCCCCATCCTTAAAGCCTTCTCCCTCACAGAGAATTATGACCTTGTTTTCTGCTTGGCCGTCACGTGAGGATTTACATCCCTGATAAACAGTCTCACTATCTGTTTAACGTCTCCCATTACAAGTGCACATGCATACAACTAAGTGAGAAAGTTTCATTACTATCACCAATGTGATATGATTATGATTAAAATATGTGATTAATACATGAGAAAATAAATCTGCTTCCACATCGGTTTAATTAAATCCTCACTGTTGGTATAGAGGACAAACTCACTATTATACACTCAAATGTTGTTTAAACCATATTCCTACTTCACTGCATAATGACTGGATTAAAAGAAAAAGAGGTTTCTTGTCGTACCTGTAATTTCTGAGGTTTATACCTGAGCTTTCTGCTTTGGAAGCTTCTAAGTTTGACTCAGTCGCTCTATCCAGTACCTCCTATATTTGGTTTGTAAACATCATAACTGTGATTTGTATTTAAAATAGATTAAGATAATATGTGCAATGAATTTTCTACTCACCTCCTCTTATAAAAGTCCACTGAAAAGTCAGGACCAACAGAAACACGACACACTTGATCCCAGCCATTATCCTGCTGTGTTTCATGGTACACTATCTGAGCGTTTAAAAGGTGAGTAAATACTACATGACGTCACATGACATCTGACCCAGCTTGTTTGTAACTTGTGCTAGGTTAGTGTACTCAATGCGATAAAATCACACCCTTCATCTGAATGTCTGAAATACTTTTTTGTGACACACTGAGGAACAAGTTAATCATAAACTGCTCACAGTATTACTTAATCTCTTAACACAGAGTTCAACTGCCCAACCAGAAAAAAATGTTTGGATGAATAAGAATCAGTGACACTGTCTGAGGTACTTGGGCGTAACTTTGTGCTGAACATTGGGGGTCAAGATCTCTGTTTAAATAAATAAATAATCTGAGTAAAGTCTCAAATGGCTAAACATGCAACCATTTTGCTGGTAATAACTGAGTGAAGAAAATCAACAACCTTTTTATGCAAAATAATTCATAACTTTATCGGGGAGGAGTGGGGGGGGGGGGGGGGTATTTTGGCTGGGTCTGATTATTGGGGGGGGGGGGGTCATGGTTATCCAGTCATGGTTTACTGAGAGTCTAAATATTTTCTCTGATTGTAGAACTGTGGACGTGATGTTAGTCTTGGACTTGGCCAAGGTTCACTTGCCCTGGTGCTGAACAGGACCTGGGTATGTCACATAACCACTATAAGTATACTGGAATCATCTCTTCACAACTAAAGATGGATGAATACATAAAAGTTTAAGTAAGACTGTCACCTTCTGATATTTCATCTTGTCAGGGTGTGCGTGGAGGAGAGGAAGACATGACCCAAACGCTGGACTCACGGTGCAGGATAATGGTGTTTATTATGCCGAAGTACATGGAAGTAACATGAACAGAACAACAGGAAATGAGAACGAGTGACAAAATAAACTGAACCTGAACAAACTGAAAACACTTGGTCACTGACCCAGGAACCCTGACACATATTACATACATTTCTTTTATTGGGCCCAAAACTGGACTTCACTAGTAAATAAGTGATGTCACAGTGGCTACATCTACTGTTAGTAAACAGTTGTTATCCAGACGTCATGGAATCAGATGGAGCTGGATGTTAGTGAGCATTTTTGCATAGCAGTTATTTTTGTCATTATCAAACAGAAGATTTTAGATAATTTCAGCATGCATTAGCAGAATACTGCTGGACAAATTTGCCAGGTCACAGACCCTGCCTCTAAACTCTGTCAACCCCTTTCTTTTCATTTTCATTTTCAAGCACAAAGCTACTTTCATGCCTAGCAGTGTATTTTATGAACCAAATTGCACAGTTTTAGCCATAGCTGAAGCCTAAACCCTGGGAAGATGTCTTTATTTATGCAAAGGAAAAGACAAAAAACCAAGAACCACGTACTTAAAATAAATTGGAACAAACAGGAATGAGGCTCTTAGTCTCTATGCTTCATCGTGTGATAAAATACCAACTCAACTCACATACAGGCATGAGTTACTGTTCTCTCATGTTTACTTCAGTTTTGTCTGATATCAGGCTACTTTTGTCTTTTTTTAGACTTTTATTAGACAATCCTAAAACCATGCTAAGAAAACACCCAACAAAAACAAACAATCTGCATCTCTTCTTAGGGTCACTCAGTCCCTCTTCCACAGACTAAAATTTATGTTCCAGCATGTTTTACAATGCTGCTTCTACCTCTTGGTTTCCCCACTTAAAAATGTTATTAAAGGCAAAGGGCGATGCAAAACAAAACCAAAAAGGGATGAACCAAAGCTAAGGTACAAGGAGACACAGGGAAACCACAAGGAAACGCACACAACACTTTGAGATGATGCGACATGGAACAGATGAGACTCTGACACAAATACACAGAAGGTAATGAGGAACGTGGGAGCACAAGGGGAACACAGCTAAGGACAATTATACATGACAAGACAGGGAGGACACGAACGTGAATATACTGACACAAGACGTACCTTCAATGTAACACAGGAAGTACGACAGACACACACAAGCACAGGCCACACTATGACAGCAGAGGGAACACAGGGACGTGGGACCAGGGCAGGGACAGAGACACAGACATGACTCAAGCTTTATAACATAGAAAACGTGGACATAAAACATGACAGATTAACAGACGAAGACTGGACAGGAAACTTAACAGGGGGGGGGGATCACACAAAGGAGTCATAAGGAAAAATGAACTGTAACTAGGCAACCTAGGAGCTAACAAAGACTGAATGAACCAAAACGTAAACAATGAATATCAAAATACAATGAAACACAAAAACACTGGATCACACGACCCAGAACCATGACATTTAGTCTGTTACTGTTACTGTCTCGGAGCAACTGTAACCCATGTCATTTAATCTGTGTGGCGGAGGCGGGGCCCCGGGCGCGGCTGCAGGGGAGGAGTGGTGCAGTGGGCTCAACGGGGCGGTACGGGAGACGCCGGTAAGAACAGCTGATGGTGATTATGGACTGACGATGGTTTTCCCTCCCCTGAGTCCCCGTGTTTTTAACTAGGCGGGCGTGATTAAGGATGCCGTGCAGGTGCGTCCGCCCTCCCTGCACGGCACCGCAGACCACGCCCCACCACAATCTGATTCTGATATGACTGAGGACTTAAGCGCAGGACACATTAAAAGGTTCAGAAAGTGTAATGAACCGAACTGGATTTTTAAATTATTTATAGAGGTAAAGAAAAGGTTTGACATAAATCTGATTCAAATTTTAAAATGCCGCGCAGCTTGGGAAGATAAATTCTAAGTGTTTAATTGAAGTTTTTCTTATTTGTGTTGTAGTTTTGTGTCAGAAAATTGTGTCAGAATGACAAATGGAGTGATACTGAGATCTTTCCAAGACAGGACAAACTTGTGTTTGAAACATGGGACGCCATCCTCAACACATAAACATGAAGAAATATGCATTTGGACTCATGTCGAGCTTTGGATCCACATACGTATGTGAGCATCTATTCTTCACCATGAAACAAACACCGCTCACACCTCACAGACAACAGCATGCAATCCAGCGCAGATGAAAGTGACTTTGTACAGCCCCATTAAGTCCCATTAACCAGGTAAAATACATATTCATGCAGCTGTTTTCAAAATATTTATTTTTCATTGTTTAGTGACATAGTGCTTTTTTTCCAATGTATTTTTTAAATCCAGGTCAAGGCTCTGCTACAGGCTCCGAAAGCCCAAAGGCGATATAAGGATGACTGCTCACCACAGTTTTTGTTTGCTACATGGACAATTTAAGTTCAGCTTTTTATTTGTGTCTCTTTTTTGTTATTATTTCTTAAGAGTTCAAAATGTGTTCATTAAATAAATACAATTTAATTTTCTCTGTAGCACTTCATGGATTTCATAAGCAACACACTATAGTTTATACAAAGTGTAAAGGTAAAAAAACAAACAAAAAAAATACAATATATACAGTCCTGATTTAGCAGCACAAATACATGAATACATTTTACTCTATATTTATTTCCTTGCACTATAGTTAAAAAAAATAAAACTAAACTAAACTCAAGTTTTTCTTTCCACATTTCAAAATTTTTCCTTCTTTTTCATCATTCAGTTTGTCAAAGACTCCAAACTCCACAATCCCGGAAACAGCAGGGATGGATATTAAAATATTTAGGTTATATTATAAAATAAACAGTAAGTCTGCTCTGAGGAGGAGAAAGAAAAACATGCTGTACTTCAAGAGCCGGAGTCTGCTAGTAAAAAATCTTTGTTTGCAGTGTAGAAAATGTGAAGCATGCTTTCAGTGTTCTTGTTCCTCAGCGACAGTGTGTCCCAGTAACAGCTCCACATCACAGATGTGAAGGTTTTCTTCTGTAGTTGTTCATCTGTTAAACTTCCAGCTTTGCTGAGCTGACAGCCAAAATGATTTTAGCTTCTAACTTAATGCTGTTTTTGCTTCCCTGAGATCACAAAGAAATTGTAACTGTTCCGTTCTTAATTGTTGGGGGACAAAATGTGTTTGCTCTGGGATTCATTGAAATCTTCTGGCCATCATTTATTCCTTCATATCCAGAACATGGGATAGGGAAGTTTTTTGTTTCCACCTGTCTTAACTGTAATTGTTACTTGACAGAGGCAGTTCACTGTTCACTGGAAGCTGCTTGGCTGGTGTCAGATGTGTTGGTTGAAATGAAAACTCATGTTCATTATTGCAGAAACCTCACTGGAACAGACAAAAAGAAGTCATCACATCAATCAACATTTTCTTAATTTGATGTTCTGTTTAATTCTGCTTTGATTGAGTTCAGTGTTTTCATACCCTGAATGTTGTTCAACTTTATTCTGATGGTGAAAAAAAAAGTTTTAATTTTATGATGACAATTCTGTCCTTTAATATGTTGTTTTATAAACTGTCATTTGTGCAGTGTTGTAGTTCATTACGATGCATTTCATTTACTTACTCTTGGTTAGTATGGAGATCTGAGGAAACGTCTGTGTTTAGAAAAACAACAATATTAGTACAAACATGCAAAAAAAAAGTATTAATAAAGGCAGAACTCAGTTTTACCCTTTTATTTTCATCCACCACAGGACTGCTGCTAATACTGCTATAACAAAAAGTCCTCCAATGATCCCTCCTATGGTGGCTCTCAGCTGGTTTGGATGCAGACTCTGAGAACTGTCATTTGGTGGATCTTTAAAAAAGAAAAAAATCTCTTCAGTTTAAAGACAGAGACAGTAAGGTAACAACTGTTTCCTTTTCCTGTCACATGCCAGCATGTCCTGAGCAACACAGGACAGGGGGTAAATGTGTGTGCTAACACTGTCTCTAGTATGTCCTTATCTTTAGTTGTTTTTAGTACAACTCTAGATTTGTTCATATAAATGGACCCTGGACTGGACTGGACCCAGTGCAGGTAGTGGGAGACAGAAGGACTCTGGCCAAAATAACATCTCTGATGGACAGAGTCTCCCACCCCATGCATTTAAATGTTGCTGAACTGCAGAGCTGCTTCAGTGACAGACTGCTACAGATGCATGAAGGAGCGTATCAGCAGGTCCTTCCTCCCTGCAGCTGTCAGACTGTACAATCAAAACTGCTCCCAACAATCATCGATGTTTGCATCTGCGCTGTAACTGCAATAATTTAATCAACTGATTCACACTACAACCTGGTTTGCCTCTTATCTGTAGTTATTTTTATTTTATTTAATAACTGTACAGTACTCTGTTTAGAGTAACCATTGCCCATATGTAAATATGCAAGAAAAAAATGTGTATGTTTCTGTTCTGTGTCCTGTGTACTATTTGATTGTATATGTGTCTTTCTGGCTGCTGTTACAACCAAATTTCAATTTACAGGCCAATATATGTTTCTATCTGCAGCTATGGGCACCACCTCTGCGTACAGATCTAAGGTCTATGATTGTGAATAAAATCAGTCGACGTCGACTGAGAAAATTGTCAGGCGGTGGAAGGAATACTTCGAGGACCTCCTTAATCCCACTGACACGTCTTCCAAGGAGGAAGCAGAGTCTGGGGATGAGGGGAATGACCCGCCAATTTCCGGGGGCGAGGTCACTGAGGCAGTTAAACAACTCCTTGGTGGCAGAGCCCCTGGTGTTGATGAGGTCCGCCCCGAGTTCCTGAAGGCTCTGGATGTTGTAGGGCTGTCCTGGTTGACACGCCTCTGCAATGTTGCGTGGAGATCAGGGGCAGTATCTGTGGACTGGCAGACCGGGGTGGTGGTCCCCATCTTTAAGAAGGGGGACCGGAGGGTGTGTTCCAACTACAGGGGGATCACACTCCTCAGCCTCCCTGGGAAAGTCTATGCCAGGGTGCTGGAAAGGAGAGTTCGTCCGCTAGTCGAACCTCGGATACAGGAGGAACAATGCGGTTTTCGTCCTGGTCGCGGAACACTGGACCAGCTCTTTATCCTCTCCAGGATACTTGAGGGTGCATGGGAGTTTGCCCAACCAGTCTACATGTGTTTTGTGGACTTGGAGAAGGCATTCGACCGTGTCCCTCGGGGTGTCCTGTGGGAGGTGTTGCGGGAGTATGGGGTGTCTGGCCCATTGCTACGGGCCATTCGATCCCTATACAACCGTTGCAAGAGCTTGGTTCGCATTGCCGGCAATAAGTCGGACTTGTTCCCGGTGGGTGAGTTTTCATCTCACTGTAAAACATTCTTATGGTCTCCATGGACCTCAGCTGTACTTTATGTATGTTAAGTATGTTTATCAGATGTGTAAGGTGAAAAGCTGTCTTCTCTGGTCACTGGCAGGATGTCCCCTTATATCTTAATTTGCTTCAAACATGAAAGAAAACTGCCTCCTCAAAATCCTCAGACAAGCTTCAGATTCAAATCCAGAACCCTCCTGCATAAAGTGGAAGTACTACCCACCCCACCACCATAATGCCTCAGTGGGAGCAATAAATACTGACTAAAGTTCCTACAAAAACACCTCAGCAAAAAAATATGTACATGTAGATGTATATGAATGGACTAAGCATATTTTAAACATGTTGAGACCAATCCATGGTCCTGGGCTCTATAGATAACATTTACTTGACCACATTGTTGCAGCTTCACCCCTCGGTTTGGAAAATGACTCCAAATTGGACTTTTTAGGAACTAATAAAACTAAAACTGATTAATTATTAAATAGTGTAATATAATTTGAATATTTTTAGTTGAATCCAACATGCTTCATATTTTATTAGATCATACTTTTTAAGTTATATAAAAAATAGTAGCTGAAGATGTCATAAAATACTGTTGTAAATGTGTATTGTAAGTATTAACGACTTTACATCCTTACTTGGTTTAAATAAAGTTGCCTTCTCTCCGTTTCTGCGAGTGCTGATGGTGCAGCTGTACTTTAGATCCCTATCACTGCTCGAAGGGATCAAAGAACTGCTGATGTTGTAGAGAAGCCGCTCAGTCGGCTGGACTGTGATGTTCTTGGAAGTTACGTTGGATGAAGGACTGGTGGACCAGGTGAGTTCAGGTTTAGGGTAGATGCCCTCTGAGCTGCAGGTGATGATGTTTCCTACCTGCTGAATGCTGACTTTTTGGATGGGAGCTGCAAAAGCAGAAAAAAACACATGTTTTATGTTCACATATGGACCAAGTTTAACAAGAACAAGGATTTCATGTTTTGTATCTGTGGAAGTTCTATGAGGTGTTTTGAATCAGCTTTTTGTGAGCAGCAGATCTTTTCATGCAGTGTGGAAGCTTTTTTCATTATATTGATCCATGTTCCACAACAGAGAGATTTACTATCATGGTTGCTTTTCCCACACATTTTTGAAGCTACCAGGATAAAAAAAAGAAAAGCTCTAATAAATATTAATTTTTATGATGCTCGAATGTAAATATGAATATAAACTCAAACTCAAGAATTTACTAGCTTTTCAATTCAATTCAATTTTACTTATATAGCGCCAAATCACAACAACAGTTGCCTCAAGGCGCTTTATATTGTACGCATGACAAGACAGGGACAACACGAAACTGAATGTTAAATATTCAGTCTGAATATTTAACATTGCGACTGTTTAGTGGCGATTTGCTGTTTTCCTGCATGTACAGCGGGGAAAATAAGTATTTGACACATCAGCATTTTTATCAGTAAGGGGATTTCCAAGTGGACCATTGACACAACATTTCCACCAGATGTTGCCATCAAGCCAAATATTGACGTCATACAAACAAATCAGAACATATAAGTATACAAGTTAAACCACAATAAATAAAGTGAAATGACACAGGGAATAAGTATTGAATACATGGAGATAACAAGGGGCAAAATGACATAGAAAGCCAGGAGATCACCTGAAATCTGTCAGTATTGATAGAGAAATCCAGTCCCCTATCAGTACTAATTGATATCAGCTGCTTTAGTCCTAATTGATGGCCTATAAAGGCTCCTCATTACCCAGAAGGCACACAGGAAAGACTTCATGATGGGTAAAAGCAAAGAACTCTCTCAAGATCTTCGTAATCTTATCGTTGAAAAGCATTTTGATGGGAATGGTTATAGGTGCATTTCCAGAATGCTGAATGTTCCTGTGAGCACTGTGGGGGCCATTATCCGGAAATGGAAAGTGCATCAGTTCACCATAAACCTGCCACGATCAGGTGCTCCACGCAAGATCCCTGTCCGAGGAGTCCAAAGAATAATCAGGAGGGTTCTCCAAGAGCCAAGAACCACTCGGACAGAACTTCAGGAAGACCTTGCATCAGCAGGTACTGTTGTTTCAAAGAAAACTATAAGCAATGCACTGAACCGCCATGGCATCCATGCACGCTCACCACGCAAGACTCCATTGCTGAACAAAAAGCATGTCAAGGCTCGGTTAAAATTTGCGCAACAGCATTTGGAGAAGCCTGTGGATTATTGGACGACTATAGTATGGTCAGATGAAAGCAAAATTGAACTTTTTGGCAGTCATTCTACACACCATGTTTGGAGAAGAAATGGCACTGCTCACCACCCCAAGAACACCATACCAACAGTCAAGTTTGGGGGTGGAAGCATCATGGTTTGGGGCTGCTTTTCAGCAAGGGGTACTGGCAGACTTCATATTATTGAAGGCAGGATGAATGGAGAGATGTACCGGGACATTCTGGATAAAAATCTGCTGCCATCTACCAGGAAGCTAAAAATGAAAAGAGGGTGGACATTTCAGCAAGACAATGATCCCAAACACAAGGCCAAGGAAACAATGAAGTGGTTTCAAAGAAAGAAAATCAAGTTGCTTGAATGGCCCAGTCAATCACCTGACCTAAATCCCATAGAAAATCTATGGAGAGAACTGAAGATTAAAGTTCATAAAAGAGGCCCAAGGAACCTTCAAGATTTAAAGACCGTTTGTGTGGAAGAATGGGCCAGAATCACTCCTGAGCAATGCAGACGACTGGTCTATCCATACAAGAGGCGTCTAGAAGCTGTAATCACCAACAAAGGCTTTTCTACAAAGTATTGAATAAAGTGTGTTCAATACTTATTCCCTGTGTCATTTCACTTTATTTATTATGGTTTAACTTGTATACTTATATGTTCTGATTTGATTGTATGACTTCAATATTTGGCTTGATGGCAACATCTGGTGGAAATGTTGTGTCAATAGTCCACTTGGAAATCCCCTTACTGATAAAAATGCTGATGTGTCAAATACTTATTTTCCCCGCTGTATTTCATCTACAAATGGAGCAATTCTTGACCACTCAGCCTTGAATAAATAAAAATCACATCCTCATATTCTAATCACAATTCAAACTAACAACTGTACAAGTACACACAGCATGTTATTCATAGTTTCAGTTGAAAAATTCTGTGAATTAAAGTGTAAATATTCTGGCACAAAGTAGCAATAGACACAAAATATAGACATTTTCTAATAAACAAATACCAAAAAAACATACAAACAACAGAGAACACAAATTTCTTGAATAATTGCACTGTGTATGTATTTACAATTTACAATGTATCTTTAGGTTAATAAAGGATTGTTGGTTTCCGCTGTCAGTTCAACACTGAATTTCTTGAATAAATGTATCTTTTTTGTCTCATACCATCTGCCTTTAGGTTGATAAATGACTCCATGTTTCCATTGATGGTGCTGGTGTAGCACTTGTATTTGCCTTCATCTCGAACCTCCACCTTTGTCAGCTGCAGTGAGGCGTTTCCTGTGGAGATCTGGTCGTTGAACAGTGATGTCCTGCCTCTGAAGCGCTGGTTCTGATGTTCCAGCTGATCTTTGTTGTGGTAGAATGAGTGGACAGTAATGTCTCCTGCTGATACCTGATGCCAGTGGATGACTACATCTCTGCCACCATAGCTGCATGGCAACATGCATCTCTCCATGAAAATGCAGGACACCTCAGTATCTGCAACAACAGGTAGAGACACATGATCAAAGTCATGAATCAGAGGTTTTGTGTTTGTGTATTTGAGTTGTTTCCGTTCGTTACAGAGTTAGAAGTTTTGATTCTTTTAGTTCAATTTGGATGAATTTTATTTTTTTATTATTCTACTGAGGCTGTTGTGTGTTAGGTTCCAGTTTATATGTTTTACTTTTTACCCTGTCTGTCTGATCCTCTGTCACATTCTTTCTGTGTCAGTCACGGTTCCCTTATTATTATTACTTTGTGTTTGTTTATTTTTTTTGTATTGTACTGTATCAAGAGAAGAAAACGAGAAATAATAAAACACAGGTGCTTGACTGGAATGTAGTCTCGGTCTGCACCACAAACTGTTAAACTATCAGGAAGCTCTTTCTAAACTTGCTCATTAGATTTAAAAGAAGTTTCCTGAACTTTGACCTGAATCTCAGAATTACAGAAATACATTTGCTGAAATTCATGTTAATGTAATTATTAATCATAATATATTATAATATAATTATCTAGAGTATAAATGAAAAATTGTTTAAATAATAATTTTTCACTAATGAAGGAAAAATGTTTTCAAAACAGGGCCTTCCTATAAAGTCATATATCATTCATATCAAAGACGACTGTGTGGATGAATTTTTCAGTTATTACAAAAGAACTCTAACAGACTCCATCCAGGCTTAAACACCTGAAGACCTGAAGTACAAGGTTATGAAAATAGGACACTGCTACCATGAGAGCAGAATTTAACAAAACCACATCTGATAAATGAGAATCTAAAAATATACACAATAATAATTACTGATGACCACACACCTCAAACATAAATTTGTCACATCTGCATGGTTTCAAATCTTTAACGTTATGAGAAATAAAATCATGTATAACGAGATAATTGTTATACTTTGTAGTTACATACACTTTGAGTTGCTATAATTCATCCAACCAAATGAAGCAGTTATTTTGACATTTATCCTGACATGTGATTTTCTTAAACTTTACAGATAAAGTTAGAGTAAAAGGTGGATATATTTAAATTTGTTTTATTTTTATTTTTTTTAAAAAGTGCCACTAAGAACAATTTTGCTTCTGTGCATCCAAACAATGTATAAACCTTATTCACATTTCATGATAAATAGTTTTTGACATTGTTGCCTCCACTCCCACACACTGAATGTGTTCAGTTTCATTCCGTCTCCAACCAAGCGCCTACAGCAGGGTGCAAAATGCTAGCAAGCAGGCATACGTGGACTGCTATGACCAAGTGGCCAGCAGAGTGTCCAGGAACATCTGTGCCACGTATGCCCTGGAGGTACAAATGTTACACCGACCCTAGGGTGGTTAAGAAAGACCGAGCTAAGATCAGAGGGACTTCCAGATACAGATGGACAAAATCGTGGCATAGTAGTAGTGGGCAAACAGAGTAAGACGGTCGTAGTGATAGATTTAGAGATACTGAGTGATGGCAGCATCAGGGAGAATGAACATTCTGGCCATTTTGATCATTTTCTAGCTTCATGTTATTCATGTCATACTAATGTTTTGGGCTGCCCCTCAGTTTATCATCAAAGAAAGATTAAAAAAAAAATGAAAGAGCTTCCCTAAGATGTAAACACCATATCCATATACCAGAGAATGCTGCAGAAAGAGTAAAACAGGAAATGAGAAAAAGTAATTTATTTGTAGCGCTATTATACATAGCGCTACAAATAAATTACTGATACATAGACTAGTAATATGCATGTTTTAAAGACTTCCAGATTGAGACAAAATAACATAACACGAGACATAAAAATGTTTAAATAAAGTCATGTAAAGAAACATGAAAATGAAAAAAAACAACTTATTTGAGGTAAGGAGAGACAACACAGTAGTACACTGAAGTATGTTGTCAGAGATTTCAAATCTCAGACAGTGACAGCTGTTTGCTGACTCGTCAACGAGAAAATATTCATGTAGGAATCCATCCTAACAGGTTTTCTTACAATCCTTTAAAGGTCTCTAAAGTTTAAGAACAGATGTACTTCATGTAAACCACAATTCATTAGGATATCTTACAGTCACAGTTTGACTCCTGTTACCGTACAGAAAGTTGTAAATACTTCAGTTTTCCTTTGATTATAAACTCATCTTTGTGTATGTTTAATTAAATCTCACTAATGTACAGTCACATATTGTGTAAACCATATTCCTACTTCACTGAATAATGATTACATTAAAAAAGAGGTTTCTTGCTGTACCTGTAATTTCTGAGATTTATACCTGAGCTTTTAAGTTTGACTCAGTCTCTCTCTTCAGTACCTCCTATATTTGGTTTGTAAACATCATAACTGTGATTTTTATTCACAATAGATTAAAGTAATAAGTGCAGTGGAGCTTTTACTCACCTGCTTTTACAAAAGTCCACTGAAAAGTCAGGACCACCAAAAACACGACACGCTTGATCCCAGCCATTCTCCTGCTGTTTCATGGTACACGATCTGAGTGTTTGTGAGTAAATACATCTACATGACGTCACATAACATCTGACCCAGCTGGTTTGCTGCTTACAGCAGCTTAGCATATTCACTGTGACGATAATCACACCCTTCATCTGAATGTTTGAAATACTTTTTTTGTGACACACTGAGGAACAAGTTAATCATAAACTGCTCACAGTATTCATGTAATTAACTTCTTAACACAGAGTTCAACTGTCCAACCAGAAAATTTGTGAATGACAAAGAATAAAAAGAACCCAGAATACTTCTATAATATTTCACTGACACTGTGTGATGTGTGTGGCAGGACTACATAGTGCAGAAAAATGTTTCTGTTGTGGTTTACTCTGAATATTTTCTCTGACTGGATAATTGTGGATGGTAGCCTTGGTCTGGCCTTGGACTTAGCCTGGGTTCTTTTGCTCTGGTACAGAAGAGGTAAGCTATAGAAATGCCTTTTTCATTTTAATGTGGAGCATGTTACTGACTCAGTATAATGTCTAGGATACAATTCTGCTTTAGATTACGTTTGTCTAAATCTGACTGCAGTGCTTTAAAGCAGACACTGAGAAACTGAGCAAGGTCATTTGGTGTGACACAGGAGGAAGAGAATTTCCTTTGATAGATAATATTTGGGCCATTTTTAAGTTGTCATACTGTACTGTAAGATTTTCTTCAAGTATGTGTTTTTCACATTATATCATTTCGACCATTATTTCCAGGCATCTTCACCGAGTAACGTAGGAGATAACTTTGTGGTTTTGTTAAAAAAATTCACTTCAGCATCCCCTGCTGGAGAAAAAACAACGATTTATTGTTAGACATGATAAATTTTAATTAAAAAAATGAACCAAAACTAATGAAAATATAAATCGTAGGTTAACAAGAAGGATAATGCATTTAATATTTTTATGGTTTTCTTTTTTTGAAACATCAGAGGAAATTTGATGACTCACAGATGACTGAAAACATCTTCAAGATTTTGTATAAACATCATTTCTTTTTAAAATTATATTTCTTAAAATAACTTGATTTAAAAATAAAATAAGATCACACTCAATAAAACAATCTCCTGTCCAGATGTTTCAAGTTTCTGTTCTTGCTTTTTTAATGTTTTTTGCTTGTGCAGTTTCCTAAAGTACCATCCTCGGTCACTGATGCTTTGTTCATTTTTATTTTTGTAGTTTTTGCAGGTAACGACAAACTCAAAGATTATTGTCACCCTTGAAAATACTTAATTACATTAATATCCCTCCTGCCTAGGTAATCATTTTCCTCTTTAAAAGATGTTAAAGAACAACAAAAAAATCAAAAACACATGATCTTCTCTTTGCTTTGAGCCCTCGCTCGTACAAACACAGATTTGTGGATTAACCAAACAAGATTCTTATTGGACAAGTGAAAACACGGTTTTCATCCGACTGTCATTTTTGATTGATTATATTGCCCAACTGTATTAAGAATACAGTAAGAGTCTAAATGCCACATAAACACAAGCACAAGAATGAGCACTTATTTTGATGTTAAAATGTCTAAAATAATGAACAGTGTCAACTTAAAAACAAAACAAAACACAAAGTCAAGAAAGTCAAGAACCAAAATCAATCAAAAAAGACAAAAAACACACAGGTTCTTCCAGCAGCTCATGTGGTTACAAAAGCTGCAAAAAATAATCGTCTGCAAAGGGAGTCTGATATAATATTTGCTGCAGGTAAATTTGCTAACATTCACCTCAGTTGATTAAGGTAAGGACATGAGGAGGAAACAGTAGGAGCTGTGTGAGGCTACTAAAGGCAGTGGATCCCTCAGCAGCTGGATTACAAAGAGCACAGGTAACATACGTGTACCAGTTGTTTCAGAGGTATTCAAGTATAAAATAATAATAAACATATTTGGAAAGTTTTGGTTCTATAGCGTTGTTTTGTTATAACTTTATTATGAATTAAGTGCAAGAGTTGTTAAGTGTGGATAATTATATAAAAGATTAATGCAATAGCAAATTGTGCCTTATTCTCCGATGGACAGCAAATGGAGAGTGTTGATGAGATGGAAGGAGGAAGAGAGGCAAAGAGTGAGTCACAAGTAGAGCCTTGTTTATTTCTCAGTTTTGTTGCCTTATGATTCCAAGTGCTGTCTCAGATCAACACAGCTCTGCCCTCCAGCACTATCAGCAGCAGGAACAGCAGGAGCAGCAGCAACATTGCACCCCATCAGGTAAAACATAGGTTAGGTTTGTGCTGCACTGTTGCTACCTGACGACAATGATATAGTATGATGCGATTGCATATTAGATTCTTGATGAATGTATGTCTTTCTTTGCCTTTAGACAATAATTCTGATGGCAAAAGAGCCAAACCGGACAGGCGAAAAAAAGATGAATGTATGTTGTTGTTATTCAGCCTGGTTCTGTATGCCCCTTTTTTTAACTTTGAGCACTGCCCCTTTAAACATCTCTGCACAGCCCTGGGTACGTGCACGTTTCAGTTTTTGATGGCTCCAAGTCACTGATTTGAGGTCGTCATCAGCAGGTTTTTCACTCATGAAAGTTTGTGCTTTACTGAGCAGAGAGCCAAAACTCAGCAGAGTTCAGAGGGATCGACGTCTTCACTGCAGTCACAGAACTACACACCGGACCAAAGCAGTGCATTTACCGGGGCGTGCTTGGATGGTTTTAGAGCTTCCATTTCCTATTAGCTGAAGTTTAGCACTGCCAATAATATTAAAAAATAAATTATAATGAATACAGTTGTTCAAACAAAGAGAAATCTTCTACAGTCCAAAATAAACACCACATCAATCTGAATTTGCCTCATCTTACATAACTTCCTTAGAAATCAATAAAATATTCTGTCATGCATGTTGTTGAACGATGCTTCACTCTGACACACTATTAAATCATTTTTGACTAAACAGCAGTTACATTAGACTGATTATAGACATCTGGTTGTATCTTCATAATCATACTGTTTTCAAACAAGTTCATTTTTTGGTGTAGTTCATACAAGATTTACTCACGTATCCTTTTTGCTGTCTCTTCGTCGTTGTTCTCGATGCTCTGGGGCAGTGATTATGAAAGTGTGTAGCGCACCCCACAGATGGGGTGCAGAGTTCTGACAGGTGGGGGGCATTTTACCTGGCAGAAGCGTCATGCGGAACAAATGTTTAACATTGGATTCACTTTTACGGCGGAAAAAAAAATTGTGTCAGTTACATTAAAATTGCACATCCGCTGAAAAGCTGCAGCCGCGTGTATAAGTGAACATTTATTTATTTATATTGCTTTTTTAAAGAATTGGTGCAGACTAATGAAGCAGTCTAGTGATAAAAGTTATAAATAGTTATTTGAAATGAAAGTTGTGTGTTTAAAACAAAAATTACTGAAGGATTTATTGCGAAAGAATTTACTATCTAAATAAAGTTGCAGCTAGGCTTTTCTGTCCATCTGTTTGGTTTTGATGGGGTGTGAAAATATTTATTCCTGCAATGTGGGGACTGATGTAAAAACTTTGAGAACCACTGTTCTAAGGAATCGGGTCCAGGAAACATCATAATCAGTTGAAATGACTTGAACAAAATGAATTGCAAAGTGATGAAAAAAAAAGTCATTTACCTCTTCCTCGTCCATACATCTTAACGACCACTGCTGCTAGTAGTTTAAACATAATAGCAACAAACAAAGTTGCTACAATAACGGCAAAAAATTCTAAAACTGAAAGAAACAGAAAGAGGCATTTAGCTCCAATCTCTCAGGATGGATTTAAAAAAACAAAAACAGTCCCATAAAAAACCAAATCAAATAAAAAAACATAAGTTTCTTTGTCTGTACGTCGTGGTTCTTGTTTCTTTGAGGAATTGAGTCCAGAAAACATCATAATCAATAGAATTTCAAAATAAATTTCAGGGGAGTAAAGTGAGATTGTTTACCTTTTTTGTATGTATAAATTATGAAGGCTACTGCTGCTGCTATAATGACAGTGACTACAATGACTCTTCTTAAACTAGATCCTGAGGTACCTGAAACGGAAAGAAACAGAGTCAGCTTAAATGTCTTTTGGTTTTAACTTCTTCATGACTCTGATGAATTGATGGAAAAAAAAATAGGTCCACGTAAAGTGAGACACTCTGGACAGGGCCAGAGGTTTTGTTCAAAATTGTTAAATAATTTACTTTGTAGTTTTAGAAGAGATTTGAACTCAGAGAGAAAGGCATGGGAGTGAGAACCGTATTCCTGACTGCAACAAGAGAGTCTTATATTTTAGAAATATGCACCAGAAAAAAATAAAGATTTATTCCTTTGCCCATCACATCAGGATGTAGTCTAATTCAGTACAACAGCAGCAATCAAATTCAGGGCAACTAGATTGTGAACAGAATTTCATTGTGTGTGTGTGTGTGTGTGTGTGTGTGTGTGTGTGTGTGTGTGTGTGTGTGTGTGTGTGTGTGTGTGTGTGTGTGTGTGTATATCATAGTGTATTGTATTGTCCAGTAAAATCTTAACCATTTAAGTGTGAGAAAAAGCTACCTTACCTTTATGAATCATCACAGATCTGAGACTTATTGTTGTCTCTTCAGCATCATTGACTTCACATGTGTAGATTCCCTCCTGATCTGCAGATATGTCCTGTAGTGTGAGGCTGCCTGACTCTGAAAGCTTCTTCAGTAGATTAAGGACTGAAAATTGTTGCTGGCTGTAAACACTGTGCAGGACATCAGTTTAATTATAAATTAGAATTATAAATTATAAATTATGTTTTAACTGCATAAAACATGAAAATACAAATGTAGATAAAAACAACAATAAAACTAAAGCAGCCATGTGCCCACCTGATGGTCTCAATCTAAAGTATCGCTAACATTGCGTAAAACTATTGCTTATTATTATTTTTTCGTTTCACAGTAGAAGACATATTTGTTAGCTACCAGCTAGTACAAGGGGGCAGCAACCTTTAACACTCAAAGAGCCATATGGACCTGGTTTCTACAACAGAGAAAACACCTGGAGCTGCAAGTTTTTTGACATATAAAATGAAGATAACACTGTATATATTGTTTTTTAGTTTTATACTATGTATACAAAATAGGCTAATGTCTTGCTTGTGAAAATGTATTTTAGCAAGAACATTTTAAACATTTAGAACACTGTAAAAAAAACAAAAACAAAAACAAAACAAAACAAAAACATAAAAAACCTGCTACGTTGAAAGTCTTTTTCAAATGAACTTAAAGTATACATGCAGCAAACTAAAATTGTGGCATGCTGTTGTTACGAGAAAATTATGCATTTGTTGTTCCTCACGTGTTATCGGACAGGATTATTTCAACAAACCGAGGATGTATTGTATTTGTAGGAAAGTTCCCCATTAACTTTACTGTATAAGGAGGTAACACCAACATTTCAGGGCCAATAAGTTATTACAAGAAGTGTTTATGCACTAAAAACAAAACAAAATGAGGGCTAGTGTTTGTCTGAGATTTGGACATCCCAGAGTGCGCTCCTAATGCAGGGGAAAAAAATTCTGTTGGGGATACCTACCTTGGCACTGGCATTTGTAACGCATATTTTGAGCTACAAAAACAACAACAACAACAACAACAACAACAACAACAAATGTCTACAGCACACTTAAATGATTACTTATTTCCCAAAGCCATAGGGAGCTGCAATGTAAAGGTGAAAGGTCTGCACATGGCTCCAGAGCCACGGGTTGCCGACCCCTGAGTTAGTAGCTAAACTCAACTTATCAGCAGTTTTCACAGACAAATCAAAGCTGCCTCTGTGAGTCAGGCTCATTTCTTCTCCTTAGATTTATTCTGTTGCACACCTGAAGCTCAAGGGTCCAAGATGAAGCTGGGAGGCATGTCAAAATATTTAGGTTATGATTGTAAAATGAAAACTTTTCTTTGATAAAATCAAGCATTAGGATATGACGCGAACAAAATGGAAAAAAAAGTAAATTAATGTCTCAGTGTTCTTGCTCCTCAGTGCGTATGAGTTTCTATGGCTCCAAGAAACTCATTTGAAGGTCGTCTTTAGCAGGTTTTTCACTTATGAATGTTTGTGCTTTACTAAACAGAGAGCCAACACATTAGAGAGTTCAGTGCTGAAGCAGAGCTGCTGGGGTCTGCTTGGGTGGTGTCAGGTGTTTCACCATTCATGGTAGACCTTCCCTTTGCCATCGGCACAAGTTCAGCGTTACTGTTAACAAGATAAAAAAAATAAAGCTTGAAAACATGTCATCATTATGAATGGAAAATAGTGTGTTCAGTTCAAAAATAAACAAATAAACACCACATCCATCTGAATGTGCTTCATCTGATTCTCTGTTTTTCATGTCATGGATGTTGTTGAGCGCTGTTTCACTCTGACACACTAATAAAATATTTTTGACAAAGCAGCAGTTTAATTAGAGTCATTATAGACATCTGGTTTTATCTTCAAACAAGTTTTCATAGTGTAGTTCATAAAACATTTACTCACGTATGCAGAATCACTGTCTGTACTTTGTGGTTCTTGTTGCACTGAGGGATTGGGGCCGGACAAAAAATCATACTCAGTAGAAAAAACATAAACAATTTGAACTGCAAAGTGAAGGGAGAAAGTCATTTACCTTTTCTGCGTTTATAAAGCATGAAGCCTACTGCTGCTACTACTCCTGTAATCACGATGGCTGCAATCACTCCTCCTAAAATAGCTCCTGAATTACCTGAACCTGAAAGAATCAGAAAAAGTCATTTGGCTCCAACCTCTCTCTTAAGAATAGAGTCCAGCATCACATGTGACACAGTTGAAGGACCTGAAACCAGTAAGTGCGGCAACATCACTATGCTGACTGCTTCCAGATACACGCTCCCAAGTGTGATCCAAAAAATATTCATTCAAATCATTGTCTCGCTCGCTCCTCATTCTATTGGACTTTTTGAAGTCAAGACTGTCATCAGCCCCTCTGCAATGAAGCTCAAGCTACCACGATCAGTGCGCATCCATCCCATTTCATGTCTTGAAGGTGAAACTTGTCCCCTCAAATCCAATGTCCCCGAGGAAAGCTCCTGGGTTCACAGTCGGCTCTGTAAGCAGGAAGTGATCTTTGAGGGGAGGGTGATGATTGTCATGATTCGAGTGTTCAGTGTTTTTCCATCTTGGGTCTGTTTCTCTTGTGTTCGCCCTTTGGGGCAGAGCCCTGGTTCCACAAAACAAAACAAAACAAAACAAAACAAAACAAAACAAAACAAAACAAAACAAAACAAAACAAAACAAAACAAAACAAAACAAAACAGAGAAATTTCTTGAATAAATATATATATTTTGTTTTTTACCCTTTATCTTTAGGTTAATAAATGATTCTTGGTTTCCTCCGTCAGTGCTGGTGTAGCACTTGTATCTGCCTTCATCCTGAAACTCCACCTTTTTCAGCTGCAGTGAGGCGTTTCCTGCGGCGATCTGGTCATTGAATAGTGACGTCCTGCCTCTGAAGCGCTCACTCTGGAGTTTGAGTTGGTCTTGGTTATTGTAGAATGAGTGGACATTAAGGTCTCCTGCTGATACCTGAGTCCAGTTGATGACTACATCTCTGCCACTATAGCTGCACCGTAACATGCAGCTTTTCTTGAAAATGCAGGACACCTCAGTATCTGCAACAACAGGTAGAGACACATCATCAGCGTTTAGCCCTCTGATGTTGCAGAATTAAAAACTTTTCTCTCTCTTAATAAAGCCTTTTAACATTTTTCTGCTCCAGTTCAGGAAAATTTAACCCAAATATGCAGTATGTGGCGACTTTGATTAAATGATTTCCTGATATTCATCAAATTTCATCTTTTTCTGTGCTGTGCAGAGAACTTAAAAACAATAATGACACAATTTCAATTTTCAAAGCAGGCATGACAACTGTTTTTGATAAATATATACTGTATCTTGCTTTATTTGACCCTTAGCTAAGTTATTTCATTTATTCATCAAGTTTTTTATGTTTGTGAGAACATGCCACTGTAAAAGATCGGATTAGGCTGAAAACGTAAACATTTCCAGTTTTCTAGTATTTATTGAGTATTGAAGTATAAGTAAAGTGAAACACATACTGTTTCACATTGTCATGAATCTGCAGTTTTGTGTTAGTATATTTGAGTTCCTGTTTAGGTTTCCATTTATTTTCAAGTTTAAAGCTGAGATTCTTTGTAGGGTGAATTTTAATCCCTGCTGCAGGTCTTATTATTTTTGTAATGTTAAATCACAGTTTTATTGCATTATGCGGGTTCTAGCTACTGTTGATTATCTATAGAGTTTAGATGTTTTAAAACTCCAGTCCTAGTTTTGCACCCTCGGTCTTTATTCAACATAATTTAGAAAAACATAAATTGGTCATATGTGCATGTTTTCCAGCTTTTAACATTATAATAAATTAAATCATTTAAATTAATCCAGGAAAGGAAACAGGAAAAAAAGCTATGAGATAATAACACAGGCGACAAAATAAAATATGTTTTGTTGCTTTTGTGTTCATAGGTTTAAAATCTCAAACACTGACAGCTGGCTGTACTACAAACTCTATTTCCTGCTCTTTACACTCTGGATTACTTAAAGAATATGTCATGGGCCTGGTTGACCCAGAGATCACGTGTTATTTTTGAGTTTAATGAATATTAAGAGTTTTATTCGTCTTTCTTAATCCTTTATGGTTGTTTGTGGTGTGATCTGCCCCTGGTCCCTTGTTTCACCGTGTGTGGTTGTGTCAGTTTTGCTGCCCCACCAGGCCTGGAGAGTCCCTGCCTTGGAGCCACCCACACCTGGGATAATCACTCACTTGTTGCTGATCTGCTTAATCAAGGAGCTCTACTTAAGAGAGCAGTGGAGCAGCAGTCAGTGTGGGATTGTTAAACTTGGAATTCAGTTAGTGCTCAGCGCATATAGTCGCATTGGAATGGTTAATGTGTTTTGTCGGCCGGTGGATAGGACGGTACTCATTATGGCATCTCTTGTTTTCAGGGTGATCACAGAAACGTGTGGAGGGAGCAGCACACTGTTAAACACATGCACCGAGGAGGACTAAACATTACCACGCATCACAGAGAGGAATCACGGCATGGGGAATTGGGAGAGCACAAACTGGATTGTTGGCACTGTTTTTCTGTTTTTTCTGTGAAAAAAAAAACCTTCAGCCAATATGTTTCACTGACCTGTCAGTGAGCACAAACTCACTGCCTACATCCAAACACAGTTTAAACCACCTTCCCATTTTATAGATCTCATAGTTTGTATACTACGAGTATAGTTTGTGAAATTCCTGCCTCCACTCCCACACACTGAATGTTTTCAGTGTTATTCAGTCCGTTTCCAATAATTACATCCCCTGGAAGGTTGGGCATTTTTTTTTCAATGAGAAATAGGAAGTAAGAAACGTGCAGTAAACATGTTTTATTAGATGGCATTATATATATATATATATATATATATATATATATATATATATATATATAGATAAATAGATAGATAGATAGATAGATAGATAGATATAAATCCACAGACCAGGCCCTGCTACTTTTCTTTTTGCTGTTTATTAATAAACATATGTTCATATGTTACAGTCACAGTTTCAAGGGACATTTAACCTGACTTGAAATTGTTTTTGTACCTTGTTATTTATATTACACTTTTCCTTTAACTATAAACTTCACACAGTTACACTGAGGGTTTGATAATTATATATTTTGCCTTTGTGTATGTTTAATGAAATCCTTACTGCTGACACTTTGAACAAACTCACTATTGTGCAGTCAAACATTGTTTAAACCATAGTCCTGCTTCACTGAATAATGACGATAAATAATAAAGAGAAAGAACATGGTTTGTCTACACACCTTTCTGAGATTTAGATCTGAGAGTTTTGCCCTGAGAGCTTTTAAGTTTGACTCAGAGTCTCTGTCTTTATTATATTTCCTCCTGTATTTGGCTTTCTAAACAACATGACATTGATTTGCATTTATACTAAAATAACGTAATAGGTGTAGAGAACATCTCACTCACCTCCTCTTGCATGAGTCCACTGGAAAATCAGGACCATCAAAAACACGACACATTTGATCCCAGCCAGCATCCTGCTCATTTTCATGCTACACTACCTGAGTGTTCAAACAGAGTGAACAGTGATAGTGAAATCTGACCCAGCTGGTTCTGTTGCTTACGCCAGCGTAGCGTGTTCACTGTGAAAAATGTCACACCCTTCATCTATACTTTTTTGTGACACACTAAGGGAAAGTTAATCAACAACTGCTCACAGTGTTCATATAATTAAACTGTTCAAAGAGGTCGGCTGCCCAAAAAATGGTTGGGTGAATAAGAATAAAAAGAACCAAAAAAAAAGAAATATTTCTGTAATATTTCACAGATACTGTCTAAGGCTTGGTGAGTGTTTGGCAGAACGTCATTCATATTGGCGTTGCTGTTAGCCTTGGCCTGGGTTCTCTTGACCAGGTGCTGAAGAGGTAAGTCATAGAAATGCCTTTTTCGGTTTAATGCGGAGCACGTTACTGACTCGGTATAATGTCTAACCTGTAGGATAAAATCCTGTTTTAGATTCTTCTGACTGCAGTGCTTTAAAGCAAACACTGTATACTGAAAAAGGTCATTTGTACAGGTGTGATACAGGAGGAAGAAGATTCCCTTTGAGGTTGTTTTAGTCCTTCATTGAAAATAGTCAGGTCATGTTTTAGTTGTCATTTTGTACTGTCACTTCAGCACCCCCTGCTGGAGAAAAAAGGTAACAGCGATTTATTGTTAGGCATTATTAATTTTTAAAAATGAACTAAAACTAAAGAAAATAAAGCAGTAAGTAGTGAAGAAGAAGAATCCATTTAAATGTTTCTCATACTTTTCTATTTTGAAGCATCACAGAAATCTGATGTCAACTGAAATGCGGTGCTCAAACGAAACCAACATTTCTCCTGTGGAGATCTTCAGAACATCAGTGGATTTACCCTGTTCAGCTCCATAAATACATGGTTTTAATTTGAACCACTAAACTTCACATTTCAGCTATAATAAATTAGCTGAAGAAAAACAACAACAATCATTATTGTTGTTGTTGTGTCTAACTGTATTAAATACCTCTGAATAGCATCCAGTCCAAATAGCTCTATCAAAGAAGGGAGGATGGTAATTAATTACAACAGAACTGTGTCACATTTAATTTTACTTATTTTTGGCTTAAAATGATAATTAGTACTAAGACCATAATTACTGTCTACATAGCCTGCTCCCACACTCCAGGAGGAGCCAGAGAACACGGAAATAATGAAATGAAAGCATTATGAGAAACGATGTAAAGAAAGACATGTAAAGAAAAACTGTACAGCTGGTTGTAGAACAAGTACTGCTGCCTGATGTTTGCCACCTAGTTTTCTAAGAAAGCGTGCTTACATGTAGCTGTCATTACGCAAGTGTGCAGGAATGTTTCTGCCTCCGTGCCCACGCCGACTGAACCGAGAGGTTTCCTGGTTTGTTTTTCTTAGATGTAAACCACATAACTGCGAAGAGATCATTGCAATTACAGTTTTTCCCAATTGTTTACACACATTTTCTAAAAGCATGCCTCATATTGTCATATTGCAAGAGTTGCAACTGCAACTACTAGCCTACAGTAACAGTAGGGTTGCGTTGGACTCCTTATCCTGCTTCCCTCGTTGTCATTCCATGAACAAGGACATGGTGTGCAATAGTTGCCTGAATTTCATCAGTAATGACTTCTCTTGGTCGTCCTCCCCCCTCAAACGGACTTTTATCCTGTTCAGTTGGTCTGATTAAATCATTAGAAACACGCCTGTTCAATTGTTCGTTGCTGTGTGTAAAAGATGACAGCTGTTATACAAGTGTTAAATGTGTTTATTGACTGAGCATGTGTTTAAGGTTTTGAAAAAAAGAGTATGAGTTTTGCAGATTGTGCCTAAGACCCTGAACAGTGTTTAAGGTTTGGACAAAAGAAGATTTTATTCAACTACTAAGTTTAGGCCACTGAGAATTTGGTTTAGAGAATGAAGTTTAGTCTTTTCGGAAGTCAGTAATGCCTCACTCACCTCTTCTTATCCACTAGGAAGTAACAAAGCTCATCTAATTTAACCTGCCTTCACCTAGATGTTTGAATAACTTTGGTCGGACAAGCTTTAAAAAAGTTAAAGATCTATGGTTATCTCTTACAGTTTGAAAAATCTTAACTAATCTTCATCACAGCTGTGTTAGTATAAGAAGGTTCTAATATAATCAGTGGTGTTCAAAAAAGTAAAGGCCACTGATAGGAAGCCTGTAACCTACATGAGGTCCTAAATTTCTCTAAATTAATTGTTTTTAATTGTTCTAAACTGCTGTAGTTCCTCCCTTGGTCCAATAAACTACATTTTGGAGTAAGTCTGTTTTTGTGTGTGTGTCTTCCTGCAGGAACTGCAGAAACCATCTTCAGCTGCTAAATATACACTGAAAAAATTATTGTTCTTAATATTTTAGTCAAGTTGTTTATTTAGTGAAGTTTCTTATGCATTATATACACACACATACACACAAAACATTCATTTTCGAGATGGCAGCATTTGAAAAGACACAAGAACCTACGAGTTACTAGTTGCTGCTCCTGTTGTGGAAGTTTCCATTTAATAAAGCCTGCAGACAAACGGTGGATTGTAGCTAACATCCTTTAATCAAAAAAAGATCAAAAAGCCAAGCTTGGTGAGAGAAGCCATCGCTGGGGCAGACAGTCAGCAGTGTCGCCAGCCCAGCATGGCCCTGGGTTAAATACCCCCTACAGGAACAAAAAGCAGGACATAGCTGCTTCAGACCATTGGCCTTTCCCCCAAAGAAAGGTTCACACTCCCTTGCTACCTCTCACAGTCGTTGAAGAGACAAAAGACTCTTCCTGTGAAGTTGTCTGCTTCCACCAACAATCACCCGGCTGTTCAATGGCATGAATGTGTGAGACATTGAGCCATACTAAAACCCAGTGGCACCAAGGCATTATACAGTAAAATAATACATGAATAAAAGAAATTCCTCTACACTCCTCAGGTCTTTCTCTCACCCACCTTTTATTTTTAGCTGCCCTCCGAGACACAGCAGGTGAGATCCTGTCCTGGTGACAGTGTATTTTTACTACAATACAGTACAAATCCACCTTAAGATGTTCTGCATGGTTCTTCCAGCAGCTTGATGGTCCCCTCTCTGAGTTTATTAAATACCAGATGAATCAAACAGCTGCAAACATGATCATCTTCAAGTTTGATATGACTGCTGCTGCACTTAAATTAAACTGACCCTCATCTCAGCCCATTAAGGACTGAAAATAGTTAGTAGCTGTAAACACTGTGCAGGATGTCAGTTTCAGACATTTACATTTATGTTAAACTGCATAAAACAAATCAATCATATGTAAACACAAATAACAAGAAAAAAAAAAAGTATGTCTCACATCATCTAAAACTGTCTGCAGTGCTTAATATCATTTTTTCGTTCCACAGTAGAAGAACACATGTTGAAAAGCTACCAGCTAGTAGCTAAACTCAAGTTTATCAGCAGTTTTTGACAAACAAATCAAAGCTGCCTCTGTGACTGAGACTCATCTCTTCTTTTTTGCAACATTCTTCTTTGTGCTGCACAACCAAAAATCAAAGGTCCAGAAGGAGGCATATCAAAATATTTAGGTTATGACCAAGAATCAGCATAGATGAAAACAGAATTTTAAAAAAAAGTGTCCTTGCTCCTCAGTGCACGTATGAGTAACTAAGTAACTCATTTGAATGTCGTTTTCAGCAGGTTTTTCACTTATGAAAGTTTTTGCTTTACTGAGCAGAGATCCAACACTCAGGAGGGTTCAGTGCAGGGCTGAAGCAGAGCTGCTGGGGTCTGCTTGGGGGATGTCAGATGTTTCGTGGCAGAGCTTCTATTCAGCTCCACCTTAAGTTCAGTGTCACTGTCAAAAAGATGAAAAGAGACCATTTGGAAACATGTCATCATTATGAATAATAAAAAAACATATACAGTCAAAAAAAAAATCACCACATCAATCTGAATGTGCTTCGTCTGATTTTCTGTTTTCATGTCATGGATGTTGTTGAACGCTGCTTCAGTCTGACTCATTACTAAATCATTTTGACTCGACAGCAGTTTAATTTCATTCATTATAGACATCTGGTTTTATCTCCATGACCATAACACTGTTTTCAAACAAGTCATTTTTTATTTAGTGTAGTTCAAACAAGATTTACTCACGTATGTGTTTTGTTGGTGTTGCTCTGAGGAAAAAAAACATAATCAGTATAAATAACATAAACAAACTGAACTGCAAAGTGAAGGGAGAAAGTTATTTACCTTTCTGCGCTTATACAGCATGAAGCCTACTGCTGCTACTGCCCCTGTAATCACAATGCCTGTAATCACTCCTGCTACAGTAGCTCCTGAATTACCTGAAACAGAAGAAACAGAATCACTTAAAATGTCTTTTGGCTCAAACCTCATCATGGCTCTGAATGGGATAAGCACCCATGTCCCACTACATCATCATTATTATTATTTTTGCTTTATCATCAGAATGTGGTTTAATTAGAATAATATTATTAGAATATAATGAAATCAGAGTTTGTGTTTAACTGCATAAAACTTGATAAAAACGTGTAAATAACACTAAACTTGATCATTAACCGATTAAGGTCTAAACTGTATGTGAGAACGCTGCATTGCACATGTATGTTAAAGAAAATTGACCCCGTAACACAAATTGCGGTCATAAATATTTTGTACTTTGTAGTTGTGAGTTTTGTAACCTTGTAAACCAAAATATCTGACAATTTTATGTCTGTGCATCTATAGATGAGAATTTGTGTTTGTAAAAATAATTACACAAGTTACAAATTGTTTTTTTGTTGAGGTCTGGTTACAGATACAAAGCAAAAAACTACGTGTAAAACTGTAAAAAACTGTAACTTGTGTTTTACAAACACACACAAATTCTCATCAGGACTCAGTACACATTTGATTTACAAGTTTAAAATATTTATGAGCACAATTTGAGCCCATATGTAACACCGATCATATCATGTATCACACTCATACATCATATTTGATAGATGAGATTTTATGAGTTTTCGAGAGTTCAGAGAGATTTTTTTCCTGATAAAACTGAATAAATTACACACAAAAAATCAAGATGTAGCCAAAACTATACAATTAATTAATTTCTCATTTTTTTTAATTCCAATTACAAACAATGTGAATTTATTATTCATCTATTTTGTGAATCATGGTTTGCAGAGTTAAAATTGATTTCAACACTCTGTGTGGATTTCCTTCTTGTATGACAAAACATTATCTGATGTCATTTTAGGATTAAGGTGAATTTAACATACAGTACATCATATTACAACATTATTGTCTTCACTGCTTACTTTGTTTAGATGAGGTGGAGGGCCAAGTTACACTCCTCTTGCTACGGCGAGTGCTGATGGTGCAGCTGAAGGTCAGATCAGTTTCACTGTCTGAAGGTGTCACAGAGCTACTGATGTTGTAGAGGTGTTGCTCAGTCTCCTGCATCCTGGTGTTGCACTTGCTGTTCACATTGGAGGGAGGACTGGTGGACCAGGTGAGCTCAGGCTCAGGGTAGATCCCCTCTGAACAACAGGTGAGTGTGTTTCCTTCCCGCTGAATGTCGACTTCATGGACTGGAGCTGCAGAAAAAAGAAAAGAAAGACAGAGTTTATGTTCACATATCTTTATGGGTTCTTTTTTTAGCATTTATAAAGCAAGTACAGTGAAAAAGCTGAAAAGGAGAAATATAGTCAAGTGTTACCAGTGCTCGATTTTTCTACACCGAATGATGTATTTTAACTGAACTTTTTATGAGCAGGACATCTTTGTCATTAAATCAAGTGTTTCATCCAAAGACTAATTGTAGTGCTTTTCTTTATTCTCATACATTTTCTGGACTGCATCAGTAGCTGCATTTTCTTTGCAGGTCTTTTACTTGCAGATATATACTAGATCTAACGCCATGACCTTAAACTTTATTCACAGTCAATACATACATGCATGGTACATGATATTGTTTTTTATTTATATTTTAACTAGAGCTATTTCTGCAAAAAATATCTGAATATAAGTAGAAACATTTATACATACACTTGGAGAAAATGAAGATTAAAAACATACATTTCTTTAAAATGAATGCATTGTGTGTCACGTACCATCCATTTTTAAATTGATAAATGATTCTTTGATTCCATTTTCAGTGCTGGTGTAGCACTTGTATCTCCCTTCATCCTGAACCTCCACCTTTGTCAGCAGGAGTGAGGCATTTCCTGAGGAGATCTGGTCGCTGAACAGTGACGTCCTGCCTCTGAAGCGCTGGTTCTGCAGTCCAAGCTGGTCTTTGCCTTCATAGAATGAATGAACAAAACGGTTTCCTGCTGATTGCTGGAACCAGTGGATGATGACTGCAGTGCCTCCCTCAGAGCTGCATGGCAGCATGCAGGTCTCCATGAAAATGCAGGACACGTCGGTATCTGCAACAACAGCTAGAGACACATGATCATAAAGTAAGATCTGCAGCTCAAAACATTTTTAGATGCTTTAGAGTGAAAATTGGTGCTGATAAGTAATGTTTTATTGAGAGTGGGATAAGCAAATGCATATATAGAATTAAATGTCAAACCTAGTAGTCCCCCAGAAATAATATAACCCTTCCTCCACCACCAAATGTCTCTGAGCTGACAGGACTACAGCCGTAGTACAGACTACTACTGACCCTGAAAACAATCTTACTATGCCACGTCGACTGGTTTCAATTCCTCATTTGATAATTTCTGAATTATACAAGCCATTCCAATCCTTTCTCCTCCCAGCTTGTGTCTTTTTTTCCCCATTAGCTCAGATTTAGTGGGAGGGACAAAGATACAAAGATGGAGTCAAAGAGAAATGTGCAGTGAATGTGCATCACAGGTGAAGACGATCATGGACGAACCAAAGCAAGAAGCAAAAGACAACTATCAAAGTAAAACAGGAAATAGGAAAAGAAAATACTTAAAGGAGGCTCGGATGGATGAATGAGACAACATTCAAGGAAAACTCAGACGGACATTAGAAGGACTTCAGACAAAACTGAGAGCAACACCAGAGACAAATAAAAATCAAGACAGAAGCTGAAAACAGAAAAGTATCTAAAACTAAAAATCATCAGGAGCCCAATAAATTTAAACATGAAAATACAGTAAATTACAAAGCAAGAATTGTAAAAAGACTTTCCCTGTGCCACAGGCTAATGTCTCTGCTCTTTCCAGCTGACTCCAGAAAAACAGTAACTTGGTTTCAGTTAAACAGGTTCTCCAACAATCTTTTAGAGTTCTTAAGAACAGATTTAATTTACAGCAGTGATGCCAAAGTCAGCGCATCATTTTAAATGTGTATGTAGTTTGGTTTCTCTGTATAACCATTTTAGTTATTTTACCAAGTGACCTTTGACCTGATTTATTAAAAATATGAGACGTGTGATAATGTTTTTAGAGTGAGGCATGTAAAGGCAGGGATGTTTTTGTTTGTTTCCTTGTTGGCAGAAGGTTTCGTGTTGAGCCGACACATGGAAACATTGCTTTGTTGCGTTGTCCAAAACTGATCTTAGAAAGATTGTGTCCCTGTGACTCCAGAGGAAAACATCTGTCATGACTGACTCATGTGGCTCTGAGTGAGGCACAGGGATCAAGACCAGCAACCTTAAAATGTGGATCCCAAAGATCGAGCACCATAAATTCTGTCATTTCAGTTCCCATAGGGAATAATTCACAATCATTACTACTGGTTCAAATTCATTGTTTAAATATAAGGAGTATGAGAACGTGTTCATTTCTAAACTTACTGATGTCTCTATTTGAAAAAAAACAAAAAAAACTTAGACTTCATTTTTTAATCTCCATTTTCTACTGAAAAGCCCATCGATAACTAATTTAATTTCTTTTTGTAACAATAACAGCAAAAATGTAAAGGACGCTCATTTCGAGCCAGAACTCTGAACTTCGATCTAATTAAAGGAACTGTTATTAAAAGATGTTTCTGTAAGAGAGCGTATTCCTCCCTCGACAGACCCAACACCACGGTTCGGATAATGTTTTTCGACTTCTCTAGCGCCTTTAACACAATCCAGCTGAGAGAGAAGTTGGAGGCTATGCAGATGGAGGCTCCACTGGATCAGCAACTACCTGATAGGCAGACCACAGTTTGTGAGGCTGCAGAGTTGTGTGTCAGAGAGTCTGAACAGGAACATAGCAGCACCCCAGGGAACTATTCTGTCCCCTTTCCTCTTTACCATCTATACATTCGACTTCAAGTACATCACATAAACTTGTCAGATGACATGGCCATTATTGGAAGTGTGGAGATGGGAAGGAAAGAGGAGTACAGAGGACTGATTGGTCACTTCGTGAGGTGGTGTGACGTGAACCACCTGAAGCTGAATGTGACCAAAACAGAGGAGCTGGTGGTGGACTTTGGCAGAAACAGATCCTGACCCTCCCCTGTCTGCATTGGTGGAACTAATGTTGAAATAGTCACATCCTGTAAGCATCTGGGAGTTCAACTGGATCACAAGCTGGAGCGGTCTGCCAACACGGACGCTGCCTACAAAAAGGGACTGAGCCGGCTTTGCTTTCTACTATGGTAAATGGCCTGTATTTGTGTAGTGCTTTTTCTAGTCCCTCAGGACCCCAAAGCGCTTTACACATCCAGTCATCCACCCATTCACACACACATTCACACACTGGTGATGGCCACAGCCACCCTGGGGCGCACTGACAGAGGTGAGGCTGCCGGACACTGACGCCACCGGGCCCTCTGACCACTACAAAGGCTCAGATTCTTCAATGTATGCAGCAGGCTGCTCTATATGTTTGATTAGTCTGTTGTTGTGAGCACTCTCTTCTGTGCTGTGGCGTGCTGAGGTGCAGGCATCAAAGCAAAGGATGCAAACAGACTGAACAAACTCATCAGGAAGGTTGAGTTTCTTCTTGGCATAAAGCTGGCCACCATGGAGGAGGTGATCGGTGACAGAATGCTGGCAATCACGGACAATGACTCGCACCCCCTCCATAAAAAACTGGGTAATCTGAAGAGCAGTTTCAGCAACAGGTTCCTCGCTGTCTGAGGGAACGTTGCAGGAGGTCGTTCCTTTCTGCTGCCATCAAACTCTTTAAATCATTCACGTGGGTCAGATCCACACATGTGGACCAGAATAATCCCACCTCAATGCACCCTGTCACTTTTGGACACCACGACACACACACTTGTCCTTTTATGTTAATATACATGTATATTTATACCTATATTCATCTATTTATCTTTATATTTATTTATCATTACTCTATGAGTGTTTGTTGTTTATTGTATATTTGCTGCTATGACAACTGATTTTCCCTCTGGGATTCATAAAGTTTCTCTGATTCTGAAGTGTGACAGCCAGCCCTGATCTACCGTATATTCTCTATTTTCCTGTCACCAGCAGGTTTTAGATGTAGATACAAACTGATTGTTTAAACCACATTCCCATTTCACTGAGAGTGATAATATTTAATAATAAAGTTTTCAGGAAAATAAATCACAAACATTATTTGTCATGATCCTGCTCTGTGACCCAGCGTTTTGAGTTTATCATTGGCTATTGTGTTGGCAATTATATTTTCTGCTTAGTTTGTTCCTATTCTTGTCATTTAGATTGCCGAGACTTAGTCTTATTTCATGTTTGTTTCTATTATATTATTCTCGGGCTGTGTTCTCAGTTCTGCTGCCTCAGCACAAATAAAGGTTCATTTCCTATTTCTAAGTTCTGTCTTGGAGACATTTGTTGGTTTCTGGTTATGACACTTCTGCCTCTCCTCACACATTCAGCTTTTTTTGGAGTTTCTCTCGTTGCACTTCCTGGTATTTGTTTTCTCGAGTAGTTTTTTCAGATTAAAACCAGGTAACTTCTGTTTACACTGGAGTAAGCTAGTGTGTGTAGTAAATGGCTAACTCACCTCCTCTGGTTAAAGTCCACGTAAATGTCAGGAGCACCAGAAACACTGCGCACTTGATCCCAGCCATGATCCTGTTGTTTTATCCGTTTGCAGACGCATTAATGTTGAAGGATCTCAAACTCACCCAGCCTGTCTGTCAGGTAGTGCATATTAACGCACTGAGAATGAGGAAAACGCTAATCAAACTTCGCCTGAATGTTCAAGGTCAGCACGGAGACACGCCTTACAATAATTAATATTAACAGTTTGTAACTTCACCTGCACTAACGTGCAGAAGAGGCATCTGCTGATCAACGGCAAACCGAGTTTCCGAGTGACAAACAATAAGAAAAACATTTAGAGACGAGTCCCTCTCTGTCGAGTACTGCGCAGAAATTACTTTCGTTTTTTTTTGAGGGTTGTACCTTTGTATCATATGACGCTCGAAGCCGCACTACCACGTGACTGATTCAGGAAATAATTGCAGTATTCCGGAGTGAAATTTCACCTGTATGGAAACATTTTCAGCTGATGTCACCTAATAAAATATGCACATAGTTATAAATGAGTATTAATAGTATTTATATAATTAATATAAAAAAAACGTAACAAGACATTTATCCCTTGTTCTAGTTTCTTTCTTCTAATTTCCGGTATATTTAAAGGTGAAGTGTTGTTTTAGCTCAACAGTAACACCTGATCTGACATTACAGAGCCCTCCATGAAAACCAGACCAGCTCAGGTAACATTGTGTGGTATGTTTGTATTAAACAACATTAATTTATATTTTAATTGTGAAATTTGTAACTGATATGGAATTATTTGTGTATTTGTTTGTTTGTTTTGTAGTCATCAGTGGAGAATAATGCAGTGGATGAGGCCTTGGTTATTGAAAGAAAAAAAAGAAAGCTTGTTAAAGCTCTGAGCACTACTGATGTTCTCCCACAGGACAGGTGTGCATGTGAGTATTTTACCTCATTTCCTCATATTTGCCATTCCAAGACTGGCAAATTATTTCCTTTAGGCTTTGAAAGCTGTAGTGAAGGACAGATAAGCTATAATGATTCAAACCCACAGCCACTGTGTCAAAGACATCTGTAGTTAGTTTAACAGCAAATATGTGAACCTCTATCAGCACCACTGCAAGGATTATATGCTTTTTTGTCATTGCAATATTCTAACTGATGCCATTTTGTTTAAGTTGCTGCTGCAGTGACACTTGAATAAATCACTTTTTGTTCACTGATTTTATAGGAGACGCTGACACATGTGTTGGAGCGAACAGGTCAGCCGGCTTAAGGATGATTAAAGAGATGGATACACATATTTGAACAGCACGTACCATATGCTCCAACATGTTTATGACCCCAGGGAACCTGCAGGAGCACACTGATGTTGTCCCATAAGAACATCTCATCTGAACAGTAAAAAAATATTTTAGAAAGTCTAAAAGTGCTGTCCTCATTTAATGAGGCCACAGTTGAGCCACCAAAGGTCATTCCCCTTTATCATAGCTGCACCATGCACCAGAGGAGGAAGGAAATGGCCACTGTCCATACTCCAGAGAGTCTGAGGTTAAAGGAGAAGCTGTACATTTTACAATAAATGAGCATCATATCACTGGCAGCGCTGCTCGATCCCTGCTTTAAAAACACAGTCTTCATTAACTCTGGTAAAGCAGCAGCTGATGAGGAGATGCTCACTTCTAAATGTGCTGTTGTTGTATGAAACAGTGCTGCTTCCTCCTCCTCATCGTCACAACTGCGCATATTAGAAGCTTCTCAGTCTGTGCTTCAAAAAGAAATGGACACATTCTAATTATGTTATTGCATTTAGTCACTTACAGCCTGTTTATGTTAGGTAGCAAACTGTGCTGTTGGTTGGACACCACAGTCCTGCAGACGAGGACCAAGCAGCACTGTAGACTCTCTGTGGGCTCCTCCTGTTTGTCTTTTTACATTTTTATTCCTTTTATTATTCAAACTAAGATCAGAGTGGTTATTATGCCGGGTGCTGTGGTGAGGGATAGGTTGGTGAATGAGAGAAGAAGAGCGTCAAACTGCTGCATCTGTAACTAAACACACTCTAACAACAAACAGCACTCAAAACAAACAAACAAACAAACAAACAAAAACAGGACAAGGTAAGCAAACTTTTGCTGTTGTGTGTGTCAGAGAGAGAGACATGTGCGAACTTGTAAAAAACTTGCTGGATAACTTAACTTCCTGAACTGAAGAAGCCTCTTGGATAAGAGGTGAAACCAAAACAAGTCCAGTCATGCTCCCTGAGACAAATCTCTGCACTCCAGTGTTTTCTAAAGCAGGTGAAATCATCTGAAAAAGAAAAGCTTTTTTAATGAATTAAAAGTCACTTTTTATAAGTAACATAAGCACAGTTACAAACCCAGTAACACAAACTCATTGCATCCTTTTTTCCTAATCTTCTCTTTTGATCCTGCTATTGTAGCATAAACACACACACACCATATTTAAAAGGTCAGAATTATTTAGAAGTTCACAAAAATCATTAAGTCATACATTCACACCAAAGCCATGGTGTCATTGTAATCACTCTGCCTGTTTTACATTTATTGTCCACTTGATGGCACCTTAGAGCAAATGAAGCACTGTGAAGCATCGGTGCATGAACGCAACAGGTGAATGGGAAGCTTCAGTGCTTCTTAAGGCTTAAGAGTGCAGAGCAGGTCCTCTCTTGCTCTCTTGCTTCATAGAAAAAGAATCACAACTTGTTGCAGCTCTCCGCAAGCTGCTATGAGGAAATCTCAAACTTTGCCTCTTTAGGATTGCAGCATCGATTACTGCGCATGTTGTAATGTTGATAAGAGGTGGTTTTATCCTCCCCAGTGGACTTCCTGCTCTGCCTGTTTAAATGGCTTAGATAGTAAATTATTATACCCGTTATGTTGTCAATGATTACAGCTGTTGTAATTTAATATTTAAATGAGTAAGTAATAAATCTTATTATGGGTTAGGTTGATGACATTGGTTTGGGTTTTGAATTCAGTGCATGCTTTCAGCTTATTTGTGAATTATTTGTGTCAGTTCTCCGTTAGTTGGTATTTATGTTAATGTCAGCTCTTCTCACAGCCGGTGGTGACTCCACCGTGTCTCCACCATCCAAATCTCCCAATTTATCTCCCTTCAGTGTTTTTGTGGATATCATTTTTGGTTTTGTTTGTTTTTGCTGGTTTTTTGCTATTTTGGACTTTTTTCAGCTTCAATAAAGGTTTACTTTTTGTTCATTGGACTTCTTCTTTCTTCTGTCATTTAGGTCAATACCTGCACGTTATGGGAATAATGGTTGTTTGTTGAAGTTTGACAGGCAAGCACATTCTTATATCTCAAATTTTTTAGTTAAATTGAACTTCGATCATTTCATAGCCTCCAAAACAAAATCATATTTACACTTGACTTAAAAAATGTTCCAAATGCAGAATCAGATGAAGTTTCGACAAGACTGTATTTTTTGTTATAAGAAAACTTTTTAAGAAAGGAAATTTGTACTTAAGACTAAAAAATATGTTTAGTAAAGTCAAACTTATTTTACTTTTTTGTTTTGCTAAATACAACCAAATTTGCTATTTAACATCAGGTTATGTGTAGGTGTCACTGTGAGCATGAGAGCCTTCACCAGTCGGTAAGCAGGGTGGGCATTACAATAAACTCAGTATTGATGACTGCATTTACTGCAAGTGCTGTAGTCTCGTATGAGCTCAGTAAGAGTACGAACAACCAAATGGCACTAATGCTTCTAAATGCAAACATTAAAATTTATCAAGTCACTATATGAAGGTGTAGATCTCCAAAAGGTGCATTAACAACAAACACCATGTGACAGTCCCTAAAAACATTAGCAGTAAGAAAAGCAAGTAAGTTTTCAACAAATAATAAAACAGTAAATCATAGTCAGGTCTTAAACATTTAATATTTGTGAATGTTTTTACAAAACACTGAAGACGTGCTGCTTACAACCTCCAGATTTCAAAACTGTGTTTTTTAATAAAACAAAAAAAACCCAACTAAAACTACTATACAAGTAAACATTTTAATTTATCCATCCATCCATTCGCTTCCACTTATCCTTTTCAGGATTGCCGGAGCCTATCCCAGCTGTCAGAGGGCGAGAGGCGGGGTACACCCTGGACAGGTCGCCAGTCTGTCGCAGGGCTAACACACAGGGACAGACAACCATTCACTCGCACATTCACTCCTAGTGGTAATTTGGATTATTCAATTAACCTATCCCCACAAGCTGCATGTCTTTGGACGGTGGGAGGAAGCCGGAGTACCCGGAGGGAACCCACGCAAACACGGGGAGAACATGCAAACTCCACACGACCTCAGCCTGATGGTGGAATTGAACTCAGGACCTTCTTGCTGTGCGGCAACAGTGCTAACCACCGTGCCACATAATTTATGTGTCATGAAATATAATGAGTGACATTTTCTTTCTGCTTAATTATTTTGTATCATTTTATCGAGTAGATGAGGTAGAGGAGGAACCATACGCTGTAATCTCAACCTCAAAATATCAAAGAACTTCACCAACATGTGCAAAGTGAGCATTAGTGTCACTGATGGAGAACAGAAAAGACATCAGAGTGTATCAGCATCATTTAATGATACTGACTCAGGTACATTTAACAGATACATTTAAAAATCATTTAATAAATGGAGAGGTCACGTTGTCTGAGGCCGTGTTTCTACAGGATTCACATTTCTGTGGGTTCTGCCGCTGCCTTTGGTAATAAATCATCTCCCTCATGGTCGTGACTGCAAAATGAAATTATAAAGAATTCTGTCCTGAAATACATTAAGAATAAACAAAAAAGCAAACCAAAGATACGCTGGATTAAAAAGAGCGGGCGAGAGAGAGATTTACCCAGGAGCGCTCAGTGTTTTCAGTTCCTCTGAAGTTTTTTCTGTCAGGACCAAATCGAGTTGACTTGATATTTCTGCAGCATCAGGAACCTGCTGAGCCTGATGGGACTGAAGAAGAGTTTGTCATCCAATAGTTTATATTAGTTCTATAGCAAGTAGTACAGCTATTAAATCATGTACTAAAAAGGGTTTTGTATAAGTTTAATATCATTTTTAAAGGGTTGCATACAATCGTGTGAACGTTTTCCTTTTCATATGACTTTAAACATTTTAAAATACTTCCACTGTGTTGTTACTCTTTTGCCTTTGAACTTGCACATGTTGGGCTAAAGCATAGAAATACATTATTTTAGGATTTTGTTTCATTTTTATAAGAAAAAAAGATCAACGTTGGACTATTTTTTTTTTTAAAACAGAATATGGTTTAAATTTAGATTACCATATACACTTCAAACATTACAGAAACATAGTTGAAAAGGTAAAAAAAAAAAAAAGAAAAAGCAAAAGAAACGAAAGGGTTTTTTATTTTTATTATTATTATTATTAATTTATTTATTTATTTTAAAGAATTAAAATGGCTTGAATTAAATTTTGGACTTTCTAAGTTAAGTTTGGTCAGATTAAGGGGGCTCATTGCAACATCTGTGCCTGTCTGTACCTGTAACTCCATTGATCCTGTTTCCACTGTAGGCAGCACACTCATTGGCACTGAGCAGCTCTGGTGCATCTAAAATGTTGCATTATTAATTCAACACATCAACACAACAGATCCCCAAATTTCAGAAGTAGATACCCTTCCTGATATCTGTTTGTTTGTCTTTACCTTACTGTTAAATTTATTGCAGCATATCGGTATCAGGCCTAAGATTACCGCAATCATGATGACGCCTGCCACCATGGCTTTAGCGATGCCTGTAGCAAACACACACAGACACGCACATACACAAATGAAAAGTGTTGATTTTACTTATTTAATAATCAATATAAATAACTATAAATAACTATTATATGTATTTTGTTAATAAAAAATTCTGAAGATTTTTGCAGAACATTTTTTTATTTGGTTGGTAAGAGTCTGACTGACTGACCACAAATCTTAAAACACACTTACCTTCTTTCAGGTTGCGGTTTGACAAAATGGCTGTTTTGTTGTTGCTGCGAGTGCTGACAGTGCAGGTGTAGGTCATATCAGTGAAGTCATGTTTGGTGTCAGGGAATATGACAGAACTCTTAATGTTATAAAGTTCTCCGTTCGGTCCACTCTGCTGGACTATGGTTGTGCTCCTGAAGACGGTTTGACGGCTGGTGGACCAGGTGAGCAGAGGTTCGGGGTAGATCCCCTCAGAGCTGCAGGTGATCCTGTTTTCTGCCTTCTCAATGTTGACCTCACGGACTGGAGCTGTCATAAAAAATATACTTTATGAATTATTCACTCTAAAAAAATTATTTTGTCTTGAAATGTTTTTTTGTTTATAAGACAAAGATTGCTATATATCTTCATGCAAATATATAGTAAAAAAAAAGTGTCTTGTGTTTTCTGTATGTTTCTCGTACCGTCCACTTTTAGGCTGATAAATGAATCATTGTTTCCCCCTGTTGCACATTTGTATCTGCCTTCATCTTGAAACTCCACTGATGTCAGCTGGAGTGAGGCGTTTCCGTTGGATATCTGGTCTTTGAATAATGATGCCCGGCCTCTAAAATGCTCATCCTGTTGTGTAAGCTGGTGTTGTTTGGAGTTGTAGGAGAGGATGGAAACATGTCTTGCCTTTAGCAGACTCCAGCTAATAACTGCATCAGTGCTACCCAGGAAACTGCAGGGTAAGATGCAACTTTCCTGGAAAACACAGGACACCTCAGTATCTGCAACACAAAGAGACACCCAACACAGTTCAACTTAGAGGACATTTCTCTGAAATCCAACAATTAAATTAAAAATAGTTCGTTTTTCCACCAGTAAAACCTGGTGTCCACATTAAACACTATGAAAATACAAAACCAAGCTGGTTGCTTGAATATAAACACAATGCTGTTTGAGTCTGATATAGCTGAAAGATGTGTCACTCTGGTAGCAACATTACATACTCCACATTTTCCCACACAGAAAACAAAAGTATGTGACAGCTGGAATGCACGCCGGCACAAAGGTCAAATTCAAAAACTACATTTCTCATGTGATGCCATTTTTGAAGTTTACACTAACACAGTAGGTGAATAGGAACTCGGACTTTGTAGCAAATCACTATTCAAAAAAACGTTATCTTAAGTGTTTAAAATTTAGTCTAAAATGATGCACAAGAGATCCAGGATTTTCCAAATTTGATGAATAGATAATGATTCTTTCAGCTGCTCTCTTTGCTTCTGTCTCACCATATCCTCCACATCTTCCTTTGAATGTTCTCTCTCTACATCTGTGAACCTTCTCTATGTTCATCCTCTTTTCTTCCTGCCTGGCAGCTCGATATTCAACATCGCTTGTCCAATATACCCACTATCCCTCCTCTACATGTGTCCAAACCATCTCAGACTTGAGTCTCTAACGTTGTGTCAACCTAAGCGTCTGATGTACCCTTTTCTTGTCTTGTCCATCCGGGTCACTGCCAACAAAAATCTTCAGCTGTTCCAGCTGCAGCTTGGTCTTTTGTCTTTTGTCAGTGTCACATATCTGAACTATGCATCATAGCATAGTCTCACTGGCATCTCTTAATGAATGATGCACATACAAAATAACACAAATGCGAGAAAAAAAAAGTCTTTGGGCACAAATATCTCTGAAATTTCTGCCATTAAAGTTTATATAACGGAACACAACAGAAGACTGGATTTCTAGACAAAATACTAGTCAAGCAACATCAAAGTAAAAAAAACCTCCTTCAGACAACCATCTATGTAAACTTTCTGAGGAGTACAAACAAAATATTAATACATTTCTTATTGTAATTCAAAATCCTTGTCTAATTTTCTGGCATGTTCATTTTTTCTTTGAATAAAAACCACCATGACCCGAAACACACCTGTGTTAATGACGGTCATGGCAGCCTCCCTCACCTCCATTTGTAAGAGTCCACAGAAAAGCCAGAACAACACACTTGATCCCGATTATCCTGCTCAGTTCCATATTCCTGCTGCTGAATCAAACTTCATAACAGAAGAAAAAAGGAAGTCTCTCTTAGAACATGTAGTTTTGGCGTTCTAGATTTCTGCCTCCACGCCCACAGAATGAACTGTTTCTCTTTAGCCTGCCATATTGTTTCCTGGTATGTTTAGATCCATTCATAATAACTACCATGATAATGGTTAGTTATAATGGTTAGAATAAGGTATTATGCATATGTACGCATAAGATAACACCTCACTCAACTCCTTTTATCCACCGACAGTTCAGGATGGTCAAAAACACGATGGACTTGATCCCAGTCATTAGCTCGTTCAGTTCTAGTTGCCTCCCTGTTACTTCATCAGTGTTTGAAAAAAGAACCAACATGTTACTAGCTCATAACAAAACTCATCGAGCTTGTTTGTTTGCTTGTGACGCTGTCAAGTGTCTTCAAACTATGACTCAGGGAAGTGTTTGAAATAGCTAGGTGTGGTAAGAAGAAAAGAATGACTTGTCAATCATCAACTTTTCACAGGAAGAGCCATTCTCTGAAATGCTACCAAACCTTTTACTGCGTCTTTCTTTATTTTAGCTGCTCTCACAATCCAGGATTCAAGTGCAACTGTCCTCCCCTCACACATGCGCACACGCTAAACACTAAAAACATTGATTTCATTTATACAAAAAAAAAGGTAGGACTCCCGAGTGCCTGTGATTACTGATCCAGCATAGGTTACTTTGTAGGTAAACCTTTTCAGTGCATTCAAATCACAAATGCAGATCACATTATGTTAATCAATAAATATCATTTTCATAAACCAGCATGAGCAACAGTGCAAGAGAATCATGTCATGCTTTTTGTAGTTTTTTAGTAAATCGATTCACAACTGCACACCAAAATCACGTATAATATTCAATCACCAGCCACTCTGTTAAGTACACCTATTCAACTGCTCATGAATGCAAATATCTTATCAGCCAATCATATGGCAGCAAATCAATGCATTTAGGCACATAGACATGGCCATCACAACCTGCTAAAGTTCAAACTGAGAATCAGAATTGGGAGGAAAGAGGTGATTAGGTGACTGAGTGTGCAAAAAAATAACATTTACTTATTGCTAAAATACAAAATTCATATATTTATTCTTTCATTTTATTACTCAAGTTTAAGAGTGCTTGAGGTTTGTATGTGAGCTAAACTGCTGGGTGTTGTAGCAAACTTTCAACCAGAAGATGTCACTAAAAATATACAACATCTATTAAAAGACAGTTTAAAGTTTAGCTGCTCAGGATCAAACTCCATCAAGGAGTTTTGCAGGTCCTCGCAGAAGAACCTTTAAAATTCACTGATGTGAAGGCAGAAGGACAGTGAGTAGTTCTATCATCTGCCATCAACCCTGCAGGTTGGGGAGCCCGGCTAGATGGGAGTCGGATTTTTGTTTTAAAACGTGAAAAAAAGAAAATTTAAAATGTCTGCTGCTTTAGTTAAACTTAACTGTGACAAACACTTTATTTTATTTAATACACATTACAAATAATCTACATCTCTTGTTTTTGTTGTGCTGACTACTTTTTTCTGTAAGTAAGACTCGGTCACATGATAATTTTTAAACAGTGAGATGATGCTGCAGATTCAGTTAATTTCAGTGAATTAAATTACCGAGGTGAAGTAAGTCTCTGCAGTTTTTTCCAGTGATACTGACAGACCAAACAGTTCATGACAAAATAAATTACACACATCTCTAAATCTATCTTCTTCATACTATTTTTTCATGAGCACTGTTTGTTCATAATACAAGACTCAACAGAAAAGTCAGAAAAATGCATTTGATCTCAGTCATTATGCTGCAGCTGCACCAGTGTTAAAAAAGGATCAAGTTAAATCTACTAATGTTTTTCTTTTTTACTTTTTAAAAATAATTTCTTTTTTCAGACTTCATAACTCCCCAAATTCCCCCCGTAATTGTATTATTTTTTTTGTAAAATTTGTACTACTAAATAAAACAAAACAAAAACTTAATAATTAAATTAAAGACTGTGCAATCTAGACAGCTACTTTAATGTAGCTTATATAATTATATAATTTAATTCCTCAGATGTAACCACAGACAAGTTGTAATCTTGTTGTTATTTCATCATTTTAACAGTCAGTAAATATGGATGAAATGAGGCCAAACCTGACTACAGGCTCACTTGTGGTCACTGGACAGTTGTAAACAAATCCCTGCAGCTCAGTGGTTCCTCTCCAGTATCACATTTTGTCTTATCTACAGATGACATAAACTAAATCATGAAAACACAACATACTGATATTTACTGAAGCTTTTCACTAGAAAATGACAGAAAACAACAAAGTGTCTTCGTTTAGAGGAAGACGTTTAAAATAAATTATTTAGAACAGTCGATGAATCTGAGAACACGTTTCTGAGTGAAAGAGACAGAAAACAGTTGTGTTTCTCTAACAGGAGGAGCTTCTTCATACTAAACAGGACACAGAGACACTGATGCATTAGGATTGAAACCAAATCCAGGATAAATAGGTTCAGTGAATGTGGTGTTAAAGGTGTGGAGGTGAATCAGAGTGTCAGAGGAGACTCTGTAGAAGGACAGAATGCCAGCAGGACAGTCCACGTACACGGCTACTCTGTTAGAGGCAGAAGACGTGGAGGAGGAGTAGGAGGAAGACATGCTTCCGTTATTGTGCCACACAGAACGAGGGCGACCATCGCTGTAGCATTCCAGTCTCCAGGACTGATCGTTCCTTCCAAACACGCAGTCTTTACTGTCGCCTTTCCTTTCAATTCCTCTGTAACTCACTGATATATCGATCCCTCCAGTCCACTCAACCTCCCAGTAACAGCGACCAGTCAGACCATCTGTACACAGCAGCTGATACCAGTAATCAAATCTGTCTGGATGATCAGGATATGACTGAACCTCCTTCACCTGTGTCACCTTCCTGTTGTTGTCGGACAGTTTGAGGTATTTATTTATTGTGTTTGTGTCGATTGTGAGTTGACAGGAATCTGGTGGAGACAACAAACACAAATCAGGTTCCTGCAGAAAAGGTTAACATTGTTATCTTGTTACAAAAAAACAGCTGAACATGAGAGGTATTTGGACCAATTTTGTGTTCTCCATTCTTTAAGCACCGGTTTGAGCACCGTTTAAGCACCGGCACGGTTTCAAAAGTACCGGTTTGGCACCGGTATCGGATAAAACCTAAACGATACCCATCCCTAATCAAGGACACAATCAAAGGGTCAAATGATGGAGTGATCTCTCCACCATTTGACCCCAGAACTGAAGAGAACTGAGAGGTGAAAACGTCTTCAAGCAACTCAAAAGAAGTCCAGACGCTTTTCTTTTCAAGCTCCTTGGACAACTATTATGGTTGGTACTTAGGCAGAAATATCTGCCCATTATAAATATGTAAGGATTATTGTGAACTGTGAGTCATGTGAAGTGCCTGTAATAAATTTCAAGGAGAAGCAAAATGGATTCTCGTTAAACAGGTGTGGTGATAAAGCATTTGCCCTTTAGCCTTTTGGTCTTAAAGGTAAATGATAAAATGTTTTCATTACATTTTATTATGCATGATAAGTTTCCATATTATAGAGCAGCTAAGTTTCAGCTCAGCTGTCTGCCATTGTTCTTTCACTTCAGTAGGAATCTGAGATATTTATCTTTGCTGTGATTTGTTTCAGCTGAAATGAAACATGGGGGAACAAAAGTGATTATAACATTATGGTGGGCTAAAACTGTTAACATCTCAGACATTTGCAAGTGTCCCTTTGCAAGGTTTGATCATACTGTGTGTTTTGCAGTCTTTACAATGACCTCACTTCCACAGGTGTGCTGGAATGCTGTATCACCTGTTGTTTGGAAGTTTAATCTTATCAGCTAAATCTGCCCAGAAGTAGACAGAACAACACACTACAACATTTAAAAACAAAAGCCAGTAAAAAACAAAACAAAAACAAAAGCATAGAACATGTTCTAAATATTTTAAGCAATCTCAAATGCTGCTGTTTTTTTTCTGCCTATTAGTTTTCTAAAGCCATTTTACTGAAGTTTCACAGAGTTGATTTCCAGTAAAGGAGTAACAAGAGCTCAGAAGTGAAAGTGAAATATTCTAAATATGCCAAGAATGACACACCTCAAGTTTGACCAGCAGGTGTGCTTTTAGATGTGTAACTACTGTGAAATGTTTGCAATGTAAATCTAAAAAACACAGGCTTTCCATTTAGCCAGCAGATGTCTGGGTTAAAGATTTACATTTCTGTATGTCAGCAGATGCATTTAAAAAAGCCTAATTTCCATTACAATGACAGTTAATTGTTATTCATTGTATTTTGGCTGACACTATCCTTTTTTGAGTTCCACATACTGTATTGTTTGCCTGTGTGCGACTAAAGCCTGTTCAAACTGTCATGGTCCTGGGTTGTTGACCCAGGGTTTTGTGTTTCATTTTGGTGTCATCTTATAGTTTTTGTTAATTCTTTTTTTGAATTATTTCTTAGGGTTTGGTTCTTGTGTTTAGTGTTCTCCCTCTTGTGCTCTGTTCATGTCCCTGAGTTTGTGTTGTAAAACAATCTGTGAGTTTCCTGTTTTACTTCAGATTCAGCTGTGTTCCCCCCTGGTGTGTCATTCCCTTGTTAGCTTGTGTGTATTCATAGTGTGTGCCTGCCTGTGTTCCTTGCCGGTTCTTCTGCGTTAGTTGGTGTTTCTCTGTTCTCATCTCGTGTTGCTCTCTATGTTGCGTGTTCTAGGTTTATTAGTTTTTCCCAGTTTAGGTTTGTGTCTTTGTACAATCCTCTCCACCCTCGTTTCTGTTTATATTTCACCCATTGTAAATAAACGTTCGCCTGCATCTAGCTGTTTCTTGCATATTGGGTCCTCTTTCCTACAAACACCACACGACTGCTGCCCCAGCCGTGACAGTACCAACTGTTGAGACAACGCCGGTCATTGCGAATCTTTTGGTCCTGGTAGAGATCACGCTGAGATGTTTCCAAGTATCAAAGTATCACTTTATTTCCCAATCCCAATACAAATGCACATTTGGAGATCAACACTACATCCTGTGCTGTCCTATTCTAAAGTTGATCTGAAGAGTTTTACACAGCAGCTACAGTTATAGTCTCTGGTCTCCTCCTCCTACAGTAAACCCCCCACAGTGGAAAAACACTGGTACAGTGGCCAGGTATGCTGACACCCTGACCCCCATCTCATTTTAAGGAAATGTCCATTCACCATTGTCTGCCCCTCACCCTCAGTAACTCTTGCTACTGTCCTGGGGGTGGGGGTTAGATGTCCCACTGCCCTGCACT